GGTTTGGAGCGCAGCGAGTAAGGAAGATGGGAGTTAGGGAGAAGGGGGGCGGACCTTGTACATAGTCGGTTTTCATCAGGGGAGACAGGACGTGGGTGATGTTGTCTATGATGATCATGCCTGTTTTTCCGTTGGATGGACCGCTTTCTTCGGATGAGATGCGCTCCGGGGGAGCCTCTGACACCGTTTCTGTGACAGGCTCTACGTGCGGCGATAGAGCCGGCTCTGGCGCCTCCGCCGCGCTGTCAAATAGCATATCCTCCTCGTCCTCATCTTCGCTGTCTCCAATCTTACTTACTGTCCGTCTCATACCCGGTTCTCTCGGCATAGGTGACGACTCGGCAGGTACCGCTTGTGGTCTTTCGAGCTCATCCCTAATCTCACCTATAGCTTCGATCACGCCCACAAAGTCAAAGACACGCATGATCTTGACACGGTCGAGCACCTTAGCTGCGGCTGTCTCTTCATCGGCGTCTTCTTCCACGTCGATAGCAGTAGTCATTGCATCGGCTCCATCACCGGGACGACTGGCGTTGCCAGCATCAGGATCGTAGGATTGGCCAGACTCAGAGCCACTGGCTGACTTGCGAGCTTTTTGGGAAGTACGCTGTGATCTGAGATGGGAGATCAAGGTGCTGTGGAGACGGAGCACGGAGAAGGTGCCGGTTGTATCGATGATCGCAGCGGAGGAGAAGGGGTTGGCAACGAGGTGGGTGGCCAGGAGGTTGTTAGAGATCTGACGAGAAGGGAGAATCAGATACAGTTGAGCGATTTAGTAAGACGGGCCGATGGAAATGGGAAGAGTTGTACGCGGAAGCTGTATCTGTAGATATTTGTCCTCGCCACCTAAACGAAACTTGATGTTGCAGAACGAAAGGGACGTGGATGACACGGAATATTCAGCCTGGCATAGAGACTAAACTGACGCGGCTCGAAAGATGGACGATCTCCAAGGGAAACATCGAATGTTGAACTCCTTAGACACCTACAGCAGTCTTCCCAGTCCCCTTCTCTCCGCTAACGCAGCTGATATTTCCATAGTCAAACCCCCCGCGCAGCGCGTCATCTGTGGCAGAGCATCCGGTACCAACGCGTCTGCGCTTTGGGCTCGGCTCCGACGATTTAGCTGTCAAGGTTTCATAGAGCGTTGATGCTAGGATAGGTTGAGCAGCTGAGGCCGTCATTTTATATTCGTCAAGGTCATGTATGTGTTGAAAAGGTCCGGGTTGAACCAAAGGGGCTTAAGTTCTTCTTGGGTGTTAGGCTTCAATGCAAATATCTCTCTACTGCATTGACTCGGCATAGAATTATGAGGGTCTTTTGTGGTGGCCTTAAGTCTAGCCACCTACCAAGGCAAGTTCAAAAAAGTAGCAGTATAGCAGCACGCCAATCCGATTACGTGGGATATTTCTCAGGGACGGTATAAGCTAAGCTAGGTGTAAAAAGGTGCGTGAAGCCACGCCCCTGCCGCGCCAGTCCAGGCTCAGGTATCCAGCCGTTGCCCAATCTGCGCCATAATCGCCATACAACAACACAATGATACAAAGGAGACTCCTGTGGAAAAGCTGCAGTCTAAAGCTGGCTTTCCCCCTTGGTGAAAGCTTGTGAACAGAAAGGCGTAGCGCGCTCATGAATCGTTGTACCCAACACGTCGATCTGCGTACTGTTTCCCTCTCCCGACATCCCGATAAACCGTGTTGACGACACTCTCACGAGCCCCGTCGCTGCTCCGGCCGCGACCGCCGTCCACCCTTCAGCGACTTGACGCGGCTCAGAAACCCTCCAACGCCCTGCTTCTGTTCGCCGTCACGCCCACTGTCCACCGTTACTCTTCGCTCTAGAGGTACACCTCTCATCGGACTGATAGACGCGCCGGCTCTGCTCGGTTCCTCCACCACTTTCTCACTTTCAGCAACCTTGATCGAAGCGCCCTTCTTCTCATATGCCTCATCGTAATCATCAAAGAACGGGTTCTTCTCGTACATCTTGATACTACCACCCGTAGTCTGCGGACCACTGCGTCCGTTGATCGCAGCGAACTGAGGGGTATCTGGAGAGGTGGCGCCAACAGGACGGACTTCGTAGCGCGCTTCAGGTGATCTGATGGAGCCTTGTTCGCCGAAGCGGGGACGTGGCTGTGAGATGCCGCGGATGCGCTGCGCGAGGGACTTCTTGCGGGTGATACCGTTGTTCTGGAAAGCTTGTGCTTCTGCCTCGGACTCGCGGCGCTGCATGGCGGTGCGCGAAGCTGGTGCGCCTTCGAGGAAGGTCGAGGTGCCGAGTCCGTATGTTTCTTCCCCGTGGATGATTTCGCCTCGGTCCTTGGGATTGAAGGACATTGTGCGGTCGACTGACGGACGCTTCTTCTGTTCGTATGGCTCGGCGCTTGTGGTTGCGTAGTCGGTGAAGCCTTCGGTGCCGCGGCCGTGGAACTGGTCAAGATCTATGTTCTTCTTCAGGGGTCCGGAGCCTCCAAGCGCATTGTTGGCCGACCCAGCTGGGAAAGCCTGCATTGGAGCTCGGTTGTCCTTCCTGCGGTTGCGGTGCGGGTTGCAGGCATCGAAGGGTCCGTCGTGATGGAAGACTAGAAAGCCGGTCAGCAGACGTTCAGTCTCGAGAGAGGTGCTACACACGTCCTGCCCCGTAGATGCCAGTCACGTCTAACTTATCAATCAGATCCACTCCCTGCGCCCTCTTGGGTCTGGCGGTTCGCCCATCGCGCGGCCTCGGGTCTTTGCCCCTCACATCCTTCTCCTTTCGCTTCTCCAGGCGCCTCTTCTCCTCCTCTGTGGTCAATGAGCCTTTGTCAACCATTGAAGATTCGGAGTTGCGCCTCGGTTTTCGGTTCTCACCACGGTCGGGACTGGCAAAAATGTTGAGTTCTTTCAGCTTCGAGGGCGCACGCGGTCCGGCGCGCAACCGCTGTTCCTCTTCGGTGGATCGGGATGGGCGATGGCCTTGCGTGGGCGGTGCTCCAGATTGTTGTGGTGCAGGATAGGGGCTCGTGCCTGCAGGTCCGTTTGTTAGCTCGAGAGTTGTCAGTCAGCGGTTTACGAAGTATGTACCGTTTGCACCGTTGGTCACGGGCGCTTTGTTGTTCAAGGCCATGTCATTCTGCGGTTTCGGGTAGTTAGCGAACAGCGCAACGAAGTCTTTGAATTTCGCGTCCATGATGGGCGCTGTTGAAGATGTTCAGGGACAATGCGATGATCTGCAGAGGTGTGGCATAGTCTGTGCGATACGCCGTGTTACACACGCAGCGCACCCTTATCTGGGATCGGACAGCTGCAGGGGTTGATGTTGTGCCGACGTACAAAGAGCTGCGCGGCCTGGTCTCCCGCCGTCGCCTTCTTTGGCGATGTCCTACCCGCTTCAACAGACATGCCGCCAGCCGGTATTTGTGCTGCTCGAAACGGTTCGCCTTCGAATTCGGCGAGGAATGGATTCCTCGACACCGGTCGGTTGTTGGGGTCGGTTCGCGGTGACGGCAGAGCTGGCGAAGGGAGAGCTGGCGATGCGGCTCCTCGATTGCGGAAAGGGTTGTTCGAAGGCAGGTCGAGCGCCAAACCAGGGGAGGGTCTTCGGTCTAATAGCGCTCGAGATCAGGACGGGTCTGAGTGGCAAAAGAGGAGCGCGAAATTGAGGTACGTGTTTGGAACAGGCTGGGCATGGGAAACCTGGAAGGGCTGCGAAGCGCGCGCAGCAAGGAAACTCACCGGCCATTGCAGGCTGGGGGGCTAGCTCCATGACTGTTTATTGGTGTCTGATCCTGGCAATTCCTCGACCAAGTCCAGCGACAACAGCCAACAAAGACCCGACGTCAGTCGCTGGCAGAGCTGGTGCGAAAGGCAGAGGCAGAGGCGTGGACGCTGCGCGGGAGAATCCCGTGTCAACAATGTCAGGATCGCCGGTTAAGCGACGCCTCCTTTGGTTGCCGTAGCCCAGGAATGAAGGGAGGTACGGAGGTGAGCCCGGGCTAGTCTGAGTGTAATCTGTGCTATCGTCTGAGGATGCAATATCGAGGAGATGCTAATGCACGCTGGCGACTAATTCAGGCTGGTGATAGCTGGGGTGCGGGCGATAGGTGGGGTGGGTAAGGTGAAGGTGTTTGGATTGAAGGGATTTGGCCACGGTCGGGAAGGAAAGAGCGCTCTCGCGTGCTGGGCTGAGGCCGCATTTCAGCACACGTCGCGCCTGCAGCACGAGCACATGCCCGCGGCGATTGCTGTTAATCCTCGTATCCAACGCCCCTATTTGCAGTCTAGAGCGCGATCAGTTTGGGTAGCGTGACAGATCCGCTGATCGATGTTTGTCAGAGTCGCTCGCGCGCCGAGTTCAGGGCCTGATCTCTGGCACCAAACGCCAAACAACGCCCTGGCATCTGCGCATCGAAATGCCAAAATCTCCCCAAATCTCCCACGCTCGCCGGCAGATCGCCGTGGCACCAGTTTCAGCGACACTGCGCCCATTGTGTCACCACTCTCTCTGCACCTCTTTCCTCCGGCAACGGCATCACCAGTCACATGTCCTCCCGCTGCAGACAAAACCCCAGCTCGAGCACGCTCTGAATCCCGCCTAGGGCTCACGCTATCGCCCAACACCGTTACGGCCGGGGTCCACCTGTCAGGGGTCAAACCCCGACCGAGGGACGTTTTGCGGGGAAGGAGCCGGATCCCGGATCCAGCGTGGTCTGCTGCAGCATCTCCAAGCCGCCGTGCGCCAGCAGCGCCTCTTCCGTTCCGCGGTGCTGCTCCGCCATCAACCGCATCTCAGCCCGGCCTTCTTGCACCCGTAGCCTACCAAGAGCTTCGAAAATCAACAAAATCCGCCACCGAAGCATTGGTTCGTTCCCGCATGCATAACCTTGCCCTGTCTTTACACCGCCATGGCCGAGCCGCAGGACTCAGTTCCCAGGGAGGAGTATTACGGTGGCTACTCACGGTTTGAGCTTGAACTGGAGGTACCTCAGCCAACAGGCCTGCTGCTAAAACTAACGTCGCTGACTGAGTTTGGCTGCAGTTCGTCCAGTGTCTCGCCAATCCACACTATCTAAATCATCTGGCTACCCAGAAGCTCCTCGACAACCCCGAGTTCATCGCCTATCTTGACTACTTGCAGTATTTCAAAGAGCCCAAATATGTCAAATACCTAGTGTAAGTCAGGAATCGTCAGACTTCCCTTATCCCAGCCGGCCGAGATGACTGACAGCGCTTTACGTACCGCAGATATCCAGGCCCAACCTTGCGGGCACTTCAGTTGCTGCAGCAGGAGCAGTTCCGTAAAGACATCCTGAGCCCACAGCTCGTTATGAGGATGGTCGAGGAAGGCCTCAAGGCTAGCGAAAGGGACCGTCCCTGAATCCTCCGTCTAGCTCGATTGAACCTTGAGAAGTCACCGCTAGCACACGGCTTAGTTTAAACCTCGCTCCAGTCAACTGGCACACGTCAGCCCCACTGTTTGGATCGCGAGGTTGGATGTGGCTTGGTATTAAAATGCCTTGAACAGGGCTCACAGCGTGTTCCGTATCTAGTACCATGCCACTAGAGCCGCCGCGGAGGCCTTGATGAGTATCATGAGCACGGCACTGACGACAGGGCTGCAGTCACGAGGAGCAAACAAGAGGTCAAGAAGGAAACGCAATGTCTGAATACTTTTCTTCTTCTATCAAACCTGAACACCGGGTATCTTTATGGCCGTGCAAAAATGCCCACACATGCGCCCCCGGCAAATGCATAAATCCCCTCGTTCCTCTACTCTCTCCACTGCTTTGCACACGTCGTACACTACCATCGTCAGCTCAGTCATTCCAGCTCGCCGCCCCTCGACCTACCCTAAAGAACGAAGTCATAGGCTCATCCGCGCTTCGAATCTGCAGCTGATAGAAGTACGCCTCACTTCCCTCGCACTTCTCGTTCGGGCATTGCACTGTACTGTATCAGCGCTCTTCCTTATTCCCTTCTCTGCTTCGTCAGAGCTCCTCCTCGCCCAGGCCCAACAAACACAAACTCACCCTCGGTCTTGTCAGCATTCTTCCACGTATCCGCCCCGCCCATGACATCCTCGACCTCCTTCCGCTTCATGGTCTTGCGCTCGTAGTACCGCTTGTCGAGCACGTATTGATAGGGGCAGGTTCGGCATTCGAAGGCGTTCTTGTCGGAGAGGTGCGGGGAGACGTCGTTGTGAGGCAGCCGGGCGACGGTGAGCATGTTGCTGCATGCTGGGCAGACTGTAGGTAGGCGTACTCGTTAGCTAGATGTCCAGAGGAGGGTGACTACTGGCCAACTGGGGATTCTCGCGTCATAGATGCCGTGGAGAAGGGGACGAAGCGGAGGATTAAGAGAAGGAGACATACAGAGCAACATCTTGCTAGCTTTGCACCGCTCTAATCGGTATGAGTCCCATATGAACTTTTGACTTGCTTCGCGCAACTTGCAGGATTCCACACACACAAGCCTTATCGATAACTACCGGCGCAATGTAGCGGGCCGAGAAACCGGGAGCGGGCGCTTTCAGCCGCCTTGTCACCTTGTCACAGCCGCTTGAGACGCGCGCCAGCTTTATTTAGAGACAACTCACTTTCTTGCCAGATTTCTCCTCCACACACGTAGGAGTTGCTTACGAATTATTGTGGACAGCAAGTCCTTCAAATCCCTCCACTGCCTCAGATCTACAAACCACACCACTACCGCACTTTCGAAGCGCCCCTAAGCACCCCACGTACCACCACGTACTCTTGCCGGGCTCCGAAGCCCCAAGCAACCGCCCTAGATGGCCGACGAGGTACTACTCGCTTCGCAAGCGTCCGCCAAACAGCCACACTAACAATCCATCAAGGGCGCCTCCCCTCAAGAACTGATCCTCGAAGCCTGCCGCCGCAACAACACCGATCTGCTCTCCGAAGTCCTCACCGCCCTCTCCAAAGCCTCCAAAAACCCGACCGCCCACATCGCCAGCACCCTCAACACTGCCCGCGACGGCATCGGCAACGGCGTCCTCCACCTCGCCGCCTCAACCGGCTCCTACGACGTGCTGGACATCCTGCTCGACCAAGAAGGACTGGAGATCGACGAGCTGGACCGGCTGGAGCGCGACACGCCGCTCCACAAAGCCGTGCGCTTCGTCAACGGCCTGAGTCAAGAGGAGTGGGCCGAGGGACACGCGGTCGTGGAGATTCTGCTAGACGCGGGGTGTGACCCCAGGATACGGAATAAGGCGAAGCTGAAGCCGGGGGAGCTGGTGGATCCGAGGAACCAAGAGTTGAGGGCGATTCTGCAGAGGGCGGAGTTTGCGTTTTTGGCGGGGGATGATGTTGTCAGGGAGGATGGGGATGATGGACAGGGGAGTGGGAGCGAGAGTGATTAGGGGCGGTTGGGGATGAGGAGACGAGAGCAGTACATGTTGGTGAGTGGGCGGGAAGCGCTGGAATAGGCCGCTGTTTGGAGGCATCTTGTATTGTAAGCATAGCACGGAGCGAGTGGATAGACAGCGGAGAATTTCTCTGATAGCATTTGCTACCCTTGATAGAGGGACGATCCTCTGAGAGATCTCTGAACCATCAGGTAGTGCTCCCTGCACTCTTGTTTGATTCCCCTTGTTGTTGCTGAAGCAACAAATCTGATTCTGGATGATCCTGCAGTCTTGCGCAGAACAGCTGCCATGCCATGAAGCTTTATCCGTTCCTCGGACACTTCCGCAGCAAGCCCATCATCGATCCCATACCCATCTCTCCACCCTCGCCTTGCACTCCCCAGCACCCTGCACCAAACTCTCAGTTCCAACCATCATCCATCAGCAACGTCTTTCACACCACTCGTAAAACCCATGGAGTTCTCCTCGTCCTCCCGCTCCATCAATCCTCCACCGCCGGCGGCTTCCCCACCGGCTGCACCATCTTCTCGACCATCTGCAGCCTAACCTTCTCCCTGGGCTCGCCCAGCCCGATGGCCATGTACTGGAGCAGCGGAGGGTGGCCCACGTAGGACGCGTAGCTGTCGCGCGCGATGTTGGACGTCCATTCGAACTTTGTCGTGTCGGCGTGCCCCGTGCCGACGTAGCGGGACTGGAGCGCTTCGAGCTGTTGTTGCGCGCGGAGTTTGTCGGCCATTGCTGAAGAGGGGAGATAAGGCGGTCTGGGGTACGAGCGGTGAGGGAGCGGAGAGGTAGAAGGCGGGGGTGATGCTGTTGAGGAGGGTGGTGTGGTAGAGAAGGCGTGGAGTGTGTGGAAGGTGTGGAGACGGTCTTTGTGAGGTTGGCGGTTTGGCGGGAGGCGCTTGGGGGGTGCGGATGTAGCTGTTTGAGGTGTCTGCGGCTCGGTGGAGTCGTAGTCGTGAGGCGGTCAAGACTATTGCAGCGTGTTTGAGTTGAATGCAGGTGGTGTTGGTGCAGTGAGCTTTTGATCTGACGATGTTTTGTCGGAGAAAGTTCGGAGCTCCGAGAGAGCTCTCAAAGCATTCGAAGCCGTGAACGCCATTAGCATATGAGTGATGAGGACCCGGATATGGCATTCCTTCTGTCAAGAGTAGGGAAGCGGCACGGATTCATAGCACAGCGACTGCCGCCCAGGCCGGCTTCGTAACGACGACGAACTACCGCACCGCGGGCGCAACCAGCAACATGGCTACGGGCCCAATAACCCCAGCCGACGACATGGCAGACAGCGTGCGCTCTCTCTCGCCAACAGCTCAGGAACCCGCCGCCTACAATGGCACCCGCGACACTAGCGTCTTCGACGATGCTGTTATGCACCTTGTGCTCGAACCTCCCTCGCCCTCCGGCATCGTCATCTTAACCGATACCAACGAACAACCAGTCAATCACCACAGCATCCGCCTCGCCGATATCGACCCTCCCTCCCTCCCTACAATCCCCGCCCACGAGCTTCCCCTCCCCCTCACCGACCCTCGCCGCATCTACCGCTCCCCCCTCCCTGGCCTCCTCCTCACCCATCCCAATGGCTCCCCCGAAGGCGGCCCCTCCCCCTTCTCCTCCATTCCCACCACACACGACGAATTCGCACAGCACTTCATCCGCTTGCACGGCATCCGGAGCCCCGAAGAGCTGGAGCGGCGGCTCGGTGCAGCGATGCAGGAGCAGAAGGACGAGCTGAGGCGACGGATGAGGAGGAGGGAGGAGGCGATTGAGCATAACGCGAGGATTGAGAAGGAGATTCGGAATTTGGTTGATCAGAGGGCTATGGAGGTGAAGCTGGAGGAGAAGCTTAAGGCGGGTGCCGCGAGGAGGCGGGAGGAGAGGGAGGAGAGGGAGAGGAAGAGGAGGAAAAGGGTGTGAGTGGGGCTTTGGGGCTTGAAAGGATAACAATGCGGGCGGTGGGGACGTGGCAACTCCAGGAGCTCACAGAATCCTGGCGATGTGTTTGGCGTTTGGTGTTTGTATGCTCAGTAGGGCGTTTGGGGCGAAGAAGCAGATGGCGGTTGTTAGATACCCAGGAGCACACTAGCGCTCTAGTATTTCAATCACGCTGTTACGGTCAGGACAAGTCTGCAGAGGTACGTGTTCAGTAGCAAACGTTGCTCAGGTGACAAACAGTGCTAATAGAGGTATAATTACAGGTAAATCACTCTTGAACCTCCATCCGCAAGATATCCTAACTAAGCTACAGAAAAATTCAATTATTAGCCATTCTAGGCAGTATATGCATTGCTGGCCATTGTACGTGGCCACTTGCAATGTCGGGTCACGTGCAACAGCTTGTGAAGAAGTGACAGAGACCTGAGCGACGTGCAAAGAGCGAGGTGAAGCTGGGTAAGCGACTGCATTCACTGCGTCTCCAGCTTCCTTTCCGCCACCCAGTCTTCCTATCAACATCCATCTTCATCTTCCTCTTTCCGCATCAACAACACAACCCAGTTTCAACATCAACGTGCCGAATTGAAAATCAGTCATACAAACAACCATGTATCCACAGATCGTCTTTATCCGCGATAAGATGCCCGTCCTCATTGACCGCGCCAAAGAGCTGCAAATTCTCTCTCCTCACTGGGTCCTCAGTATAGGCAAGGAAGCCAAGTTCATAAGCACTCTAGAAGACAAGCTCGTCCGTGTTCCCTTGGTCACTCTGTTCGCACTCAACTGATCCACCGATAGCGCGCCACTCTACCCAGACTGATTTCGCAGTTTGGCGTAGAGGCCACGAAGGAGGCCGCACCGGACTGGGAGTGGGATTGGAAGCGCAACTGTTGGCGCGTTGTCTTCCGCATCCCCATCCGCGAGGTCGAAATGGACCACGAAGTCGTCCTGCTGAGTGCTTGTGAGTAAAGGACGACGATCCTAGTGGCTTGATGCTGGTCGCTGATGGCGACTAGGCACGTATCAGACGGGCTTTGGCTGGCGCGTTGAGGAGATGACGGGAGGGTCGCGAGACCAGGGAGTCTTGCCGGCGAAGTAAGTGACGACCCCTAGCTTTTCCCCTGGTCCTGCCGCTGCCATACTAAAATATGAATTTGTAGCAGCGGAGAAGACGAGGACTGGGAGCTCGTTTGAGTGGCGCCTTGTTCGGAAAGACGCCGAAGCATCACGACAGCATGGCTTAGCCACGAGAGTACGATAGGAGGACAAAGGGATGCTGCAAGCTCTGAGGGTGGGATTTGTTACAGTAGATTTGATGATCTTAACGGGCTTCCGCTTCGTGATGCCGTTCGTCTAACATGCTTGGTCATCACAGGGCCCTCTCCGTTCGACCATTGAACATAGAATAGTACAATTTCAATTGCCTCTCAGCTACCATAGATTCGCAGCATCAACGCTTCGCCCTCTTGACCATGCCCTTCTTCCTATTTCCAACAACATCCCTCCCCTCCTCGATCTGCAGCAGCGCCTCCCTCTTCTTCTCGCCTACAACCTTCAGCCCATCTCTGATAACCCTAGTCTCAAGGTTGACGTCCGGCTCCTCATACTCCGCCATCTTCTTCCCCACGCGTTCCTCAATCGCCAACACCAGCTCAACATCCCTCTGCCCAACAAAGGTGACGCTCTCGCCCTTCCTGCCTGCTCGCGCCGTTCGGCCAACCCGGTGAATGTAGTCGTCCGGGTCACGTGGGACGTCGTAGTTGATCACTAGCTCTACCTCCGGGATATCGAGACCTCGGGCCGCGACGTCTGTGGCGACGAGTATGCGTGCTGCCTTGGCGCGGAAACGGGCGAGGTTGGCTATTCGGTCCCGCTGGGGGAGCTTGGAGTGTAGCGCTGTGACTCTGTGTTCGAGCAGTCGGAGCATGTACTCGAGGAGCGTGGCGGTGCTCGTACGGTTGCAGAAGATGATGATGGATTTGGAGAGGTTGGCTGGTGTTAGCAGGAGGACGTGCAGGAAGGATTCTCGCTGCGTGACAGGCGCCTGGAGGTACTTTTGCTGCAGGGTCGGAGGTATAGCTAGGACTTCGGTGTCGACTTCGCAAACGAAAACTGGAGGTCGCCCAGGTGGAGTGGGTTGGTCTTTCAATGCGAGGACTTGATCCGTCATTGTTGCTGTGAAGAGACAGGTTTGGCGTTCTGTCCTGGGCGGAAGGACCGAGAAGCAGGTATCGAGGTCTGGCAACATACTGCCCTTCTCGCTCGGTGCAAGGAGTCGATCGGCTTCGTCCAGTACTACGAAGCGAGTCCGACGAAGGCCACATATCGTATCCTCGCCTGAGGTGTTGATGTGATCAGCCAGCCGGCCGGGGGTGGCGATGACCACGTGAGGACGCTGTGAAAGGGCAATAGCCTGAGCGCGCATGTCTCCGCCCCCTGTGATGAGTATAGACTTCAACGACTGCGGTGCTGAGATTGCTTTAAACTGTTCATGAATCTGCAAAGCGAGTTCCCTGAGGCTCCGGTCAGCACGCAAGGTAGATGGAGCTCTATGCATCTTACCTTGTTGGCGTCAGGATCACAGCAAAGATGCCCCTCGGATCTTCAGCCCATGCCTGCAGGATCGGGACTGCGAATGCTACAGTCTTTCCGGACCCCGTACGGCTGCCACCGATACAGTCTCTGCCCTGCATAATCTGAGGGATGGCAGCCTTTTGTATTCCCGTAGGATGCTTGATCCTGAGGGCCGAAAGGGAGGCTACAAGCCATGGATGCACGCCCAAGGTCGCAAAACTCGTACTGCTCTTGCCCTGTACCGCCGCTTGAACCGAATCGGGCTCGCCAGAGTCCTTAAGCAGCAGACCAGTCTTCTTGGCTCTTATACGGGAAAGACTTGAAGTGGGTAGCGATGACTGCGGATGGACATGATTCTCTAAAGATGGAGACAATCTTCTGCGCTTCCTCGACCCATCGTAAGAGACTTTGACGTGAGAACTGGAATCTGAAGCATCCAGATCACTTTCAGGACCTGGCGGTGATCCGCTTCTAGACGACACAGACATAGTGGAGAACCCCAGCCAGCCCGGGCGGAAGTAAACGCGAAAGCCTCCGTAGATTGAGAATCTAGACAGCTTTGCCGCGCAGTACAATCCGACTCTCTAGGCAGAGGTGAAAATTATGTGCATCCTGTATCAAGCACGTGATCTTGAGGCTCACGCTCAGAAAGTTTTCGGGAGCTCGGGCCGGCAAGATCGCTTACGTGATTGCAGCGGCAGCGAGACGGGGATACGCCGGGGACGAAAACCCCATCTTACCGAAGGTATGGAAATCGCATCTTCGCCAGAATCCTTGCAGGATTTTGTGGCTGTATCAATGGTGCTGCCCACTCACACAACAAGTCAATCTCATCTCACAGCCCTTCCAACTGGCAACAAACTATGGCTTGAAATGGAAACAAAATCCTCCTCTACTCGTATCATCCGTGGAGTCGTAGAAGGCGAGTTGAACGGCTAACAACTGACCCTCGGACCCTGGACGAGCACCTGCAGCTCGTGACCGCCCTTCCTGCCAAGATGCGGCTGGAGCAACTAGCGTCAAGTCGATGACGACCCAGATCTCAGTTCAAACGCCTCTTTCGGTTATTTTGTTGAGACCTCATCGCTGTACCTTACAGACACCCCGGAATTCGCTGTAATCTTGCTTGTGCCTTGCCGTTTCAGCTGTAGCACATGCTTAGCACCACAGCTCTTTACCGAAGTCGGAATGTGCGTACGGGGGCAGTTTCCTCGGCGCGCTGGGGCAGTCGGAGCTCTGTGCGGACGCCGCTCCTTTTCAGTGCAGCCACATCTCGGTAAACAGACAAACTCTCGTGCTTTTTCCACCACCGCTCCCTGTGCCGTGGTGAAGACGCTCTCTCCCCGTGTTTCGAATACGTCACGCAGTCTTTCCGTTTGGTGGAGGCGACCCAGACCTCACCATTTCCGACACCCACACCTGGGGCCCCACTGCTTCTACATTCCTTAATAACGACACCAATCCCCTCGACCATCACGCAGCAAAGATGTCTTCCATGGAGGCTTCAGTTCTTACTGCGCTTCGGCACCGCGAGGTGGCCGCAATGGGCAAAGAAGGCTCGGATTTGGCTGATTCGGGCGTGCAAGGCGAGGGCGATTCCAAGAGCGACATGATACGTCTGCCATGGAGTCGCAACACTCGCTCCTCGTGGGTCCTGAGTGTAGGATGCGTGATGGTAATCATCACGTGCCCTTTCCTGATCCACATGACTTGGATCGCGCTTGAATACTTCGACAGCTCGCTTTCTAGGGCCATAGGCACCATGCTCGAGATGGGCCCCGTGCCTTTCTTCATCGAGTATGTTGCCGTTCCGAGCAAGCAGGAAATCCTCGGATATGGCCTATGGCTCGTCTTTCAAGGAACGTTATACGCCTACCTTCCGGGTCGATCAAAAGGACGCCCGACTCCTGCGGGGCATGTCTTGGATTATCACACTAATGGATTCCTGGCATGGCTTATCACTACCACTGGTTTCATTGCGGGAATCTACTTCGATGTGATCGACCCGACCGTTTTGGTCAATCATTGGGGAGGATTGGTCACCATTCTCAACGTCTACGGCTTCATTCTGGCTACTGTTGCATACCTGAAGGCTCGATTGGCGTCCTCGCACCCGAACGACAATGTTCACCTCGGTAGGAGCAATATCCAATTCCGATGACATGCAGAATGCTAACCCGCTGTATCAGGAAATTTCTGGTATGACTTCTTTATGGGCGTTGAGTTGAACCCACGCTTCGGCCAGGACTGGGACTGGAAGCTCTTCCATAACGGCCGGCCAGGAATCATTGCCTGGACGCTCATGTAAGTCACGTTCTCCCCCGTCTTGGATGCCTGAGCCTGCCCTTCGTGTTCGTAATCCTTGGGAAGCTTTCTTTCTGATGGGGACTTACTAACCTCAACCTTAGTGACATATCTTACACTATGTATCAGTATCGTACCTTCGGCTACGTAACGAAGTCAATGCTCATCGTTGACATACTGCAAACCTTCTATGTAGTGGATTTCTTCTTCCATGAGAGCTGGTAAGTAATTCCAACTCTGCTTTTACAAAACCTTCGCTGATCATCTGGAAGGTACCTCTGGACCATCGACATCGTGCTCGACCATTTTGGTTTCAATCTTGCTTGGGGTTCTGCAGCCTGGCTTCCCACTATCTACACTCTCCAGGTCCAGTACCTTGCACGTCATCCTGTGGAGCTGTCCATGCTCAACGCAGCAGTCCTGCTCCTCACTGGGTGCGCAGGCTACGTTCTCTTCCGCTCCGTGAACAATCAGAAGGATCTCGCCCGTCGCACTGAAGGCGACTGCACAATCTGGGGAAAGAAGGCACAGATCGTTCGCGTCCAGTATACGACCACTGACGGCCGCACTAATCAATCCATGCTATTGTGCTCTGGTAAGTAACTGCGCCGCATTCCATCCGCTCAATGGACTGTCGAAAAACTGACCACGTGATCAGGTTGGTGGGGAATAGCACGCCATGTCAATTACGTTGGTGATCTGATGCTGTCTTACGCTGCATGCGCCACCTGCGGCTTCACGCACCTCCTGCCCTGGACCTACGCCATCTTCATGACTATTTTGTTGGTGCACCGCTGCCTGCGTGACGAGGCAAGACTTTCCGCAAAGTATGGAGACGGTTGGAAGGAGTACTGCAAGGCTGTGCCGTACAGACTCATCCCCGGCATTTGGTAAGCGGCTGAACGTCGGACTTGCCAGGAGTCACTTCTGCCTGCATGCTCAAGAGGAAGAATTTCAATCTCTGTCAGATTGAGGAGCAATACTACTTCTCGGCTGGCTGCTCGCAGAATCAAGGCGTGGACGGCATGGATAGATAGATCTTTTTGTGTGTGCATTGGGTGGTGTGAGCGGTGTGGGTAGAGGGTTGTTTTCTCTATTGCCACTTCTGTTACTATCACAGGCGGCTGGGAGAAGTGGTCGGCATAATGCTCAAGCGTAGTATCAACGACTAAGCATAGCGTTCAGAGACAAGGTAGAGGCCGTGGCCGACTCGTGGCAAACCCTAGAAAAGCTACTTTACAATGGAGAATATGATTCGTAAAGCTTCTCAAGACTCCTGATTTCCACCTTTGTGAGCAAACGTCTCCTCAATGCTACTGGTCTTGAGGGCTTTCTCCATCATGACAAACTTCATTAATGTCGCTCATCTACGACTACTGAATTCGTGTTTAAGTTACACGAAGCCTCCTCAATCCATATCGAAGCCTCTTCCGGGTAAGCGCAGATACAGTATCGCCCTTTGAGCGTGACATTACTCAGAAACGAGTAAAGTTGTCTGCTCTCTAGCACAAGATTCGTCGACTTATCCGCCGACACACAGCGCGACCGACGTTGGTGGTACGCTAGAGGGACGGTCCGTGGTACCAAAAACCCATATCGTGGAAGCCACCGGGTTAAACAACGCCACGCAGCGGGGCTGGCCCACGTGGTCTCTCAACATCTTGCATGACGGCCACTGTTGAGGCCGGCAATTATGGCATTGACCGTAGAAGATGGTTTACCTTGTGGGGTTCGTTCACTGTCGACCCATGGTTCATCAAGGTGGGTCTGTCTGGAGGAAACAGGATCAAAGTACATATACCTCTCTTCTGTGCTGCTGTTCTCTCCCGCATTCAAGTTCCCTAACCAAATATTGCGGCGAAAACACTTCCATCGAGCGGACCCGGTAAACCTCTAAAATGGCATTCGAGGCCTCCCAATCGCCAATCCAAGGCGACGCCATACCTCCAAGCTATAGCGCGGTGGCTGATGAACATAGCGGAATAGATATCCTTGAGACGATATCATCGATAATGTCTAGAGAGCTTAAGTCGCCCCTAGGCGAGTCTTCGCCTGATGAAGTGCGACGGCTACAAAACTTCCTCCTCTACACCCTCGCCGTCGATTATATGGCGGAAATTGCAGTCAGCCTGAGCGCGGAGGACCAGCTTCACTTCCTCCAAGTCGCAGATTGCCTGGGATCTCTCTCTCTGAGCACTGAGGTCGTCAACCCAACCGAACAGGACCGACAAGTCCTGGGACCGTTCTTCTGGACGCATCTCCACAAGCCGGCACAAGCCCTGGGGATATCATCGGATATCGTGCTCCTAGCAATATCTCGCTTCCGTCAATATCGCGATGTCACAGGCCGCTATAGGGGAAGTGTCGAGATGATTCGCCATAACTCCGGCTTGCGGCATCTTGCTATCAAACTCTTCACCGATAAAAATTTCATGATCATACAAGTTGCTCGTACCCCGAAGGAGGCCGAAATCCTGATCCACGCATTAAATGATGTGCAGGGAGAATTTTTCGAGTCATTGGATTTTGGTGCCGCTGTGGAGCTGCAGCCGAAGCAGGGACTGGATGAATGGTGCCACGCTCACTTTGAATCCTATACGCTGACCAAGGAGGGACGGTACTACCAGGCACAGCAAGAGCAGGGCACGAAACGCAAACCGGTTCTGCAAATGGTCAAATCCTGCTTACAAAGCTTGAAACAGCTAGCAAGTCTGGAGCGGCTCAATGAACTGCTGGGAAGGCCCAGGATTACACCAGCACCCACAACGACGCCGTTAGATGAAGGCGATCGGCTTTCGGCTGCGTCTTGTTTTGATCCAGATTTTTGGATGGGTGGGAAGGGGAGGAAGTACTTTGCGCACATCGTGTGATGTCTTCCCTTATCTCACTCTTCTCATTTGATGGAACACTCCTTGTACACGTGATCAGGAAGTTCATGCGTATGGGCCTTGGTGTTGTTTTTGTGGGCAGTTACTTGGCTGTTTCTTTGGCCTGGATTGTTTGATCAATCCTGTTTTCACGAACTCGATGAACTGTACGAGTGCCCTGCTTGGAAACAGCAAGCACATACAATGTTGGTGTCAGTTTGCGATCTGTCCACCTTCTGGCAGCACGATCACACCCCTACCCGTAGGAAGGACCTGCGGTTATCTCACAGATGATTTGTTCCCATAGTGACCAATATTTGACGTTGAGTGGTGGACCGAGACATCAAAACCGTGCCTAGCAATAGACCTTTGCGGCGCCACGGACCGTTCCGTTGGGGTTTCACGATGTTCCATGGTCCGCATGCGTTGCATTTCTACAGCGTAGCGATGCCCCAAGCCGGAGAATGGCATGCCAACCGGGACGGGCAGCGTGGCCCATGAATAGGAAAATCAACTCATGCTCGTCTCTTGAATGTCGGGTCTCACGCTGCATGCATTCCTAGATTCTTGCAGAGAAATGTCGCCCTGACCCGGACTATTGACGAGCAGTCCCTACACACATCCTTCGGTCATCTCCGCTCGCTCTGACATCGCCTGGAATGTTCATACGGTAGAGGCAGTGGCTTCTAAACAGAGGGTCTCTGCAGGGGCTGTGGAGTACCAGGTTGGGCGGGATATTGCATACTGGCCCTTTAAACGCCCGACTTAAGCGCATGACAGTGGTGCATAAGATACGTTCTAATGCCTGTGCAGCTCCTGCTTTGCTCAGGAAGTTCTGAGCCTGGGCCCGTTTAGGAGCGGTATGAGAAGCGCCGGCTCAAGGAAGACGAGTGCGAGGAGAGAGCAGCCGGCTTCAACAATGCTTAGGGTGATTAAGGGCGACTTGAGTAATGTCTGGTTCTGTGGACTGTGTCAATAGCGTTTGCAAGATTTGTCTGCTCTTGCGCTCTATCAGCTTCGTATGCAGTGCTGGCTGTAGTCGTAAGCGAGCGTCAATACATGCACTGCTGTTTGTTCTTTCAAACATATCAGCAGCAACCCGCAACAAATCACAACGACCGAGCCAGTCTTGAATCTTTTGACAACGCGCACATTCTCGGAGGCACGTATGTGCAAGGTGAAGGGGTTCCCTTTGAGCTTTAGAAGGGTAAAGAATAGCTGCAGTTCTAGTGAAGCTGACGCTTCTTTTACATCGCAGTCCGGAGGGATCCCGGATCGGCTGTCTAGACACAGAGATTGTCACGATACATCAGCGAGCATTACACGTCTTCTAGCCGCAGAGGCATCCGAAACACACACGGTCCTTCGCTACATTGCTAGATCAAGCGCTAGCTCAGAAAGAAGATCTTAGGGGTAAGTTCGTGTCCGTAGCTTCTGCAAGCCATCTAGATCTCTGCTTACCACTCGTCCAGGGCCCTGATGATCCGCTCCATGTCGAGACCAGTCTGAAGTTGCTTGATTGCGTCGTTTTGCAGTTACTGACCGGTCCCGCAACTGCAAACGAAGTTCTCTTCGCGGTAGGACTCAATGTCGACAGCGGAGAACTGGCCGGGAAGAAACAAATCCGTTCCGCCAGCGGCTGCTCCGTGGTCAAATGTTGCAAGAAACTCGCGCTCTGAATCTGAAGGGGAGATGTTCGAGAAGAAGATCGAGAAGGCAAACCACCGTAACAGCCGGCACCTCTCCTCTCTCAATCATGGTTCCCAGCTAAACGCTTCGCTCCCAGGCTTAGATCTTCACCTCCGCCAATGAGCGCGTTTCTCCACCAGTACCACGCGTCACCATAGTGAGCTCCGTTCCAAACCGCTTGTCGTCATGTGGTACTCGCCGCTACTCGCAGAACCGTTCGGCTGCGTCGAACACACCCCGAACCGTGTCGTTTGATCGGGACCTCCGCCCATCGGCGGTCTGACGGCACTGCCTGCGAGAATGGCATTGAAGGTGGTATCATTTCAGAACTGCCTCAGTGTCGAGCTGGACTGGGAAGCCAACGAAGAACGCTCATATGCCACATATCTTCCTTTGATACGTCCCGGTCTCGTGCTGTCCGGCCGCGGTTCCATGTCAGCAGAGCTTCGCTACCGTTCTTGAAAAAGGCTCAGAAAAGTGTTCGATGCTTCTCGCAGAACCGGGCATTCACTTCAGCAACAGAATACAGCGCCGAAGCAGCGCAAGCATCCGCGTTCTTCCTCTTGACCGCCGCACACAGTCTATACAACAGAAATCTTCAAGCGGACGTTGATGTGCTCCTTGAGTAAGATACAACTGCCAGGACAAATATCCCGGGTACCGCCCCGTCTTGGGCGGTCCAGCGTGCATACCTTGGTGTCCTCTCTGCCGCCGCAAGTATCGATCCCGCGCTTGCAAGCCAAGCGCGCAAGGAACCATTGAACCAAGCAAAGTCAGTGATGGACCGCCGAAGCCTGCGAAGGTTCCGCGCAAAGTGAAGGCGAACAAGGAGTTAGAGGCCGGTAAGAGCAAGTGGAGCGAGTTCCAGATCGAGGGCAAGCTGGGGAAGATGGCGAAAAAGGACAGCATGTTCCGGGCGCCGGAGGGTGTCAACGCCAGAGGTGTGTTGCTACGTGTCGTATCATCCTATTTTGTTTCGCTAATATGACTGCAGTGGGCTTCACTAGCTCTGGTTAGGCAATGCGAAAGGATCCCACTCGGGGTAGACACATCTACCAGGTCGACGACACTGAAGGCTATTGAGACAGAGATGAGTGACTCGGGGGACGTCTGAAGGCGGAACCGCAAGAGTTCGTTGACATGTTCCATATCAGGAGAAGCTTCGCTGAGATAACGTCCTTCGCAGGAACGGGCGAACACCATACGCGATAATTATCTTCAAGGAGCGTCTCGAAACGTAAGTCAAGATATTCGCATCCCGCATCATCCGCACTCCGATGCAACAGCATGCAAAATGCTGAGCATCAGTTCTTGAGGGATGCTGTCCACGCACGGTCTTCGGTTGGTCCGTACTATGTTCCTGACGTCCGCAGGAGTACTTCTACACTGCGCTCATGAAGTATCGAGACGAGTACTTGAAAACTACGCCAGAAGCCCTGGTGGCGGAGAAGATGACGCCCTCAATGGGCTTCGGCATGTCCAGATCCCACAACGAGATGCGGCGCAGACGCCCGTCAAACGCCCAGTGGGCGCGAACGCTTCTTCACCTGCGCCTCCACCCGGGACGCCAGTCAACCTCTCGTTTAATGTGCCTTCCTCGTCCAACGTTGCCGGTCCTGAAATGGGGGACATAATACATGCGAGTTCTGGCGGATTCTCCCGTTGGGCCCATCCGGAGGGAACGGAAGAGGGCACTAGGCTATTCGGCAAGCGACAATCATCACGAGAAGCCATCGTCTGAAGAAGAGAACCCGCCTCCGCTGCCCACAGGTAGCCACCAGCGGTCGAAGTCCGCGTTCTCCGTCTTGAACGACGAACACTTGCAATAATGGCATAGATTGCACAAGCTGTCCTCGGCAGACACAACCTAGTGACTGCTCCCGTCCGTACGTCCTTCTCATCAGTTCCCGAAGATGCTTGATGCTGACCGTTCCCAATAGCGTCTCCCTCCGCCAACAAAACAAGCTCAAAGAGCAAGGGTATGGACATGGCTGAAAATGGGGTGGAGGTAGTGAACAGGTGGGAGCAAGACGGCGAGTTTGGCATATCTGAAACGAATTTGATCCGGATGGGTTTCAGCACAGTTGGATTGGTCTTGATTGGCCTCAACGCCACCCGCTTGGTCTGTTTTTGATTCGGAATGGAGAGATCGATGAAGAAACGCGTAGGAGTGGCGCTTCAGCAGCACGTGTGTATTGTCTTCGGACGCAGAATGATAGCCAAAGTTTTTCTATCTCATATGATACTGCCTCAGAAAACTCATCGTCTGATGTAACGATCTTGCTCGAATGGAAGACTTGTGTCTACGGCCTTCGGTGACACTGCGTTGCCTAGCTTCCCATACCGGCGCTTGACTGAGATACATGTAGATGTTCGTAGAGCATACCTGAGGCGCCTTCCATTCAATGCAAGCCGCCGTGCCATGATATTGCCGCTTTCTTTCGGCTAGTGATTCTCTTGTAAATTGTAAAATATGGCAGGGAGTATCTGCTGTCTTGCAACTACGCTTTGTCCGAACTCAAAGGCGTCTCCTCTTAGCTCCTCGCCCGGTGCTCCAAGAGCGGACTGTCTGGATGCGAACGCAGGCATGGGGCCATAGTAGAATGCTAGGTTTGCCTTGCTGAATTACTGATGCAGCAGGCTCTCAGGAGTAGACGACATTGATCACCTGCAAAGTTCCACTCAGTCTCTGTTCCAATGCAGCGCTCATCATAGATCCAGCTCGTGTGATTTTGTAGGCGCTGTGCTGGGAACTGGTTGACTATAAGGAGAAGCGTAGAAAGCTGCACTGGGCTGCCTAGTGGGTAATGGACGCGAGCTGGGCGAGACCAAGCAGGGTCTTCAGAAAAAGCCGTGGGAGGTCGACCTGTTGAGCAGATCCAGGGGGCCGGAATCTGCTGAAAGCCGTTATACTATGAACTGGAGCCATACCTGCAGGACAGCGTAGGGACTTGGCGGCTTGTTCAGCCCTATGGGTTGATGGGGAGCAGCCTGAAGTTCGCTTCGTCGTCATGTTTCCTCCCCTAATTTCGTTCAACTTTTCAACAAACATCAACCCAAAGCAACCACCAACTACCACCACTCTTTCTTCTTTCACACTGCACAATGAACAGATACCTCTGCCTGGTTGCTGTCATCTTTGGCCTTGCGTTCCTCTTCTACATTCTGGAACAGCTGAGACTTCCGCACTCCAACCCGTTCCGTCACTGAGTTGTAAGTAACTAGATCTTCATCTTGGCGACAGCGAGTAGGACAGGCGGGCGAGCAAAGCCGCTACCCTCACCACAATATCCAAACGCCTAGAGCCGACCTTGTTGTCGTGAGCTGCTAACCGTGAGGTGTCGGACTTCAGACCAACTCGCCTTCACCGCTGCCTGTCAACAACCCTTCCTACCACAACAATTTCAACACCTGTAAGTACAGCGGCAGCGAGTCCATCGGCAGGAGCAGTGCTCGGTCTCTGTCCGTCTTCCGCTCCATGCACACACCGGCGTGTGTCTCAACTGACAATGACTTTGCCGTCTAGGTCGACTTCTTTCTCCATCACGACAATGACAAAGGCGGCAAAGCAATCATCTCGGAGTAAGAGGCTTCCGGCATCATGGTAAGACAAATATCTCACATCTCACTTCATCTTTTCGGCTGATGACCTCCAGTCTCATGGGTTCAGCAGGCGGCACCTTCCAAGCCATGGCTCATCATTGGCGACTACGCCACTCAAGACAAAGCACGTATGCTGACACAGACCGGTTCACTGTCAGTGTTGAGAGAATGGGTAAGATCTGCCTTGGCCGTGTTCGTGAGCCACCTTGGCTGTTTTGAATGAAATTTTCGGTGAGCTCGAATTCCAACGCCACCAAGCGTGGTGACCTCAGCTGTCGCTGAGCACTGCGATGGGGGACCATCTGCTAATAGCTCGATAGACCTGTCTTGCTTTCAAGCGGCCCGGTAGATGCGGGACTTCCGCTGACTGGCGGCGTCCAGATCGCCTAACCTTCAGCGCCGCATCGACGCGAGGTATGCTGCTTGCACGCAAACATCTGCTGATAGCCTGGAGCAGCCTTACAGCAGGTAAGTACTTCTCGGCAGCTCTCAGAGCGTCTGATGGGTGGACTATCGCCTGCAACACCTCAATTGTTGCGAAGGCAAGTGCTCCACCCTAGAGAAACCACCAAGGAGCAGACCCCTCAAAGCCCAAGCTCCCTTCAGTAGCTGGTGCTTTCTTTAAAGCTCTACATTTGCTTGTGCGACCGACGTCCGTTCCGTGAGCGGCCACTGACTTGTACCAGTCCCTTCTACAGTTGTGTCGACTTCATCGGAGTGACGATCTTTTCGACAACTCTCGAGACGCACGGAGGTGCTGACTGTGGCTTCAGTAGCAGCTCATAGGTATGTTGAAGATCCACCACATCTTGCTGGTTTGTGCCGAATCCGCTGGCCATGGAATTCCTCTTCGCGAGATGCAGAAGTCGCTAACGTTTCTCGTGAACAGTCTTTCAGTGCCTCCACCACACGCAATCACCACAACGGCAGCGCAACAGCCGGTCTCGAAATCGAAGTCCTTTTCAGCTCGACTCATACAACGGTAGGCTGGCCCACGCCATGGGTGGAAATCGTGAATGGTGCAGCAGCTGACACCGTGGAGGACATAGACATGCGTCGTATCCGGAAGCGCACATACTCGTCCACGAGCAAAGCTCCACAGATCCCGATGGAGTGGCAGCAGCTTCTATTTTCCCCATTGCGCCCCCGGCTTTATGTGATGTGGACACTGACGGTACCCAGAACTCCTTCCTCTCGGACGCCCACAATGGAGACCGACGCCTGCGGTGTGCTGCCGTGACCCGGCATCGGTGAGAAGTTTTTGACAGCCGCGTTGTGCTAACAGTGTCTCAGAAATCCACACGGGCGGTGATCAGTATGTGACAAGCTTCTCACATCTCAGTGATTCCACAATCGTCCAAGTCTTCATACTTTTTTCTCACAACCCCGGTCCCGCTGTTGTATTGATAGCCGCTTCGGCTGGTTGTCAATGCATTTACCCGGAGCTCTTCCATACTCTGTGCGGTAACAGCGGGGCCGGTAGATTCTCCTTTTACGTCTCAGTCATTTTCTTTTCGTTCGAGTCTTGCTTTTTTCGCGACACCGGTCCCGCTGCTGCACTGACTCCGCTTCGGTGGTTGTCACTGTATTATCCAGGAGCTTTCCCCTTGCTTCGACGGGATGCAGCGGGTGCTGGGTAGATCAAACTTAAGCCTTTTCCTTCATAGGCGAGCCTGTTCATTCACAGACCGACGGTACTCAAGTCAGCCTGTGCTTTCCAAGGCTTACATTTCTTTCTTCATTCCGGCCTTCTCTGATTAGAGGGTCTGGTTCCAGAATGCCTAGCGTAGAATGCCGATCACCCCATTGCATGGTGCCTTCTTCGGAAGGTTATCATGTATGTTGCTCCATAACGTTCAATGTTGTGTTGAGCACACTGGGGCCGGTAGAGCAATACGGCCTTGCTCCCAGTAGTTTCAGTACGACGTACCAGGCTGAGCAGAGAGTTCGTAGGCTGATGGAAAGGTCGCGAGCTTTCCTGCCTGCCGGGGTGGGTAGAGGGTTTGTAGGCCGTTTTTTAAGGTCGCGGACTTTTCTGCCTGCCCTTGGTCTTAATGTCGAAGCTGCGCTAGTTCGAGGCTACATTCTGTTTTCAGAAGTATGCGCGGGTAGGCTGGAGAGACAAGGGCTCCTAGTGTGACTTGCGCTACTGATGTTCGATCTGGGTCCCGAGCGGGTGATATGCGAGGTGGTTTGTGCTTGCAATTGCCTACGCTCGCGGTGGATGTTTTCTTCCTTGCTCTTGCTAGTGTCAATCGTATGGCGGGATCGAGTTGCGAGGAGACAATGCCTGATACTCTTCTGACATTCTCCACAGGTATGCTCCGCATGTTACCGGTGTTCATCGATGAAGCAAGCTGAGTTTTCCCCGTCCGTCATGCGACTGAGTAAACTCCACTAAGAAATGACAGCAGGGAACCGTGGCCGAACTGAAGTCCGTTCGAATGCTGCAGAGCTCGACTGCGATGGCCACCGCTGTGTGGCGGACGCGCTCCGGGCTCGCATTTGGACCTGGTAAGTACTCTTCACTGCATCAGAGTCCCGCGCATTCCAGCGTCCTGGATTGGGTATTTTGAGTGCCTCGGGCAACATTCAGGATATAAGCAAACTGATCTTCCCCTTGTCACCCTTGCGAACTCCGTGCCATCATTCCGCTTTCGACCCTCGGCAGTGCGCTCTGCGAGCAGTCTTCGGACGCGTTCGCAGGTTCTACGTTTGTCGGGCCAGGTGGATGGCTAGAGAAAAAGCTGAGAGATACTATCCTAAGGAATCGGATAGAGGAAAGCCGAGTCCTTCTAAGCCAGCTGACATGACCCAGAGTCTTGAGTGAAGTTGAAGAGCTGAAACTGACTCAAGTAGTTTCCAGTAGTGGTTTGCAGCCTCTCAAAGCTGCTGTAAGGAGCAGGGAGTCGATGCGAAGGAGGTTTCCTGGATGTCAAGGGCTGTAAACTCCTCTCCCCATCGATCACCAAGCTAATCCTTGTGCAAGCCAAGCAGGCGTCTCTTCCGGGCCATGAGCTCCTTGCTACCGCGGTCTACGACCTCTGCTGTGGTCCCGGACGTTTCCGACAGGGCCGTGTGGTCGTGGTCGCATGCGCGCAGAAACCGGCCTTCGGGTTCTGGTTCTCGTCTATCGCTTGATGATCAGTACGCTGAGTCGGAGATTGATGCTGCACCATCAGTCCGTGGCGCTCTGCGTCCACAGACTGAAGTCCGTCATGGCTTTTCCTGAACCTGTCCCATGTAAAGATATTTTGGGACTGGAGAACAGAGCAGCCAACATTTTGAATTTATCGCTATCAGTCCAAGTTTGACCGTTACCGACTGGTCACAAGTCTCGTCTTCAAGTGCTACTCCATCGCTTGTAAGACTCGTAGGCCGGTCGGACATTGATGGTGTCCTTTCTGTCTGAGACGCGTATGCGTCAAGGACGGAAGTCCGCCATGGCTTCATTGACTCGTCCCATGTAAAGACATTTTGGGACGGGAGAACAGAGAGCCAACATTTTTGAGCGTCCATTGCAGCAGCGTAGTGTAGTTTCAACAAGCGATCCAAATGCTAAGTTCAAGTGTTGATCGTCACACGAACAGTGGTGATTCCAAGGCTTGGGTTTCCCGATATATATACTGCTCTTTATGCATATCAGCCAGCTCGTCATTGCATGGCTACCTGAAGATGTCGGCCAGTGGCCTCCACAGTGTGCGCGCGAGCTTCGAAAGATTGCCTTGCATCCCTTCGCACTGGGCTGGCCACACGCAGCGTCAGCCGCGCAGCGCCGTAGATCAAGTCCGCTGATCAAAATAGCAAGACGACGTGAGCTTAGTCATATTGTGGCAATTTCAGCGACATGTTTCCTTTTTCTGTTCTTTTTTACGTCGTTGTGTTTCTCCCCTGTCCTCTCCCTCCCGTCCCCCTTCTTTATCGGCCGGTGGTTCGCGAAGCTTTCAGCAGATTGCTCGCGTCCCACGACTCCCATCACAGTACGCGGTAGTCTTTCCAAGGCCGTAGATCAAACCTCCTGGAGAATGGTACGGCAACACGGCGGAGTTCCAGTCGTTTTGTTGAAACTTCATGGTGACAACTTTCTCTACGTTTTGCAAACAGCTCATTGATGCATGACTGTTTCCGAGAGGTCGGCCAGTGGTGGCCGCAGCGTGCATTGCGATGCTGTCGTCAGATTGTCTCGCAACTCATCATGCTGCGGGGAACACGGAGTGCCGTAGATCAAAACACCGGAAGGGGGTTTCAGCTTCTTCTCCCTCCGGGGCTGATTCAAATGACAGCTCGGTGCACTCCACCCTTGATGTCAGCGTGGATCAGCGACATCCTTTTTGATTGTGTTGGCTTTGAGTTCTTCGATAAGCGACTGTATTGAAGGTCTGTCGGCCCGCGGTCGCTGCAGTGTTACGAGGCCTCACAGTCTATCACGCTGCAGTAGCGACAAGCCGTAGATTGAGACATGGAAGGGAGCTTTCCTCTCTGTCCTCTCTCCGAGCTGACAGGTCTTGCCACACGGCGCAACTCATGTCGTTGTGTTCATCAGATCAGAAGAATTCCCCTTGTTCCCGTTCGTGTTGATGTCGTCGGACTCTTCGATGTGCAACCGTAGTGGGTCGATCGGCCATCGGTGGCTGCGGCGTTACGTCCCAGTACGCTGCGTTAGCCATGAGAGTCGTGTTCGAATGCTGGAGGGTCTTTTGGTCTCGGTGTCATCTCCAGGCTTGTCTGTACGACAGAACGCCACAACTACTGTCATTCTGTTGGGTACACCGAGTCAGTGACCTGGGTTTCGTTACTCATAGGTTGTGATCGAACTCGAGCTTACTGTCGGCGGAATTTCCTTTGACGTTTGGCTGGAGACGTCCGCATTCATCGGCGGTCCGTCCGTATATATGTACATACATCAGGCCTTGCTTCGGTGCGTAGATCTGCCTCGAGAAATATTACTGGACGCCTTTGTTCAATGCGCAAAGTCTTCTTTTCGAAGTTCCTCGTTTGCAAGCCGTGCAGCGTTGCCGGCAATAGACAATGTTATTCTCCAGTTCGTCAACTTCCTTGGAGGGCATACACTTGGTAGGCCGCAGAAAGGAGGCCACAGATACGAACATACCGCAGTCAGCGGCTGCTCGCATTGGTCTCGCTCGACAATGAGGCCGTTGTCGCGCGCCGTGGTTGTGGAAGCCGCTGCGATTGAAAAGGCAATTCGAGGACTGCGGCTCGGTCATTCTGCAATTCCTGGCACCAGATCGGAAGGCGACAGTCTTTGAACCTATTTGTGGCGCTTTCAAAATGGTAATTCCATCGCATCGTTGTTGCTGCAGCTACGCATGCTACCGGTCGGTGGTGTTGACATGTTCCAGCAAGGTCGAAGAGAACACACTACGAAAACTTCAGCTGTAGTCAATCTGGATTCCTGCTTTTTCGGTCAAGCGGATATCCTGCAGGCCGGTCGAGCTCTTCTGGCCGTCGGGGGCGTGGAACTTTATCCATGAAGAGCAACGATTTGAGGGATGATGCGGGTAAGTGCGTGTCTCTTCAATGCAGCCGTTCTGCTAATCGATGAACAAACGCTGAGTTGACAGCCGGAAGATCGAAGAGAGATCAAGCCAGTAAGTAACCGAGATCTGAATTGAGTCTGGCCTTGATTAATGCTAAGAAGACATTCCGGTTGGTAGTGGTGATGAAGGTGAGGTTGGAACAAGGCTCCGTGTTGACAAGGATCCCCTTGGTCTCTTCGGGCAGACAGGGACATCAACCACCAGTCACAACCATTCTGGACAACCACCACATCAAACCGTCGACATTGGGAAATCCTCTCCTCTGAAGAGATCTACTCGGCGCATTGCAGCAGAATCCCTCTCTCTTGAAGAAACGACCTTTCAGATATGATTTACACCTTCGTCATACCGCTTCTTTAAGCAAAGGGAGATCCACAGGCTCTGAGCGCTTCAGCAGGCCTGATCACCAATACATCCAACACTACCTCGTCTTGCAGCTGCATCTCTCCGACGTCGCGGGCCATGGAGCCGTCATTCAAGCCAACGCGCAGGTTCACTACATTTACAAAACGGCGAGGAGCCGAGTCCTTGATTCTGAATGACCCAGGGATTCAACACCAACCGACTCCGTCGAGCAAAGATTACCTTGTCACCGAATAGCGGAAGTGAAGTCTTTGCTGATAACTAAACTCAACATCCGCTTTAACCTCGATATCACAAGAGGCTCCCGGAAGAAAGCGCGCCCCATTGGTGATCGTAACACAGATCTGCATCATATCATATTGCAAAGACACACCAGTGTTCCGGTGATAGACAGGCTAAGCAATGCTTGTACAACATCCTCCCTTTCTGTTCATACAAATTTCTCCTCGTGCGCTGTGCTGAGCCACGAAATTGGAACTGCTGACTACCCAACCTCCAAATCCGATTTCTCTGCCAACCCGCCCAGAACATCGAACACGGAAGCAGTTTCATCGCTCTCATGGCATGCACCCACCGAATCGAAATCTCCGAGTTCAGCCACCATCTTACAGCCGATATTTACGCAACAGGCTGAGTTCTCATCCCTCTGCCAGGTAAAGAAAATCAAGCAGGCACATTCCACAGCCGCAAATCCCTCTGATCCTTCGAGTCCGACATCACAACTCCTATCATATAGGTCTTGATACGCCCTTCTAGACTCCCGAAAGAGTCGCTATGGCCCCGAGCCTGTTTCCGCTGACTCGCGAGCGGAAGCGGTGCTGTATCTAGCTTCTCTGGTGGCCATTAACATGCGCCTTGGAATTGCCAAAAGGGTAAGTTATTTGAAGAGAGAGGGAAAGCTATGAGGCGTTCGTAACTCTCAGCAGAGCCTCGGTCAGAACGACAGGTTCCATTGAACTTGTGCTCTCTTCTCCACTTATACCCAGTGGATCAGCACAGTCCGCTGATGTCTTTGACAGCGAACGATCAAAATTGTTTCATCGCATGCGTCTTTCCCTTACACTCCGTTCGGAGATCATGCCTCAGTCACGTACCGTAGCTGTCCAAGATTGCGGTCTTTTTTGCACTTTACTTTTTGCTTGTGTGAGATTGACCAAGTTCACACGTGAAGGCGTCCTCTTCACTACTGAAACTCCGGGAGGACTCAATGGAAGAATCCCAACGCGCCGCTGCCAGAGCCCTCACCCTTTCATCAAGCGCGCAGAGGCAAAAATCGTCTAGTGTTCAGTAAGGGCGGCACATTTAACGGTGAAGCAGCTAGAAGGTGTCTCACAAACCATAGCACTCTATGAAAGGATCAAGAACGATGTCTTGGGATTGCCTCGAGTACTTGAGGACTAAACGTACAAGTGATCAAATTGGTATCATGCCCTCCCTTGAAACAAAAGCCGATCTTTGCCCCAGGCTCCTATCCCGAAACCGCTGCTCCTCCATGATGTTATCGGGTCCTGCTCTAATGGCAGCCCCAACCCTGACTAAGTTCCATGCTCCCCGTGATGCCTTCCCTTACCCATTACGCCCACTCATTTTCTCGTCCTCCCTGTTTTACCGTCTCCCTTTCGGCGGGTCACTCATAGCATGGCCCTTCTCATCAATCGCCAGCTTCTTGCGGCAGTCAGGACAGTACCACTTCGCGCGCCTCGGCGGAATATCCGTGAGACCCACACACGGGAGGTGAAACCACTCCGTTTCGCACTGTGAAAGCATCACGCATTAGCCATATTGCTCAACAAAAGCTGACAGCTTCGATGCTGGCCGGAAGGATAGGCAGAAAGATGAGATGGCAGAAAGACTCACATCGTCGTTCTCGCACGCAACCATAGTCCCATAACTCACATCCCCACAAACACAATACCGCGGCTCGTTGGGATCAATGTCCTCCCCGGCCTCCTCCAGTACAGCCTCGATTTTCTTCTCGCCTTTCAGCTCTCCACCTTCTTTCTTGCCGCCCTTTTTCCGGGGCGCCGCTTTGCGCTTCCCGACGCTGACTTTGCCCTTTCCGCCATCTTCCTCTGTCACCACACCCGGCGCTGGCCTCTTGCCTCGCGTACGTGTCTCCCGCGCTGGCATCTCGGGAGGCGGCAGAGAGACATTGCTGCCGCGACGGCGGAGGTCGCGGCTTTCGCGCTTGGTGGTCGGTTCGACGGATGCGGCTTTCGTGTTTGCTGCGCGGGCGTTTGGTCGTCTGCCAGGCGCAGTAGTTACAGGCGGAGGCGAAGAAGGTGGCTGAGCCGTAGTGGCGCGACTTGATGGACGGCCATTCGGGGGTGGACTTGATGCCTTCGGTGTCGGAGCTAAAGATGCGCGACGCGAGCGACTGGTCGCTGCTGTGGTGATGGCGGGGACCGGAAGGGGTGGTTTCGGTAGCTGCTCGGCGGCGGAGGTCTTGGCGGTTGGTGAGGGGGGTCCGGGTGTGGGCTTGCGGCTGGCGTGCGGAGGAGCGGGTTTTGTGGGTGAGTTTGATGGACCGGCGGGGAGCAGGGGCACTAGAACGGTCGTCGTCTTAGCTATGGGTTGAGTCCCGGCAGAAGAAGTGAAAGGTGTATCCTCGGATTGAGGTGGTATGGATGTTTCGGCTGTGCTAGATGGTGGAGCAGGAGGCGCGAGCTTGATCTTCTTGGGGCCACTTGGACGGGCGCCAACTTCGTGGGCGGCAGACGACAGGTCCTTGCCAGCGACCTTTGCTGGCTCGGCTGAGCCCTCGCGCTTGCGCTTCTTGGATGATTTGGGCGGCTCTTTCTTCTGAGCTGTGCCAATGTCGGGTAACATCTCGGCTGGTTTGTGGTTGAAAAGGTTCTTGAATATATCTCCTGTAGCGGTGATCATTCGGCTGGCCTCCTCAATCTCTATCGCATCCCGGGCTGCCTGTTCTCTTGCCATGGTCTCCTTCTTCAGCTTCTTCGCCTCATTCAGCTTCATGCCTCGATTGGAGAGGTTCACATCTGTGTTACCTAGAGGCTCAAACGTGGTCTCTCCAGGAGCTAAAACCTTCTTCAGAGGATCCATCGGGTCTTCGTCGATAAACGGATCGCCGGTGATCATGCACCTCTCCTTCTCCCTCTCGTAGTTTTCCCGCCCACGGCCCTTTTGTGTCAGCTCACGCCTGATCATTGTATCGCTCGGATTCCAGATCGCGTTCTTCTTCATCGTCTTTCTTAGCCAGGCCATCTCGTACTCGGTGAGCTTGTGCCAAGGGGCGTGTCTGCTGCCCGGTTTCGCGTCTGGTGGAGGAGGATCGAGCTTAGCCAGCGCATTGCTTGTGGATATGCCGGCAACTGCACTGTGTACGTTCGTACCCATCTGCCCTGGCGGCCGGATCCGAGGCGCCTTGAGTAGCTTATTCCTCGGCTGCTTCGGTACCTTGACGCGACCTGGCTTGCCACCACGCTTAGGTTGCGAGGGGGCATCTATGCCGTTGCCTCCATCGCCGACGGGTGAGGATTCGCGCGATTCATCATCATCGTCGGACACTGTATCCTCAATGGGAGAACCCAGCTCTGGGAGCGGAAGGATCTCACCAGGTACAATCGTCCTTCGACCACCATGACTCAGTCGCGCAGCCGCTGCAACTGGTCTTGCGCCCAGCGATGGCCCGTTGAGTGTCAGACGGGGTGTCCGTTCGGCATCCGTCCTCCGTCGTAGCGCTGGCGACACTGGCGGCGGAGTTGGATCGCGCGATGGCGGCTCCGGTAAAGCTTGCAGTTTCTTCTTGATGGTCCCAAGCCTTGTGCAGTGACGCTCTGCGACATCGTACAAACGTGCTGCTTCAGCAAGGGCGGATTCCCTGCAGTGTATGGCATGATCTAGCGCGGCTGAAATCTGCTTCCGAAGGGCCTGAGGATCGACTCGCTGGTTCGCAGGTAGAGACGGTAGGCTGCCGTACACAGTGGTAAGATTGTGGACTCTCTGTGTGTTGTCGAGGTACGTTTGATCGAGCTTCCTGATCAAGGTAAGGGAGCGTATGAGGTCGGAAGGGAAGAACTCGGTGTAGTCGTGAAAGTCAGTCACGGTCGCTTGCGCGTCGGGGTCGAGAGGTAGCTGGCCGCCGAGCTCCGGCAGCGCATTCTCCATGTCTACATCGGCCATGGCATGGTGGTAGGGACTGTTGGTGAAGAGTATTCTCTGGATACGGCGCGTGAGCTGAGGTTCCTCTACGCGTTTCGTGAGTCGTAGGAGTGAGAGAGAATGCCGTGGACTCGGTAGCAGGTGAACGGCTGCTGACGTCGATGCGCTCTGCGGGTGACGCGCGCGCGGTTGCATGAGGCGCCGCGGAAGTGGACGGGGATGGGAAAACGTGGACTCCGAGCCTTGGCATCTGTGGAGTGAGTTTCGTGATAGAGGTGGCCTTGCAATCATGGCGGTAGGAAGCATAGCACACTGGTTCTCCATAGTGATCAACGACATGCTGTCCTGCAGTGTTGTTCCATCGTGCATCGATGGGCTGAAATCTCCCGAGTATCCAACCCCATTTCCAGCACCTCAGCTTCAGTGTTGCAACTCCACTTTGATCGCAAGTCTATCACGATTTGGGATGTCTGATGAAGCTTATGTGGTATTTCCTGTCCCTAGTTCAACCCATGCACCTTTCCTCTCCAATGCATAGACGCTTTTGAAAAAGTAGAAACATGCCTCCCAACCCGATCAAACCACATCAGTCCATATTCCTTCACCAGTCTTCTTCGTACGAAGATCCCTGCACAGCTGTAAGCACTATCTCAAACAAGCGCTTTCGCACAGCCTCACCTTCGCCGTCAGCGGGCCCGGGTCTCTGCTCCTCACCCTTGGCTTCGGACGCACAGGCAGGTCGAATCCCTGAGTTGAACTATCATGACGGTGCAAGCCTCTACCGTAGCCGTTGCCACGACCACGAGGTCCTCCACGATCAGCATTTGCACGGTTGGGCTTGTAGCCATGGGATGCAGGCGCCGGCATCGAGTCGTCCGGCGGGATGGGAGCTCCTCCATCTTCACCCTCAGCCGAGCTCCATCCTTCAGCATCGTTGCGGACCTTTTGAATGGCTTCATCTGTGGCGACCTTAAGCTTCTCCTCCTCAGCCTCAGTTCTTGCCTTCTCAACCTCCGGGTTTCCTCTGTTGGCCGCATCCCGGACGGCGATACCGATCATGGCTTGCATGGTGTAGTAGGCGTCATTGCCGGCGTTGTGTAGGTGCCAGCCTGTGATGTCGAACTCGTAGAGGATGCGTGCTAAGGATGCCGGTTGGGCGTCGCGCTTGTACACCCGGTGGAGGACCACGGTGTCTAGGGTTTCGACCAACGTAGATAGATTTAAGGGGTTGTAGCCCAGTGCTTGCAGGTATCGAACATCGGTGTTAGTGTCGTGGCCAAGCAGAATGATGTTGCGCTTCTCGGGCTGCGACGGCGGCTGAGGGTTGTGGACTGCAGCGCGGAGAGGTGAGGGATCATCCGCGCGGTAAGCGCCAGTACCGGAGAATGGCGTCCTGAAGCACGTGGCGACAACAGCGGGAGCTTCTGCCAAGCTGATGAACTCGCTCTGACCGAATTCGAATCGATTCGCGCAACCGTTGATAAACTCCGTGTTGTTGAGATGCGCGTGTTCTTTGATGCGGAAATGGCGGGCGCGGATCTTTGACATCCAGTTCTCGCCATCTTTGCCGGGTGGGAGGTTGACCAGGTCAAGCGTGTCCAAGGTAGAGATGCCGACTTCAGTGATCAAGCTGTGATCACGCTCATAGGATTCAACATCCACGCAGATGAACACGACCGACGATTCGAACGAGTATGGGGCAGCCTCAGCAGTGTTGATGGCGGGGATTTGAGTAGTTGCTGGTGGCACGGCCTTGTCGTTAGGAGCTGCTCCAAGGTCAGCAATTTTCCAGGAATCATGCGCTGTACTAAATGTTGGATGTATCTAACCTGAATCGTCACGCTGCGGTCGAATACCAAGATACCGCTGGCTGCGCTTCAGTTGGCGGCCCCAGTTCTGCTGCTGGACAAGACGCGCTTCCTTCTTCTTGGCCTTCTCCGCCTTTTTCTTGGTCTTGTTCAGTTCGATGGCATCCTCCACCATCTGCTTGAACGCTTCCAAGGTCCGCTCTTCCGGTGGTGAGACATCGCCTTCGCCGGCAGGCTTAAACGTAATTGATGGTGTGTCGACTGCCATGGTGTCGTATTGGTCTCTAGATGTGGAGCGACCCAGATAGCGCGGGCGGCAGCGTGGGTGATCTGGGAAATTGATGACCAGTCCTTCCTCACGCTGGTAGTCCTCAATCTTGATCTCGATGTCGGTGAAACTGGCGTTGATCTCGTCCAGAAATTTTTGCACCTGATGCTCAGGGACAAGGATCAGAGGCTTGTACGAGGAGCAGTCCTCAGTGGGCCAGACGTAATATAGATCCCAGGTCCTCTGCCAGAACTTGCCGCCGTTGAAGAACTTCTCTGCGACAGTCTCGGAATGCCTCCTGCCAATGAACTTGTAGCAGTACTTACTGACTGGGAGGATGGGACAGAAAGTGTCTTGCAAAGGTGCAAGTTGGCCGAGTTTATTGTCATCTGATCGGTGAAGTTGCGCAACAGGCGCAGGCACTTCACCGCCGCTAAAGCGTGCAGTCGCGGCTGCCTTCGGCGTAGACGCGGCCTTGGTCACTTCCGTGAAGTCGGTGAGTTGGCTTGCTTTGTCCGTAGGAGACGTGTCTTCGCGGGTAGGGCGTGTTTCGACTTGAAATGTTGGCTGGGGTGCAGTTCCCTCTGGAGGAACTGGTACACCTCCATCCTCAAGATCTGGCAGAGCATTAAGATCTTCCTGGATTGCGGCCTGGAGGGCTTCGAAGTCAATTGGAGCCATGGTGGTAGAGTTGTTCGGTGCAAGAACGGGCGTGAAGGGAGAGAGATTGCGCTTGTCTCTCGCTTGAATGTCGGCAGCCGTACTGAAATACTGAAGAGGGCGGTACTGAAATGAGAAAGTTTCTGAGACACTACGAGGTCTTGGATGCTTAGGAAAGAGAGGTGTCCAGAATCCTCTGGATCGTGACTGCTCTTTTGGGCAGAGTTCAGAGAGAGATTGAACCAGGGTCCAATGGTGTGTCCGTTTGTAGGACATGCAAACTAAGTACTCTAGCACCGGCATGAACAGAATCGGACGGAGTCAGGAACTGCAAGGCATTTGGTATGCTCTCTATAAAGACTCCTAAAACCATATGCGGCCACCTGACCGCGTCTAACTCAACGCAGTCGGGAAGGAGCTCAGCCGCGACCCTGGCCGCTCCCTCGCAGAAAGCCTTCCACCTTCAAATACAAGCGGCTAGCCAACTTTACCACGCCAATTCAAATCTCATTTCCAGGAAGGGGAGCAAGCTGTAATGCAGCCGCAATGTAAAGAACCGCGTGGCTTGAGGATACAAACAATGACGACGACTTCGGAGAGAAGATCCGCCGAACATGCCAAGCATCCTTACCCACAAACGACATCTGGGCTTGCTGGGGTACTTGAGCAACAACGGCAGCAAAGTTACCAAGCCCTGGACGTTCGTTCCCCCTTCCATCGCCCGTCTGCTCAAGGCGGAGCGAGGGAGATGTGACCTGCCAGCTGATCATAGGAGTTCGCTCCTTACCTGAGCGTTCCGAACCGCAATTCTCAAATCGTTGACCTCGTCTATATATACACCAGATTCTTCACCGTCTCCTGCAGCTCGAACTATGGAAGCGGCCGTTCGATGGTCGCCTCACTCTACACAAGGCTCGCCGCGCTTTGCGATTGTCGACGTGGCTAACAATCGACTTCGACTATGCCAGCTTGAGAGCCCCCAAGAAAACAACACAGTCACCTACAAGCAGCTTGTTCAGCGCGACAAGCTACCAAACTTCACCGCATTCGATTGGTCAAAAACCCACGAGCGTTTCGTTGGCATCGGCTCGGCCTCTGGTGAGGCAACTCTGCTCACGCTTGATGCAGACCGCCCCCAATCTGAATTCAACTATGTTTTTCCCATCAAGCAGAAACGAAAATGTAACTCCATAGCTTTTAGCGCAGACAACCTCTTGGCTACCGGCCTGGACAGAGTCCGCAATGACTTTTGCATGAACATCTATGATGTGAACATTGGCTCCCTGCAATCACATCAAGAACCGTACAAGAAGCTTGCGAGTTCCGAGGCCATCACCAGCATTAAGTTCTTTACTGGGCAGCCTAACACGCTAGTCGCTGGTGTGGCTCGCCAATGCATAAGGGTGTATGACCTTCGAGGTACGATTCACCTATGCCGCTGGCTGTCACATGCCGTGCGTGTCTGTTGACCCATTCTCTCTACTTATACTGATCACATACTTCTCACAGACCCAGCGGGGATTGGCGCTGCTCAGTTTCCTACACGACAGGTCCACAATCTTGCTATTGATCCGTTGGACGAGAACTACTTTTGCTCTGCTGGCCCCCAAGGGGATCCTGTTGTAAGCGTGTGGGACCGTCGCTTCGCCGCACGCTCTAATCCATCTACACCTGCCTCTGATGGCCATCCTACGGGTGCTGTTCTGGAGCTCCGGCCAGCGGTGGATAACAGCCAGAACTCCAACATCTGGATGCTTCGCTTCTCTGGCACCAAACGAGGTTGTTTTGGTGTTCTGTCCAGCATGGGAGAAATCAAGATTGTTGAGCTTGCTCAGCACTCAATGAAGAATGCACTTCAAGTGGGGCCTCCTAACACTCTCGGTGGCCAGTCTTGGAGCTCTCCGCACTATACCAGAATGACTCACCACCTTCAGTATCCCTGGTACGACCAGCATCATGGCCGGGAGGAGAGCTCTCGTGTCATGGCCTATGATTTTATGAGTCCCGGCAGCCCTTCTGATGGTCCAGCAGTACTTGCTCTACATCACACCCGAGAGGTTGAGTTGCTGAAGATTCCCACACCGCCTCCGCACATTCATCTAACAGCTTTCAACGAACTCGCAATCTGCAGAGATGCATTGCAGCCTCAATTCATCCGAGCGCGTAAGACCGAAACTACCGTAGCTGAACACTTAACCAAGCTACAAGAGCGACTGCTCGCCAGCAAGCAGCCGGGCAATTCTTCTAACAAGGACAGGAAGCCTAGCCTTGCCGTCCGCTTTGAGAAGGAACTGAGCCTGGAACACTTCAGCTACAAAACGCCTGCGAAAGGCGGCAAGGTCGTCAGGAGTAGCCACGAACTGCACGAGGAGAACTTGACTCTAGGTTACCCCAGCGTTGACATTGACTTGGTCGAGGCGCTGCGACTCCAGAACATCCAGAAGTGGAGGTGCCAGGAGGGCTATTTGTTCAAATGCGACCAGAATAAGAAGATCGTAGCCAATGATCCTTGGCTCGTCGACATGTGGGAGCTCATTAAACGCATGGAAGATATGGCTAAAGACCAAGGCATGGCCGCCGAGGGCTTTGACCTCAGCTATCTTGGAGTTTCGTTCATCTGGGGCAATACTCTGGGTCCGAAACATTACCACCACCGCTTGATCAACATCAGTTCTGATTCAATATCGGACGCGGATTTCGGCAACGCAGTGAAGGCAGTTGTGCAAAGCAAAGACCTTACGGCATTCCAAGGCGTTCAGACTAAGTTTCCCGCACATCGTCAATTATGTCTCTCTCTGTGCGGCTGGATCTCCTCCAAAGACCGCTTGCGTGATTACTGCAAGGAGCTACTGCAAAGCGGACAGCCCTACAAAGCGATCGTCGTGCCTGTCTTCAAAGGTCATAAGGACGTCGCTTTAGACTTACTGAGGTACGCTATTCAGCAGCGTCTGATCCAGAACGTTGGACTTGGTGCCGTTATCGCCTGTGACTCCGTCAACGCTGAACAGCGGGATATGTGCTCTTGGATGGCAGAAGAGACCGATGATCCCTACCTCAAAGCCTTGCTGGCCTATTTCATCAGCGGTGATTGGACCTCTGTTACCAACATGATACAGCTCTCCCTCACGGACCGCATTGGCGTCGCTCTGAAACACCTTGACGACACTCGATTGACCGAGTTCCTCAAGTTCGCGACGTCGGAAACGGTCATTTACGGCGATATCTCCGGCCTTATCCTGACCGGCCTTTCCGAGCGCGCGGTCGATCTGTTCGAACACTACATTACCAAGTACTACGACCTGCAGACCGCCGTCCTGGCTCTGTCTTTTACCTGCCCAGTCTACATGAACGACCCACGCTACGAGGTATGGAAGGAAACGTATTTCATGCAGATGCAGATGTGGCGCTGCTTCATGGAGCGCTCCCGTTTCATAGCCGCGCACAACCGGCTAGCGGTCAATCGTGAAGGGCGAACCCTTAACCATCAGCCGAAACCGCAAATCGCGATTAGGTGCCTTCACTGCAATCTGCCACTTGCTCGGCGTCCGGACGGCCAACTCGACATCATACCTGAGCCTATCAGGAAGGCTTCCAACAACGGGGCCAAGTTACCACCTGGCGTGCCTCCTAAGGCGACTCCTAAGCCTTCGCCTAGTGCTAATGCTGGGTTGGTGTGTCCGCATTGTGGACGGCGTATGCCGCGCTGTGGCATCTGTAATCATTATCTTGGGACAGTCGATCCAGTGACGGAGGGAGGAGCGAGAGCGGCGGAGGAGAGAGATGATGGGGCGAGTATGGTATTCTGCATGAAGTGTAAGCATGGATGGCATGGGAATTGTGCGAGGAATTGGTTTGTGAGGCATGAGACTTGTTCGGTGCCGGATTGCGGGTGCTTGTGTGGAGTTTTGAGATGAAACATGTAGTCGTGTGATGTAAAGATTAATCACGGTGCAGGGCGTGTGGGTGGTTAGGCAGTAATTGTAGTGGGATATACTAGTACTTTGCAAGTGCTAAGAGAAACTCACGATGCTGCCGTTAAAAATTAGCTGCTGTCCACGTGCAGTCTTATAGAATTACTGCTTTTTCTGGCCATGCTGTCAAAATTACGTGCCTGTCGTGCCGTGACTCAGATCCTGAACGTGCGACTTTCAGAATACACACACGAGCAGCAACACCGACACTTCGTAACCTCCCACTTCAGAAGCGTGAATTTGCGTGCTGTCTAGCTTCACGAGAGGAACGGAATAGATAGTTTGCTTCCGTTGAGTCTTGATCAGGAATCACCGGGACAGGCCCAAAACCTCCACCGAGTCTCCAAACGTATCCGCCTAAAACCAAGTCTTTACCCGCCAGTATATCACAGTCCTACCTTTCATTTTCCGAAAATTGTCGACCATGTCCGGTCGCGGTGGCAGAGGCCGTGGCGGCCGCGGTGGCTTGCCTAGAGATGTTCAGGTCTCGAAGAAGATGAGCCGAATATTGCGGCATTCCGCAAATGAGGAAGGGCTGACGCTCGGGGAAGGAGGATATGTCAACGTCGCTGATTTCGTAGGTGCTTACTCGGACTTCTGTTCACTATTTCGTCAATACTTCTTGCTGAACTTTTCAAGTCTGTGTAGACTGGGTGAAGACACTAAGCGGAAGGGCCACCCTTTATGCTACAGCGCAAACCTCTCCTCGTTACGGGAACACTAGATTGGTTTTCATATCTTTGTATTGCTACTTTCTTCTGATTCATTATAAGTTTATCAGCCCAGATAGGCTACACACAATCTTCGGCATGGTGTTAGAGTGCTTCATTTTCCTGGAGTATATCCCTTGGTCCTCACATCTTTCAGCGAGTCTCGAATGTCTCGAGCATCTGCTGTGCTTCAACCCTGTCCACCGCACCATCGTCAGTTTGAGGCTCCCGCCCGTAGCCTTTCCATTTCATCATCATCAATACAGCGAGCGTCTACAACACTAGGACATACCGACTAACAGCCCCCAGCTCCAAACCCGCACCATGCGCTCCCTCAAAGCAACCTTCCCCGAAATCCGGGCCATTGTCGCCACAAACGAAAAGCAGCGCTTCTCTCTGATCCGAGCGGCTTCCTCCTCCTCCGCAGCTACTACCACCCCATCATCAGCCGTCGAGACGCCTGCCGATTCCGCACCCTCGATCACCACCGGCAACGCCAACCTCGACGTTCCGGATGACGACGACCCGTCTCACTACCTTATACGGGCCACGCAGGGCCACTCAATCGCTATCTCCTCCGAAGGCCTCCTAACCCCCATCACGGGCAACGACCCGGACCTGCCGGACACAGTCGTGCATGGCACCACCCACCAGGCATGGCCACTGATCCTGAAATCAGGTGGCCTGAAGCGCATGAAAAGGAATCACGTGCACTTCGCCGCAGGCCTACCTAAGGGGTTTGCGCCCGTAGCCGAAGAAGACGTGAAGGCGGAGACGGCGGGGAAGCTAGAGCCCGCCGGTGTAGCAGCTGGCGCGGAGACTGCACTCGACACGGCCGCACTCGCCACTACCACCGCGGAGTCATCAGCAGAGCAGCCGCAGCGCACCTCGACGCCCCCGGTCATCAGCGGTATGCGCACGAGCTCGACGATTCTGGTTTATGTTGATCTGCCTGCTGCGATGGCTGCGGGGCTAGAGTTTTGGAGATCGGAGAACGGGGTCGTGCTGTCCGAGGGAGATGAGAATGGGGTCGTGCCGCTTAAGTTCTTTAAGCGGGTGGAGGAACGGACAAGGGGAGGTAGTGGGCGGGTTGTCGTGAGGGACGGGCAGGTCGTCGCGGAGGTGGAGGAGAGGGGCGGTGGTGGGTGGGGGAGGGGGCGGGGAAGGGGAATGGGAAGGGGGAGGGGTGCGTGAGCGTAGTGGATGTTTCAGAGCCCTCGAGAGTATGAGCTGAATGGGTAGGTGTCAAGCATGGATAGATTTTGCTGCGTCTGCTGCAGCTCGGAGACATAGATGTGGGTTGAGCGTACCTCGAAACCGTGTCAAATACACTGCACGAATCACAGGAGATGAACGACTGCCTCGTCGATTTCGACAACAGAGATCGAGAAAATATAAGCAATCCGTGTTCATGTTATCATCCAGGTAGGCTAACCGAAGCTGTTGCATGGGCTTTGCTAAGTAGGCCACCAGCACATATGAAGGCAAGGTATTCGTGGGATTGTGCTTGCGGTTGAAGCTTTGCTGATTGCCTCCAGAAGTGATGCAGATGCAAGAGGCGGTAGAAACTCTTTGCTCAAGTAATTGATCATGTGAAGCTAAACGGATACATTGAGGATTTAGTATCTATGATGCTTGATGATAATACCTATTATGAAATCTGCGCCGTAGAAAGCAACCTAAAGCGAGTTTCTCCCTGTCGTGATTTTGATAACGGAACTTGGAGCTCAAAAATAGGTTCTAAGTGTGAAATTCTCATCTGGACTTCAAAAGGAGATCCACGCTATGGAGGAACAATTACCTACTGTATCAAGTTAAGTGGGTGCATCCCAGGAGCTTACGTCTGGGAGTACACGGGTCGAGTGGTCCTGTTGCTACAGTAAGCCACCTGATCCGAGAAACCTGAGTGACGCTGTTTGACAGCTTCCCTGTATCTCTGAGAGGCGTGTCGGGGGACTTTCAACTCAAGAGGGCTTGGGAATGCTCTAATAGTTACGGTAGAGGACTCATCTTATCAGACTGAAGACGGAGGTAGCATCGACTGTGTAGTTAACCTGCATGATCAGATTGTGTGTCTGAAGCTTAGAGTGTTACTCTAAATAGACTGTCGACAACGCAGTAATGATGTAAAGCGGCGTATGGAACTAACTCTGGGCTTGGGACCGCTAAACGAACTTGACGGATCGATGAACGTACGAAGATCGATGCTCTAGGACAGGGCTGAAAGCATGGTCTTGGTACTCAGATACCGGAGGCAGTGACGATGTGTCTATTCGAGGCGCGCGAATGGTTTCCCACAGACCAGCGATAATCATGCGTTTGTGAGCAATATCACACGGCAGACGACGATTCACCTGCATTACCGCCCATCTGGATGCGGGAAGCTTGAGGCCACTTAGGCATGAGTTTAAGAGCCATGGGTTCCAGACGGTAGAGAGCTTAGGGCCTCTGATGACCTAGACCGCCGTCATGATCGTTGGTATTTCCTCTCCTGTAACTGGCGGTGTGATATAGTTCGCAACTCCGTAATTGGATCAGCGTTACTTCTTAAGTTCCTCATGCTCCTCATGCTGGCCTGGGCGCGCTCCGCTTAAATAATCCTTGATGACGTCGGCTTTGCGGGTCTAGCGTCTGAGGTGTAGGTAAGGCTACTCTACAGGGCACCACAACAGTGCTTTGGCACATGCCCACGACCGTACGTGTGCTGGAACAGGAGGCGAGCACTCGTAAATGGAGTTGCGTTTTTGGTAGTCAAGTTCGTGATAGAGCAGCATCGGGGAAGATGCCTGCTAGGTTTGCATCTTTCTAGAAAGTGAGCCGAGTTCTAGCGCGAAGATCTCAAGAATTTCCCGAGGTCGCGCGCGGTTGAACTGCGGGAGCTTTGGAATCGCGGTCAGCAACGTGCATGCCCTGATCTGCGTTTTTAAACATGTTGCATGCTGCTTTTTGGATGCCGGATGAACACCCTCTTTGCGATGAATGGAGCTGTCCCCTCTCGTGAGACTGGCTGCGAGGCTGGTACCCGAAGAAGCTCCGCTGTAAGTTGCTGCCGACCTTCCTGCAAGGGTTTAGCACCGTGGACACGATCTTCCAAGGACAGACTTTCACCAACGACTCGGCGTAGTTCATCTGAGATCTCGCAGCTGCGACCTGAGCGTGTAACTCCGACCCCGCACCCCATGAAGCGACCTCGCAGCTGCTTCCCCACTACCAAGCTCTTGGAGGGCTTACGAGGCTGTTCCGGCGTTCGTCCGTTCACTGATGGTGACTGCCGGGCTGAGATCTTCATGGCAAATGATAGGGTCAGGACACGTTTAGCATGATGCGTCCCGCTGTGTTCCAACGATGTCGTTGCTCTGCCGTTGTTAGCGGCGGAGGTGTCGAGTCAGACAAACCAAGTTCGAACACGAGAGATGTACGATGCAAGGGCTTTCCATAGTAGCACTCAATATCGCGGCCTTGGTCTTCCCACCTGGGCGGTCAGTGTGTCGAGACTTGGACAAAGGAAGGAGCCCGTCAAGAGCTCTGACCGCAACATGTTCGGTCGTTGGTGCCCGTGGTTGGTGCCGAAAGCGGAGAGATTCGGTGGTGAAATCAAGTGAAGCTCGCCCGACCAAAGCCCGGTGGTTGCCTTGCTGCCCTGTTGGATGACAAGACGTCAAGCATGTCACGCTGCAATTGGCCCCGTTGACAGGAACAGCATCCCCGCCGCGTCTCCCCGCACAGAGCTTGCAGTAGCGTCAATTGAATCCCTGCCGCTTGGGTCATGAGAGTGACGCTGCTGCCGTGGAGCTTGCTCTAGCTGTCTGGCCCAGCTGTCGAGGTACAAATTCGAGCTCTTTTCCTTGCAGCTCCCCTCTTCAGGAAAGAGCTACCTCCTCACTTGAAAACCCTCTCTCGTGCTCGTCGTTGTGGTCAATCGCATTCCTGGTGGTTTGCCAGAGCCAAAACTTTCGTTTTCGTCTCACGAACAAGGCGATCATGTGGCTTTACCAAGCTTCAGCCATTCTGCTGGCTGCCGCTGGCCTAGCCGAAGCTCAGACTGGAAATGCATCAGCTCTCCCTGTAAGTCCGTCAATCGCAGTTTTCGCGGTTTCAAAGTGTCCCTGTGGAGCTGCGCCCTGTCACTGTCAAAAAGCTCGACAGCTTGGCTGACAGTTTGCAGTTCCCCAACACCACATATCCTGGCAGAGAGAGCCCAGCTCTAGCGGGTGTCGACCTCTTCAATGCCACGTCGCCGCCGTTCTATCCCTCACCATGGATGGACGGCTCTGGCGAGTGGGCTGAGGCTTATCGAAGGGCTCAGCAGTTCGTCAGCCAGCTGACGTTGATGGAGAAGGTCAACCTGACGACAGGTGTTGGGTAAGCTGACAGCTGTCGTACGCGGCACGCAGAACCACTAACGCGTTCGCAGTTGGGAGGGCGAAGCATGCGTCGGCAACGTAGGATCAATTCCCAGACTCGGCTTCCCATCGCTCTGCATGCAAGATTCGCCTCTGGGCATCCGTCTATGTAGGCGCCCAAGGCCCCTCCAGTGCGCAGGCCGTGAGTGCTGACATACTCCTAGCTGACCACAACTCTGCATTCCCCGCTGGCGGCACTGTCGCCGCGTCCTGGGACAGGGGTCTCTGGTACCGACGCGGGTATGAGATGGGCGTGGAGATGCGCGGCAAGGGTATAGATGTTCAGCTAGGCCCTGTTGTTGGACCACTGGGCAGAACTCCCGCGGGCGGCAGAAACTGGGAAGGTGAGCTTCTAGTACCCTGAAATGCAACAGTCCAGCCACTGACGCTGTCCTCACAGGTTTCAGCCCGGATCCAGTGCTGTCCGGCATTGCAGTTGCCCAAACCGTTCGTGGTATCCAAGATGCTGGTGTTGTTGCTACCACCAAGCACTATATCGGCAACGAGCAAGAACGCTTCCGTCAAGCCCCAGAAGCATTTGGCTATGGCTTTAATATCTCGGAAAGTCTAAGCTCCAACATCGATGATACCACGCTCCACGAGCTCTACCTCTGGTGAGTAATAAGCTTCCTAAGATCCGCGGCATCATGCCATCAATTCGCACGCGGTACCGTGCGTGAATCCAAAGCTAACGAAATCAGGCCCTTCGCAGATGCAGTCCGCGCCGGCACGGGAGCTATCATGTGCTCGTACAACCAGATCAACAACTCCTATGGATGCCAGAACAGCTACCTCCAGAACTATATCCTTAAAGGCGAGCTCGGTTTCCAAGGATTCATTATGAGCGACTGGCAAGCGCAGCACTCTGGCGTCGGCAACGCTTTGGCTGGTATGGACATGGCCATGCCTGGTGACACTTCTTTCCTCACTGGTGCCTCGTTCTGGGTAAGTCATGTCGGAAGCGCCTATCTTATGGTCGGACTCCAGCTAATCACATCATCTCACAGGGACCGAATCTCACACTCGCTGTCGTCAACGGAAGTGTTCCGGAGTGGCGTATCGACGATATGGCTACCCGTATTATGGCAGCCTACTACCTCGTTGGCCGCGATGAGGCCTCAGTACCGACTAACTTCAACTCCTGGAATAGAGACACTTTCGGCTACCGACACCCGGTTCCTCAGCTAGGGTACCAGCAGATTAACTTCCACGTTGACGTTCGCAACGAGCACGGCAGAAGTATCCGTGATCAAGCTGCTCGCTCTACCGTTCTTTTAAAGAACACTGGTGTGCTCCCTCTTGCTAATAACGAGCGTTTCACGGCTGTTTTCGGTAGCGATGCCGCCGAGAACCCGTGGGGACCGAACGGTTGCCCAGACCGAGGCTGCGATAACGGTACATTAGCAATGGGCTGGGGCTCTGGGACTGCCAACTTCCCCTACCTTATCACGCCACTTGAGGCGATTAAGGAGGAGGTCCAGAACAATAATAGGATTATCCAGTCAGTTATTGACGACTACGCCTATAGCCAGATCGCATCACTTGCTGGTCAGGCAACCCTTGCTATTGTGTTCGTTAACGCCGATAGTGGTGAGGGCTACATCTCCGTGGATGGTAATGAGGGCGATCGTCAAAACCTTACCCTCTGGCATAACGGAGAGACTCTGATCCAGAACGTCACTGCACGGTGTAACAACACCGTTGTAGTGATCCACAGCGTCGGGCCTGTCCTCACGAACACTTTCGTTGACAACCCGAACGTGACCGCTATCCTTTGGGCCGGTCTTCCAGGCGAGCAGTCTGGTAACTCGATCGCTGACATCCTATTCGGCCGCATCAACCCAGCCGGCAAGCTGCCATTTACCATCGGCGCATCCCGTCGGGATTATGGCACTGACCTTCTATACCAGCCCAACAACGGTGGCGCCGCACCGCAGGACAATTTCTATGAAGGCGTTTTTATCGACTACCGTGCTTTTGACCGTGCCAATATCCAGCCTGTGTTTGAGTTCGGCTTCGGTCTTAGCTACACCAGCTTCGAATACTCGAACCTGAACATCGCTCGCCGCAGCGCCGGCGCGTACACTCCGACAACCGGACTGACATCCGCGGCGCCCGTTCTTGGCAACTTCAGCCGCAACCTCGCTGACTATCAGTTCCCGGCCAACTTTAGTGCCGTGCCGCTATATATCTACCCGTATCTTAATAGTACTGACGCGGCGACGGCAGCCAACTCGTCGGACTACGGCCTGCCTGCAGAACAATACATTCCGCCTAACGCGCTTAGCGGCGCACCACAGCCACGTATCGCAGCAGGCGGCGCTCCAGGAGGGAACCCGCAGCTGTACGACGTGCTATTCACCGTTACTGCCACCATCACCAACAACGGCACGCGTAATGGTGAAGAAATCCCACAGCTGTATATCGGCCTTGGCGGACCAAATGACCCCATCCGGGTTCTGCGCGATTTCCAGCGGCTGAGCATCGACACCGGCATGAGCGCGACCTTTGTTGCAGACATCACCAGGAGGGATATCAGCAACTGGGACACGGTTACCCAGAACTGGTTCATCTCGGACTATCCCAAGACGGTGCACGTCGGCAGCTCGAGCAGGAACCTGCCACTGACTGGGACGCTGGAGCTTTAGGTGGAACATGCAAGAGTCTCGGACAATGAAGAGGGATGGCTCTGCTTGAAGAAGGGTAATGACGAAGACACGTAACGAACACTGCACGACTGCTTGTACATAGCTACTACTACCGCCATAACTAAGGCGCCGGCCGTAATGGGAGGGTACGGAGGGTTACAGGATCAAAAACACATTCCAATGCCGAACAGCACCATGCATTTCCCTGCACGATTCCTCTCCAAGATCCTCAAACGTGAGCACAAACCGTGATGGCGTTCGTAACCCCGATGGAGCGCACCCTTCAATGTGCGATGACGCTTACAGTACTTTTGGCTTATCGATAGCAAGGGCTTCTGCTAGCGCGTGCTGGTGGTGATTTTTGCGGTGCGTGCAGGTGGTGTGGCCCCACGGCCGAGTCCACCAACCGAGCACGGGATTGGGGAGAACTCGAGAACTCGTGAACCCGTGAACTCGTCATTGTTTTGCGCGCCCACGGTAAACACGACTGAACGTGATCGCAAGACCAACGGCCTGTGGATGGCGTCTTCGCACCAGCAGCGCGCACTGGACCCGACGGACAAGCTGCCCCTCTCATAACAACCAGCAGTTCGCGATTTACCAAACTCCAAATCAAACCGCAAAGGCAGGAGCGACTCCACGACAATCGCCCCCAGCCAGACAATCGCGCGTGCACCACTGTGCTTACTCTTCAGAACGCTGGCCCTTCCACTTTTCTTCTGTTTCGCTACCGGACAGCTGCTCTGTCAACTCCGGTCGTCGACGTTGGTGTACCGGTCATCCTTCGCCACCACGGTTTCTGCTTTTCCGCTTCGCGTACACAACACGTTCCACCGTCGCTTCTTCCGAGCAGCCGGCCAGCCTCATACGGCCGTGAAAGACATCACAGCCCACATATTCAGATTCACCGAGTACTTCACACGTGCCGCCGCTGCTCGCTGAGCGAGTTCCTTACGCGAAGTGTTGTAATTTCCCTTCTGTGGGTTAAGCAGAGTATAGCAGCCCTCCCACGGTACACTCCACGACTGTACCCCAACCGTGGTTGATTCACGAATTTTGTTTTTCTCTGCACAAAACCCGCCAAAGATAAATACCTCACACTTCGCACTTCGCAAATCGCAGACGCACCGGGCAGAAGCAGCGACAGTTCCAAGATGCCGCCAAATTCGACCCGCCGCACCCGCTCGCGCCGGGAGACAGAGATACAGCAGCGATCCGATGCGAATACCCCGGAGTCAATACAGACGCCGTCTAGAAAGAGGAGGCGGGTGAGTAGTCGGAGTGCAGCCCCTATATGCAGTACAGACCAGGCTGCTGACATCTGGGTGTAGGTCACCGGTCCCGACAGCGCCCGCACGACCGCCAATGGTGCAGAGCGCCGCAGCACTACGATACAGGCAGCCGTATCCAGAGAAGCGACCGTCGAGCCCACGAACGACGAGGCGGACACTAGCGAAGTGATCGAGGACGAGACTCTCAGGGTTATTAGCCGGTTGAGGACCTCAGATGCGTTTGTTCAAGCCGTGGTCGACTTCTCCAACGACCTGGATGTAGAAAACCCGTCCACCAGGAAGGCTTACGCAAAGATTGCTGGTCGACAATGGAGTTATTACATGAAAACCCCTGGGATCAATATTGGCCGGGGCAAAGAGGCTCCCCGATCCGCACTCAAGGCTGGTCCACTGAACGAGGCTCCCGTCTCGCCATCCCAGCTCTCGCCTGACCCCAATGCTGCCTTCCCAATCCACATCGACCTGGGACCGGACAACCGCATTTCCAGGCTCCATGCAGTTATCGAGTATGATGCCGACAATGAGCAGTGGGTCCTCTTTGTGAACAGCCGCAATGGACTTCGAGTGGATGACTTTCATGTCGAGCACGGCAAGAGGACGGTTCTGCGTTCGGGATCCGTTTTCTCGGTTAATGGGACGGAGATGATGTTCCTGCTTCCGGACGGTGAGGTCGAGATTGCCCAGGCCATTATGAATCGTGTCAAGCAGCAGCCGAAGGACGGCGACGATACGGAAGAAGGGGATGAGGACAGTCCTCGTCTACCGCAGAGCCATCTCAAACCCTCGTCGCCGCGACCTGGTGCTGGTGCGCAGAAACCTTACCAGCAATCGTCACAGAGCTACAGTCAACACCCGCCACAACACAGCGGTCATGGGCAGTTCTCCGCTGCTGTGATGCCATCGTCTACTTCTGCGCAGCCTGGTACTCCCGGAACCAAGCCAGGACAGGTGAGGGTTAAAGCGTCGCCTGCGTATTCTCGTGGACTCGTGATTGAGAGCACTCAAGAGATTGACTACGCCGACGAATCAAGCAAGGACTTCAAACCACCGCACAGCTATGCACAGCTCATCGGTCAGGCGATCTTAGGCACGGATGAGAAGAAGCTTACACTGTCCAAAATCTATGACTTTGTCCGGGAGAATTACGCGTTCTACAGGCACACCGCCACAGGATGGCAGGTAAGCTCGCGTCTCCGTCTGCTGTCACCGTAACCACTTGCTAACATGTAACTCAGAACTCCATCCGCCACAACCTTTCGCTCAACAAGTCTTTCGAAAAGGTACCCCGCGACACGCACGAGCCCGGCAAAGGCATGAAATGGCAAATCGTGCCGGACCACCTCGAAGAATTCATGAAGAAAGCTATCCCACCTACGCGCGGCATGCGGCCCTCCGCGTCCTCCGGGCCAAACTCTCCCGCAGCCATGCAAGCCTCGGAGCGCCTCCAAGGCGCCCTCGCAGGCGTCCCCCAGCACCAGCGCCCCGGCAGCCGCGGCATCAAAACCGAGCGCATCAAGACTAGCCCCCGCTCCGTCACGCCACCGCTGATGGCCGCCTACCCGACCGCCCAGGAGAGCTACACCCCCGACCGCGGCCCCGCGCGCCGCCCTACAATACGCACGAATGACCTGCCCCCACCTCACACAGCTGAAGCCCGCACCCCTATCTCCGCCAACGACGGCAGCCGCAGCGCCTCAGCCCCACACCCGCAGTACGCCTCCGCGCACGGCCCGAATCCGCCAGGCACGGCGCCGCGCCGCTCACACGTCGGGCTGACGGAAGCGGCATCCCAGGGTTCACCGCCAGCGATGGGCTCGACGCTCTATGCGCAGGACGGACATCAGGGCATGCTGATGACGCCGTTGGTCGAGCGGCATAAACCTAGCCTGGCGCCGCCGAGCTCGATGCGCGCACCCAGCCACTTCATGCATAACATCATGAGCTCCCCGGCGCCGTTTTGGAAGTTTGCGGATCATGCGCTTACGCCTGGGAGGGTGGTGGGGTGGGGGAGCAGTCCTGTCAAGAGGAAGGTTGAGGAGATGGAGGGGGATGACGACGAAGGAGACGAGATTGAGGAAGGCGGGCCTGTTGGCCAGGCCGGCGAGTCCGGTAGCACAGAGGTGGAGGGCACGAAGCACGACAGCGCCACGCAACTAGGCAAGACTGGTGCGCACGCACAACACCCCTCGTCCCCGCCCCCCATGGTCTCAGCAGAGCCCCGGGAGCAGGCCGAGCACAACTCAGACGCAGACGACTCCCACGATGACTCCCATGAAGACATGTCCCCCACGCGCACCCTCTCGCGCCCGGCAACGAGACAAGGCCCTACGCGGCCCAGCACCGCGACTGGTGGAGTTCAAGCACTGCAGGCGCTCGGCCCGCCGCCGAGGATGGCCATGCCGGTGCAGATGGGTATGGGAGGTCTACCGGGGCCGGTGAGGGGGCTGGGGATTGGTGGGTTGGGTGGTGTGCACGGGATCAGTGGAGCTGGTGGGATGAACGGAGTCGGGAAGGTGGATGAGGAGGAGGAGGAGGGGATTGATCTTGCGAAGTAAGTCTTCCTTGCGCTGTTTTGGGACAGATGTGGGAAGGAGTCGTGAGCAAATACTAACAAGGGCAAACAGAGGATTCCAGCCCATTGGCAACTTCCATCGCAATCTGATGCATGCTGGTGGACCTGGGTTTCGGGGGTTCTAATTATCCCGAACCTGAACACTTGAGAGATGGTGAGGAGATGGTGTAGTAAGAGATTGAGACTAAGAAAAGAGACGACGGCGGAGTGATCACTCGCTACGGTACGGGAGTCAAGGATGGGCCACGGCAAAATTGTTTACATTCACTGTGCATGATTCAATTTTTTTTCCTTCTCTTCTTCTTACATCAGCGGCATTTTACTTCTACTTTTAACTTCTGCATCATTTCACTCCTCTCAACGCTCGATACGAAAATGGATGGATGGCTGGATGGCTGGATGGCTGGATGATTTGCTTTGCTCAGCGCACGCTCTCGCCTTGTGCCGTTGAGTCACCCTGGAGGGAGTTCGTTCTTCTTGTGTTTATTCTAGCTGTGTGGTGAGTGTACGAAAGAATCAAAAAAATTTCGCTACGCTATCTGATTGTCGCTTTTGATGTGAACGACTCGTCGGGCGGGTTGCTGATAGCAGTTCTTAGAAGATAATCAAAATGATAGTTTTCCCAACCGCCACGCATCTTGTCAGATGTGACTGTCTTCAGCAAGTGCGGAAGGACAGCCAGCATGTCTTAAGCGTGTTTCTATGTATGACCTGTTAGTAAATGGTGATGGTACATGACTGTTCAAGAATGACGGTGCCTTAATGCTGTTGAACTTCGTCGAGTCCAAGGATCTTCGTCAGCAACATGAGCTGTTATACGCAGAACCTCAGTCTCTTCTTTCATATACGGCCACAGATGATCGATTTCACATTCCACTTAAAACGTGAGTAGCCTAATATCATTTTAGCTATCTTACTAGCTTAGCTGTCCGGTGTACTTAGTAAAATCGATTCAGATCTTAACCATATCAAAGGGGTATACAATTGTTGGAGGCCATCTGCCGCGCGGAACATATACAATCTTTCCCCAATGACAATCGCCATTGCAAGTGTCCCAAAAACGCTCATCATAAGCATTAGGGGGTATATCTTTTCCGAGATCGCGTGATACAAACAGGTAGCAAGAATGCTCTTCAGGTCCCAGCATTTCCGCTAGCTCATAAGGGGTTAGGGACTGACCATCTGTCGTTTGAGCCGTCATGTCAGCCCCAGCATACATCAATTCAGCAATTGTGCCACAATAATCTCCTTGATACATCGAGCCTGACATGTGGTCGACTGTCGGTCGTCCATTATGCATGTTATGTGCACCTCCGCGGAATGCTGCCATGTGAAGAGGGGTCCAGCCAGCGGCATCTCGTTTCTCGAGATCTGCAACTCCACGATGCTCCACGAGCGCATAAACCATCTCAGAGTTGCCACTAGCTGCAGCAAGGTGAAGTGGCAAGTAACCGCTCCGGGTGCAAGCTCCACCGTCTGCACCGTGCTCTAAGAGCCATGATGCTTCCTCTTCTGTTGCGTACGGAGCGGCAGAGTGCAGTATCGTGTATTCGGTTTTGTAGATGCCAAAATCGATCGGTAAAGCGGCATATAGGAGCTTTAAACTCTCGAAACGGGAGTTGTTGTTCATCCACTCAAGATCTGACATGGGAGTATCCCCATATGCTGACACCACATCTAGAGGGGCTTCATGCTGAAGGAGTAACCTGATAAGGTCATGACTGCGCCCTCTGCATGCCAGATGAAGAGCTGTCCTTTATCTAATCAGTCGATAATCCTAATGGTTCCTATGAAACTTACAATTGCTCTGAGTTTGTGGCGCATATGTCGGCGCCGGATTCTATCAAGAATCGCACCAGTTCAATTTTCGAAGATTGAGATACGAGATGATCTCGCGCTTCAATTGCGTACTTCTCAGATTAGCGGGGTGTTTGGAATTTACCTTTGTAGACTTACATGTAGAGGTGATGCCCCGTCGGGATCTACGTCATTGACATTTCCGGTGCCATTTTCAAGATGCCACCTCGCTGAATGCAGGTCAGCCCGCAAACAGGCTCGCAAGAAGTCTGTGTGGCGTGGCACCATGTTTCGGAGACGAATACGGCCGGATGAAACCCAAATGTCTGACCAGCAAGATTTGGGATGACATGTGACCAACTCGGCTGTGAGTAATTTGGACAGCAGACCAAAGGGGAGTCGAAATCCGAATGATAACCAGATAGACTGATGGAGGAATTTTTCCGTTGCATAGAAGCCCACTGAGCCCGAAAGCCCAATTATGCTCAGCCACGATCCTTTCACTATGAGAAACGGGGCTTGTGCGCGGAAGTCTCCCTGAGAAACTCTGGGATAGTTTCGAGTTTGACGGCATTGGATATTCCCAGAAAGCTCAGGACTTGGGACGATTGTTGTCGGTTGCCTCAGACTAGCCAAATCGCTTCTGAGCACAGCATGATTGGAAATTATCTGATCGATAGACGCCTGGTTCAGGGTCGTCATACGACTGCAGCGAAGGTCAGCCTCGTAGAGCGGGATTGAAGCATATGAGAGATGCGATGTGCATAGTGCTCGGTCCCTAGGATGCCGGAAACTCCATCGGACGGAACCACTCACATCCCAATTATCTGGAGTAATGAGTCCAGGCAACGTTCAGCTTCTGCCAAATTGTCTTGTAGCTTCTTGACCGTGTGCCTATCTAGGAACGCCCAACGCAGTTGACTCCTGAATTTATCGCCTCCCGGGCGGAACGGGCGGAGACCCTTCTGCACTTCAATTAAAGCCTCCCATACGCTATGGGTCGTCGCTCTAAGTAGTTGCCGCTGCCGTAGAGGGAGCATCGGGTGCTCAGTTGAGATGTCCTCAACTAAGGTTTGGAGACATTCCAATCGCGCTCGAATCTGTAAATCAGGACCGTTACTATCGGTCTGTCCATACCAAGGGTCTTTCACTACTGCATGTATTGAATTTTCTCTACTCACAAGACCGATTCTCTTGAGTTGACGATTTGCTTCAGCAGATGCATCCTTCAAAGCTCCGTAGAAGTCTGTAATGTCTAGTCTCCCAGTTAACAATAGCTGAGTTTCAAAGCAATGAGAATCGAATACCTTGCGTCGCACCGATGATGTTGCTAAGGAGCTGGGTAAAAGAAGCAGCTACAGCAACTCCAGCAAGGGCCTCCGCCATGATATAAGTGATTGGAGCTGTCTTGTAAAGGGAAAAAAGGATGCGCAGCAAAGTCAACCCGCTCTAACGTGTTAGATCTTATTTGCTTCATTTGTGTTGTGGTCGAGTAGTAAATTATAGCACCTGCTAGGCAGCAGTCAAACTTCTATGCCGGTCCGGCTACGCAACACTGCCCAACTGTCACAGATTTGTATGCCTTGTCTGCCTTGTCTGCCTTGTCTGCCTTGTTACACCACGGATTAGGTAGGCGGATAAGAGCGGGCGTGGGCTCGGAGAAGAAGCGCTTCTTTCACGAAAAGTAACGTTTTACTGGGGGGCAGAGCGACGTTTCACGGTCACGTGTAATAACATTCTCAACCCACACCCCTAATATATCCACAAAGGGAGGCGATTAGGGTTAGGGGAGCCTAGGGGCTTCAGCCCTGATATGGGCGATTAGGAGAGGGTTAGTGGTATATATATTAGTTAGGGGTTAGGGTTAGTCACGTGTCTAGTCGGATCTCGTAATATTAGTGGTTAGGGTTAGCTTATCTCGATAAATACGAGATTTACCTCTAGACGGCGAGAAATCTTATTAGATTTCTCGTTTTTATCAAGCAGTAACGTTCCGGCGCCGGAACGTTACTCCATAAGGAGAAGCAGAATTCCGTGGACGCGTCGAGGTTGAGCTAATTGTATATTCGTGAAAAGAATCATATTGCTAAGGAACGCCAACAAAGTAACAACAACGCAATTATCCGTCCAAATCTCATGCTCTCAACTCCTCTATGGTGCTCCTGGGTGACTCATACACTATAGAGTATTATATAACCACATTAATCATCTTGCTTCCGTGCTGCTGTTGAATATGGACTTCAGCATTTTGCGACCGTGTTACTAAGCGCCGAAAACAACCGAAGCGCCGGCTCTGATGTGATTCTTTTCACAAACATACGATTACATAGTTGCTCGAGCTCCTCCCTTCTGGTGCACGCGAGCGCGGCTGCTCTGAGCCTCGGTGCGGTTGGGCTAACCACCCACCTACCTACCTACCACGTCGTGCGCAATAAAACTCTCACCGCGGAAATCTCGCTATGAAACTCGTGTTTATCTGACCCGTGCCTCGCTTTACCGTCACCACGCCCCCTTCCAATAAAACAACAAAATTCTTATAAAGATAGAAGATGTATAGAGGTTTAATTAAATAGCTCTTCCGTACTTCTTGCAGCCTAATATAGGCGGTAGTGTAGATAATGGTTGGTGAAGCATGGGTTTCGCGGTGAGGCCATATATGCGCACGACGTGATGTGCACTCGATCTCAACGTTTTGAGGCAAAGGAACTGCGGCGCTACTATCTTGACTTTAGACGTGAGATAGTTTGAGTGGGGGTGGTCAAGCATATCACTGAATGAACATCCTCATACTGAATACATCTTGAGCGAGGTCTGGTGAGGACAGCATGGGTATCATTTCTCTGTGGATATTAGACATACTGAAAATCCCTTTCGCCGCCGAAGGGGAAAAGAAGTAAGAAGGAAAATCGTCTTCTGCCATACCCTCTCATATACAGTCCCCCACATTATTCCCATCACCACGCCCCTTACCCCCTCCATCCCTCCCCCAACGCCACCAGCGGGCAGTCCCCAACCCTCACCATCGCGCCCCTAAATCCCCTGCTCCCCTCACACTCCCAATTCCCGCCCACTAACCCCCCCTAACCCACTCCTCCACCCGTCCCGCAACATCTCCAACAAGCATCTCATACGTCTCCCCCATAAAAAACAGTCCGCAATGCGCGCCGACCTCGTCCACGCCCTCCATATACACCCGCACCCACGTCGGGTCGCGCTCGCCCTTCTCGTTCTTGGAGGGCAGCACGCAGAACTTCTTGTCTTTTTTCTTCTTTGTTTCTGTGGTTTGGGCGGCGGGTTGGGGGAAGGTTGAGGGGTTGGTTGAGGGGGTCGGGGTCGTGCTGGAGGTGCGGCGGTGGAAGGGGTTGGTGATGGAGGGGCGGCGGTGGTGGGAGGAGGAGGAGGGGGAGGATGGGGAGGAGGATGAGGAGGATGAGTCGGAGGCGTAGGTTTCGGTTGAGGGGGCTGCGGTCGAGATTGGGGGTGGCGGTGGTGCGGCGGTCGGCGCAGATGGGGGAGGAGAGGGCTCGCCGCGCATTCGTCGACTCTCGCGCTCCATGCGCAGGCGCTCGGTCTCGAGGCGCTCTCTCTCGCGCTCGTCGTGCGTCATTTCTCTCGGCTTGGTGATCTTGCTTCTGGCCGCTTTTTCTGCAGCCTCCTCTTCTTCTTCGCGCTGCTTCTCAGCCTGCTTTCGTCGTTTCTCTTCAAGCTTCGCTCGATCTTTGATCGCGCTGTCGCGGTCCTTGAGGGCGCGTTTGTAGGCCTTCATGGCGCGCTCGTGGTCTTTTTCGGCGATCTTGCGGGTGTCTTTGTCGGGGTATTGGGAGAGGTCTGGAGGCGTGGGTTGGGCGGGCATTGGCGGTATCGGTGGGAGAGATGGCACTGCTGACGGGGTCGGCGACAGACTTGCTCCTGTGAGGGCTGATGAGGCTGTCGTAGTGGGCGCGAGTGACGTGGTGGAAGCTGACGGGGTGGCAAAGGGCTGAGGCGGGGAGGGCGTGGGCGAGTCGGGTATGGGCGTAGGGGAGGCGCGGCCCATTTCGTAGAGCGAGCTTCCGGAAGAGGAGGGTGATGAGGGGATGGAGGGTCTCTTAGGGATTACGATACCGCCGCGGTGTTCGTCGACTGATATCCTTGGGCTTAGAGACCTGGAACTAGAGTGATTGGATTGGGAGTTGTTCGTTGTTGAAGGCGTGAGATTCATGTTCTGCATTTCAATCTCGACAGGCTTGCTTCCCTCGCGATTGGGCGACGGGGACTTCGGCCGCTTCGGTCTGCCGGTGCTGGCTGTGTAGTAATTGACGAATCGTACCCTTGGAGGTGCCCTGGCCCCCTGGGTTGCCATCTTTCGCATATTCTCGTCTTCATACTCCAGAGCACGGATGCGTTCGTAACGTCTTTTGAGACCTTTGTAGTCTGCCATTGCCCCGCCAAACTCGATGTGTGACTTGACATATTGTTTTGAAGCCTTCACAAGGTCATCTGAATGCTTGTGCAAGAAGTGCAGCGTGCTGTTCCAGCCCTTCCTGACGGGGAGGTTGACATCGTTGGGAAAGACGGGGTTGTAGTTGGGATCAGTTGGTTTCCGCAGAAGCGTGTCTGCCCTTGCGGGTGTCGAATTTGCAGTACTGTAATCCGAACCCTGAGCGGCACCCGGCGACGGATCAGGGCTGGATCGGACAAGACTCTTCAGCCCGCTGGACACGATACCCGGATGCATGCCAAGGAAAGGGGTGTCGAAGTTAATGGTGCCCAATATGCGATGTCTGAATGCGTGGCCGGTCGCGGGGGAGTATGGAGGGACAAGAACGACCTCTGCGGAGAGCAGCCCACCCATCGAATGCCCCAGCAGTATCACATCTGTGTCCGGTGACTCGTGAGGAGAGAGCCTGGCGTCGAGCATTAGCTTGTCCCTAGTATGCCATGGCGTGGCTCACCATTTGCTGAAGTCGTCTCTAGCAAAGTCTATGGATCGCCGCGACCTGTAGCGTGGGTATATCTTCGTATGTATGACGTGGGTATCGGCCAGCGTGATATTCACCAGGTTGTGAACATGTGCCGGAAAGCTCTGAAAGCTCGTCTCGGTTCCCATGAAGCCATGGATGTAGACGAGCAGGAGCCGGCGGCGGCCCTCGTGGTTCGAGTTGACGGGCACAAGAGAGTCGGTCGACAGGTTTCGCGGATCGCTGGCGGATAGCGTGTGCGACTGATAAGGGTTGGTGTCATCGACCAGGGTGTACGGCGGCGGAGCTTCAGAGCTCGAGTGGGGCGAGAGGTGGGTGCTGCTGGTGCGCGGAGGCAGAGGAGGGGCATTGCGGTTTGAAGCCCGCTGCTTCTCGAACGCGGCCATCTGTGGGCACAAGACGAAGCTAGGGCGGAGTGCTAGAGGCTCGGAGGGGCGCAATTGATGCTGGTGGCAGACCAAGGGTCCATCTGTCGGCTTGGTGACACGGCGGAGTGAAAGCCACTGAGGCAGGTGAGAGGCTCGGAGGCTCGGAGGCAGCGATGGAGAGACGGACTAGATGCGCGAAGAGTTCATGGTCATGTGTCAGGCAGGCAGGCAGGCAATTATCAAAGCCCGTCGAAGCCGCGGTGTTTCCGGTAGTTACAACCGCTGGACGAGTACGTGTATCAAGGCAAGGGCTGCGCCGTGTTGTTGATGGCCGTTGACGCACCACGCAATTGCGGGGCCATCCGTTCTCCACACTGACAGCGGCAGCTGCACGTGAGGTCGCATTCGCGTCCCCAAAACCCCCGAAATCCCCGGCTCTCAACACCGCGGCGGCGTCCTAGCGAGAAACCCTTCGACTACCGGTAGCGCAGACACCATCGCGTCCTCTTGCTCAAACTGTCCGCACCATCACACAAACTCCTGATCTGCGTTTGATTGACTGTGCATGCAGCGGCTTTGATTGGTGCAGTTCCAGTCTGAGAAAGCAGGACCTGACGACAATGGGAACAGACAGGCACCCACAGTCTATTGACTGATGATCAGAAGGCCATGGTGTTCATCTGCTGACAGCCAGAAGGCATCGACAAAGACACAGAGGAAGAGGCTACAGGCTGAGATTGAACCGCACATGCAAGCTCCATCCTTGCAACCCTAGACGGTGAACCTGCAACTTGCCGCAGCGGGCGCGCGCTTGACTCGGCGAGAACAACACTTGCAGGTGGATTGCAGGCCAAGGCCCTGTCGAGACCGGGCCCTCGTACCTGCAGCCATCAAGATTCTGCTGTCCGCTCCGCCCTCCCGCGCGTCCGTCTGTTCTTTTTGATATGGAGGTTGATTTCGGCTGTTCCCTCTGTGCTCTGCAGGCGCTGTTTGAGCATCTGTCAGAGCCCGCTGCTGAGCGCCAGCGACCACGGCCCCGTCATCGGCTGTCTCTCGGACGCCTGGGGAGGCGCATGATTGCTAATTCGAACTGCATCCTGCTCTCTGCCGGCGGGAAATTGGCTTCGTACTAGCCTGGTCGATGCAGTGGTGAGGGCTATCGATCCCCGGTTCGGCGTAGTGGTTTTAGCCGTTTTGGGGCAGGCCTCCTCCACAATGCACCAGAATGCACGCACTTTGACCTCGCGCCGCCCCCCGTGCGCCCGCCTAGCGCTCTGTGTCCGCCGAGAAGACTCTGCTGCCCATCTGCCCATCTGAACTTCTTCCCCCCAACATCCTCGGCTGCCATGCTCGCAAGACGGAAGGCCAACAAGAACGCTGCCTTGCGCGTGCGCTGAGGGAAAGCTTGACGTCCGGTTCAGAATACTCGAGCGAAACACAGAAGAGATACCAAGCAAACCCAGACTACGCATAGTAATATCCGACCCGCGGCCCGCTCGTTCCCGCCCATCCAACACCTCAGTCGTCCACTCTGAAAGAACAATCACAGCCATCGCGCTTCAACTGATGCCGTGTCCTTGAAGCGACACACCAAGTATGTCAGAATTTGACGCTGCAGATATCAGTGCCTGCCTGCTGACAGCTCCGCGCAGAGGGAGAAGCAGTACCTGCCAGGCCTTTTGACCGGCGTCCATTCGTTTGTCTCCACGTACATGTAGAATTCCATCGACTGGAAGAATTACTAGGCCTTCAGTGAAGACAGCCGCTCTCTCAGCAACATCAGTTAACAGGACCATTCGCCGAAAGGACACAACCCTTTCTTTTCAAGTACATATTATCATTTCGACATACAATCGCCCACCAACAGCCCGGCAACAATTGGGGACTTTCGGATCTTGCAGTCACTTCGCGCAACGCGCGACAAACGATACGACCAGCTCTCGATCGTGTAATGGAGCGTTCTTCGAAACGACAGAGACGCTCAAGAATCCAGGGCCGGCCTCAGGATATCGATATGGCGAAGCTGTTTGACAACAGCTACGCCCTTAATTTAGTGGAGAATTCAGCAAGGAGCACGGCTTCCCCTTCTATGCCTTCCGATACTGAACATCAGTACGGGGCTCTGCACGTGGGAGAAATGAAATACCGAAAGTCCATGGACGAGAAGCATGGCCTTTTGCGTAAGAAACAGCCTGGGGCCGCAGACCTCACCAACACAGTCGATCTGAACGCCGCCATTGCTCGACGCTATCCGCCAAGCGCAACAGCTGCACCGGCTGAACCTGCTGCCAGTATAGAAGTCATGCCTGCAGAGGTGCCTGCAGAGGTTTCTACAAGCCTCGATGATACCGTGGCCACCGTTGTAAGCGTTGAAACCGTCGTCTTCGCAGAAGCCTCCGCCGCTGTCGAAGCTGCGTCTGCAGGGCCGAACAACCCGCCTGTTCCCACCGTTCCATCCGTTCCGGCCTTCCCCACCAATCTGACAGTCCCTGCCGTACCAACCGCTACCTGGGAATCCATTCCGGTCGTGGTCGACTATCCTTTCCCGCCGTCTTCCGCGCCCGAATCGCCAACAGGGTCGCCAACAGAAGCGCCTACCGAGCCAGTGGCAGAACAGGCAACGCCTACCACTACCCTCCAACCATCGCTAGCATCTTTGCAACCCAGCTCGCAGCTCATCATGCAGTCCCCTCCGGCAACGCCTTTACCATCGGAAACCACATTCGCTTCTAGTTTAGACAGTAGCACCACCTCGGCCGCGTCGACCGCTCTCTCCGGTAGTGACCCTGTTGTCTCGGCTGCAGCCAGACCGACAGTTTCATCTGCGCTGTCTCAAGGCGGATCCCTCCTCTCTGGGACAACACTCCGCACGACTGCTACAGCCTCTGTGCGCTCGTCGCCCGGGTCGTTGTCATCCGGGTCAGCGAACCCGACAATCTCTGGTGAGTAGCGGTACTATCACGTAGTTGACGCGTCGCTAACTTAGCAGTCCAAGCAGCATCTGCATCTTCCGGCCGATCTAGCCTGTTCACAAGTGCCGGCACTGTATATGTGGTTTCAGTCAACGCGAACTCTCGCATCACACAGACGCTACCAGCCTCAGCCATACCATCTGTATCACTATCACCGTCAGCGGACCCCTCGTCCCCTACGGAAATCGTTTCAGACTCGGCCACCACCTCTGCCGACGAAGCCTCCGCGACAGATGCTTCCGGGACCGCCTCTTTCATGGCTTCAGACCCCGCCGTCGCAACCGGCACACCCGTCGTTGGACTCCCAGGCGCACCCGGCGAACCCGGCGCGGCTCCCTCAGCAACGGCATCAGCCTCATCCTCAGCAGAGTCCAGCAACAACAGCGACTCCGGCGAATCCCCAGCCGTCCCCACGCGCACCGTCGTGGGTGGTGTCGTAGGCGGCATCGCCGGCATGGCCGTCCTTCTCCTCATCCTCCTCATGATACTGAAGTGGTACCGACGCCGGCGCGGCGCGCCCTTGCGCCTCCCCGACCACTCCACGCCCTCCGCCGACCCCTTCTCCGACGACGCGCACCCAATGGAGGAGCGGCAAAGGGGTAGTGTCCTCCCCGTTGCAGCCGCCGGCTTCATGAGGAAGATTTCCGGTGGGACCCCGCCCCCTAGTGCCGCGGCGCCGGAGCGCGGCTTCCAGCGCATATCGGGCCGCAAGCTCCCTTCGGCACATAGTCCGGGCATGACTTCCGCCGACGTCCCTGCTCCGCTTCACAGCCCTGCGGCGCTGTCTGACAGCTCGTTCTACCGCGATAGCCAGGGCTTCTACGGCGGTCCTGGAACTGCGCCTGTCGCTGCTGCTGCTGCTGCGGGGCCTTCCCGAGGCGTCGAGGAGAAAGACTTCGAGAAAGCGGCGCTGGACAAGGAGACCATTATGCCGAGTCCGGCGCGCACGCCGGTGGTGACCCAGAGCGCGGTGCAGCGCAGCTCGAGCTTCCTGACGCAGGATACGCGGAGTCCGCCAAGCAGTGGGCCACGCAGCGATGGCAGGCCGGATACGGGACTTACGGTGCTGAGTACGGTCTCTCAGGGCGGGAGTCGGAGCTCGAAGTTTGTCGAGGAGGATAAGTGGGGGCTGTGAGGGGCGGGACGAGCGGGTTTGTGGTGTAGGATGCTTTTTTGTATACCCTTGCGTTTTTCTTTCGTTGTGAGTGCTTGATGCGCTGCGCTGCGGCATGTTGGCGGCGAGGGCTGCGGGGAATGTTCATAGGGGCTGCCGCTCTGCTCGCCTTCGTTGTCCGTCAGCGTTTCGTGCGTGCATTTTTGGTCGTCATGGGCTTGTGGCGGCCGTGAGAAAGCCTCGCTACAGCAGGCGTGCATTGGTTGTGGGGTTCACGGGGTTCTGAGCCTCAGGCTCTTCGTGCACTAATTTCGTGGGCTCACCTGAAGAGCCTCGTTTATATGGCTGAGTTGTGTATTGCCTGATCGCAGCTTGGTTGGCACGCGCTAGGGGCTGCGTTCACTGATACTTGAGCTAAGATTCTGGAATGTAATGTATCTCCCATCGCTCGTGATTCTCTCTACTTTGATTCTCAATCGTGGCCTCGCGCGGCTCATCTTGAGGCGCGCCAAATACTTACTTCTCTAACCCCCCATAACCTCAACAGCAACTCCACCCGTTGACTCCCCCTTCTAAAACAAACTGACCCCGCATCTCCCACTCAAATCTCGTCAACCTCCGAATATCGTTTTCCTTGCCATGAGTAATCCGCTCTATAGTGACAGCCTCTCAGCAAGCACCAGCCCATACCACACCATCGCGCCCAGCGCGATCATGTTGACGAGCGAGCTCAGCCCGTGCAGCAGGCTGAACTGGCTGTTGAGCCGTTGCATCGCGTCGCTGTGCGGGCCCGCGTCGTAGGATTTCTTGCCGTCGCGGGTTTCTGGTGGGGTGGGGTTGTTAGTGGGGGTTGATTGGAAAGAAGGGATAGGGGAGGACCCGGGGTGAGAGAGCGAGGGAAGAGGAAGGGGAGGGTCGGGAAAAGGGACAGGGGCGCGGGGAGGAGAAGGACGGTACGATTTTGAAGCGGTAGCGTGGGAAGGCGAAGGGGGAGATTACAGAGGTGAGCGAGAGAGTGAAAAAAGGGATGAGCGGATACTGGTCGAGGAGGAGGGTGGATAAACGGCTTGAAACCGTTTCTGATGCAGTGGAAAGTTGCTGGGTCTGTACAGGGAGAAATGTAACGGTCCTACCTTGGTGCTTCCTCTCGCGCATGCACTTCGTAGTCGCCGGACCCAACACCGCCGCATTTAACAACCCACCCAAAAACATAACCAGTATACTCACGCCCGCGCCACCGCCCCCGGCGGCATTATCGAGCGCCGCGCTCCAGCCCCCGGATCCAAGCACCGTTGCTGGATACGTAAATACGAGCGCGGCGGGCAGCGCGGTTTGTAAAGCGAAGTAGACGGGGAAGATGTTCTGCTGGAGCGTTGAGAATTGCGGCCGGGGAAGGCACCGGAAGGCGACGATGCCGCCGACGAAGGACTGGAAGAAGGTCGTGCCTAGCAGGGTGCCGTAGGCGAGGATGTGCCAGGGGGCGGGGGTTGCGAGGAGGGAGAGGGAGGGCATTGCGAGGGAGGTGGTTCGAGGGTTGGGTTGAATGAGTTCTGGCCTCGTGGGATGGTGAGGTTTGGGGAGAGTTGCGAGGATGGTCTAGGTCTGTGGTGCGCTTGAGACTGTAAGAGAGTGGAAATGTTGTGGGATTTAGAGACAGACTTAAGAGCCTTTGCACCAAGGGATACTGCTACCCGCGGGCAGCAGCGCCACCGAGGTGATCTAGAAGTTGGGTGACGTTGTTGATTTCGGTATGTGCATAGAGTGTCACGTGATCGCGCGTCTACGCGTAGGTGACCTTACACGTTTGGATGCCTGGTTTGACTGTGAGCCAACAATCAACTTATTACAACATCATGTCACGCCCATTGCAGCTTTTTAACTAGTCTTTTGTGACGAGTATCGGCCAAACCCCATGTGAAGCTTCCGCCGACGCGTTGCAGCTGCAGATTCAACTGTCACTGTCATCTCGGCACTTGTTAAGCACTCCAGAGGGTCATCTACGTTCAAACTCTTCCCAAGTCTGGCATCAGTTTTTTTTTGGTTCGATCGCTGCTCTACTCGAAATGGCGGACAAGGAAGCCACTGTCTACATTGTCGATGTCGGCGCTTCTATGAGCGAGAAAAACCACGGCCGCGAAGAGACAGACCTCGCATGGGCCATGAACTATGTTTGGGACAAAATCACCACTACAGTGGCAACAGGCCGAAAGACGACCTATGTCGGCGTACTGGGCCTACGGACTGATGAAACAAACAATGAACTGCAAGAAGATGAGAACTACCAGCACATTTCGGTCATCCAGCCTCTCAGTCAGATATTGATGCCTGACCTCCGGAAGCTGCGTGATGAGATCAGGCCTAGTAGTACGGATGAAGGCGACGCTGTCTCCGCGCTGATTGTCGCTATCCAGATGATTGCGACGCACTGCCGCAAGTTAAAGTACAAGCGCAAGGTCATACTGGTGACCAATGGCCGCGGGCACATGGACTTTGAAGACATCAGCGGCATAATCAGCAAAATAAAGGAGGATGATATCGAGCTTGTAGTCCTGGGCGTCGACTTCGATGATGCAGAATATGGCTTCAAGGAGGAGGGAAAGGATCCGGTCAAAGCAGAGAACGAGGTGGCACTCCAGTCTCTTGTCGAGGAGTGTGGTGGTGCCTACGGAACGATGGAGCAAGCAATTAACGAGCTGGGTATACCTCGCATCAAGAACACCCGGCCGGTGCCTTCCTTCAGAGGGGCTCTAACACTGGGAGACCCGGAGAACTACGACTCAGCCATGTCTATCGATGTAGAACGGTATCCGCGGACAATGGTTGCCAAAGCACCCACAGCAAGCTCCTTCGTTGTCCGGACTGATCTGGCTCCTCAAGAGTCAAGTACCCAATCATCTCATACCCTGCCGAACGGCGACGTCGAGATGGCTGACAATCAAGACGGTCTCGCCGCTGTCAAGAATGCGCGAACCTATCAGGTCGTGGATGAAGAAGCACCAGGCGGCAAGCGCGACGTTGAGTTGGAAGATCTGGCGAAGGGGTACGAGTACGGACGAACAGCTGTGGCTATCAGTGAGTCGGAACACAATGTTACCAAGCTTGAAACGCACTCCGGCTTGGATATCGTAGGCTTTGTGCCCCGGGACAAGGTGAGTCCTTCGCAGCCGTAGGTATAGCACGCTATGTGTGCTCACTGTATCTAGTACGACCGCTACATGAACATGTCTCGATCGAACGTCGTAGTTGCACAGCGAACGAATGAGAAGGCAAGTATGGCATTGTCGTCGTTCATCCATGCACTCTACGAGCTGGACAGCTATGCCGTTGCGAGGCTTGTAGCGAAAGACGGCAAAGATCCGACATTACTTCTACTTGCACCATCCATCGAACCTGATTACGAATGCTTGCTAGATGTTGAGCTGCCGTTCGCCGAAGACGTGCGGCAGTACAGATTCCCTCCGCTAGATAGGGTCATCACCGTCTCTGGCAAGAAACTCATCGAGCACCGTAATCTGCCCACAGATGATCTCATGAAGGCAATGAGCGACTATGTCGATCATATGGACCTCTCAACATTTGGCAAAGACGACGAAGGGTGAGTCAGCTCAGGGAATACCATACCACATCACTAACGCGACCCTAGCAATCCTACTGAGTACATGCCCATGGAAGATACCTTCTCGCCAGTCCTCCACCGCATCAACCAAGCCATCCGCTGGCGAGCCGTTCACCCCACAGAGCCGATCCCACCACCCTACGAGATACTGACTAGATACTCCAACCCACCAGAGGAACTCCTACAACAAGCACAACCCTACCTGAACGCAGTCCTTAAAGCCGCAGACGTCAAGAAGGTCCCACCTAAGCAGAAGGGCCGGAAACGCCACCGCGAAGCCGAGAAGCCGCTCTCTGGCCTCAACGTCGAGGAGCTGCTAGGCCGGGAGAAGAGACAGAAGATTTCGGCTGAGAACGCCATTCCGGAGTTCAAGCAGATGCTGGCTACGACTGAGGATATCGGGACCATCAAAGATGCGGCGAAGCAGATGGGTAGTATTATCCAGTCGTACATCCGACACAGTGTGGGTGATAGTGGGTACAAGAGGGCGGTTGAGGCGATCAGGGTCGTCAGGGAGGAGATGACGGAGTTGGAGGAGCCTGGCGTGTTCAATGAATTAATTAGGGATCTGAAGACGAAGATTCTCGGCGAGGAGTTGGGTGGTGATAGAAAGGAAATGTGGTGGCTTGTTCGGGCTAATAGACTTGGACTAATTGACAAGCGGATATCGCCACTGTCTGAAGTTGAAGAGGACGAGGCAAAAGCGGTAAGGTTATACTTGAGACTCGCGAGATGGATCCGCGCTAACGCTGCTTATAGTTCTTGACCGCGAAACTGAGCGGATAGGTGCTGACGCTTTGTTGCATGAGCGAGGCGTTTCGGCGTTCACGAGGAGCATCTAGAGCTGTCCAAAAACACTAAGGCGATGCGTGTGTGGGCTTGTAGGGACCAGAGACGACGTGCTCAAGGAGCGCTTGGAGAATGGGAGGGATTTCGGGTCGGCTGAGAAAGTCTATTTACAGAAGGTACCCGCTTCATACTATGCCGCTACCTTCAAGCATGCGCGGCCGGCTAGCTTCCCAGCGTTCATGTCCGCGCAGAACCTGTCCAAGTCTTCCAGCGTCCCCATCGTCAGCGACGGATGCACCAACCCTCTCGCGGTGAAGTCCAGGCAGTCTTCGACGTCCTTCAGAGTTCCGACAACGCTGCCCACGACATTCAGCTTCTTCAAGCACATCAGCAGCGGCGGCGCGCCCGCAATGACCGACGAGTCCTTCGGCAGCCCTACACAGACCATCGTCCCGCCAGGCCTCAGCATACTCGGCGCGGTCTCATACCCCTGCTTCGTCGCCGCCGTCACAATAACACCATGAGCGCCGTACGTCGTAATCCGCATGACCTCCGCCACAACGTCCTTGGTCTGCGTAAAGTCGATGAACTCCTCCGCTCCTAGCTTACGGCACAGCTTCTCCTTCTCCTCTCCACCGTCCACAGCAATAACCCTCATCCCCATCGCCTTCGCATACTGCACCGCCAGATGTCCCAGCCCGCCCCCGGCGCCCGGCAGCACGATCCACTGCCCCGGCCTCACCGCGCTGCGCTTGCACGCCACATACGCCGTGACACCGCCGCACATGAGCGGGCCGGCTTCTTCGTCCTTGACCCCATCGGGCAGCCGTGTCGCATACCGGCCGTCGGTAAGCGCATACTCCTGGAACGTGCCCGCGATGCTGAACCCGCTGTTCAGCTGCTTGGGGCAATGGCACTCGTCCACGCCGTTGGTGCAGAACTCGCACTTCCGGCAGACGGAGGCGATCCACTTTATGCCCGCGCGGTCGCCCTCCTTCCACAGGTCCTTGACGTCGTCGGCCACGGCTACCACGATCCCGGCGCCTTCGTGGCCGGCGATGCCATGGGTCTGGGGCTGCATGGCGAGGCCCCCAGCGGCCCATTCGTCATGGAGGAGGGACTTGTCGGACGCGCAGAGGCCGGAGTAGTTTATTTTTACGAGGATTTGGCCGGGGCCTGGGGAAGGGACGTCGATGTCGCGGACCTCGGTCTTCGAGTCTGAGCCCTCGCCGACCTTTACGGCGGCTTTTTGGGTTTTGGGGAGGTCGGGCATGGTTGCGGTGGGTTAAGGCGAGTGAAGCTGGAGATGAGCGGGTGGAAGGGAAGAGGCCGGTAGAGGAGCGCAGGGGGCTTGGTTTGAAGGAGGATGCTTGAGGAAGGTGTTTGAGGAAGGTGTTTGAGGCTAGGTGGCTCAAAGCTTTATGTATCGTAGTCTACTTGAGTAACGCTGGGAGACGCACGTTCGAGAATACACGGACGGTAACGCAAACGGTAGTTATGATTTACGCCTACCACCTACACTGGGGTATATTACTCCTCTTGTACCGCCTTCGACCCTCGTTTACTGTAACACCGCGATCGGATGCTCGCACCCGGCCCACCGGACCGTGTCTCCCATGCCCCAAGCACGTTTCCTCAAGTGGCAGTCAAAGAGGGGAGCGCGGGGTTACCCCAGACGCACGATGCATGCAGGAGCGCCCCCCGCGATCCCAGGGTCTCGCGTCGGGTCGCCAGAGATGCGCGATCATCTAGATCCCTACCGCGCTTGGCAGATTTGCTTTTTCGGGGACGCCTGTTGCGAGGTGATGTCAGGTGCCAGAGATCAGGTGGATGTCATGTGCCAACGTGTGGCGTCGGGGTCACGGCAAGACTGGGAGCCGTGGGAGCTCCCTGCAACGTCATGGCGCTGGGCGCGTTTTGCTTGTTTGGTGGAGACCGGCTGGTTCGGAGGATGGTAACGCTGTTGGCATCGGGTTGCTCTGACCTTGTTCTCTATCTTGACTTCTTGGCGTCTGGACGGGGTGGGGGTCGTTACTAGTGATTGCTCCAGTAGAATAGCCTTTGGTATCTGACTCTCCCATGATGCGAGAGCGTAGTGGTAAGCGGATGATCAGCTATCGAGGTGCTACTCTAGGACGAACCGCCTCCCACAGGACGGGTGGTTTATCAGCGGCATCCTAGAAAGGATGTCGTGCCTTGCGGATCACGTGATGCTGCCGTATTGGGGAGTGCTGGAGAAGCGTTTCATGAGGTATGAGGCCAAGGAGCGAAGGGGACATGCAATCTGCAGTCTAGCAGCAAACATCTTTTGCAGTTTGTTGGACGAGATGTGTTATGAACAGCATGTCACGCCCTATCGTGTTTTTGACACGAGGAGTCAAGCCCATGCCCGATTCGAACACTCAAGGGCGCGGAATGTCAAAAAGCTCTGTCCAACAGCTAGCGAGCAGGCAGTCGTTGACTGTATCACTCTCAGGGTCACTGGCACACATTCGCTACTCTCATCTCTGTATTTCAAACTAAGGGTATGAACTCAGGATGCATCGTCCATTTGCACCCCATATGAAGTCGCATGCGCGACCCGAATCACGAACCCTAAACCTAAGCCAAAACCAAAAACCTCCATCGCGCTGCGCAAGCTCAGATGACATAATTCAACATGCGCCTCCAAGCCGGCATGGCAGCGACCTTCGCCCGCTCCTTGTTGATGATCTCCCAGTTAACCTCGCGGCGGCCGGTATCGACGTCGATCTGGTGAGTTCGGAGCCAGCCCGTGCGCTTCCAGAGGAAGCCGGCGAGCCAGAAGACCATCACGACCGGGAGAGCAAGATATGATTTGAAGAAGGCCTCGGCGCTGGGGTCGGCGCCTCCGAGAGGCCAGACAGCGGTGTAGAACTGCAAATCTCATTAGTCAAGGTCTAAGAGAAGGACATGCAGATGCGCGGTTCTCTTACCTGAGCGACGAGGACGACGACGACAAGGATGAGGCCGATCCATGAGCCCGTAACACCGAAGACAGCCCGGAAGGGGATCTCATCCAGAGTGTGACCATGGTAGGCCCAAGCCTTCCGGAAGCGGATGTGCGCAAGACAGATGGAGCCCCAGGTGAAGAGGGCAGCCAAACCGGACAAGGCGAGGAGCCAGTCAAAGACAACTGGGCCGCTAGCGCTCAAGTTGATGTAGGCCAGGAAAGAGAAGGCCAGAATGACAACGGTGGCCGGGAGGGGTCGACCAGCGCGGTCAACATAGGAGAAGAACTTAGGGGCGTAGCCCTGCTCAGCAAGCGCACACAGTGTTCGGGAGCCGCCATAGACACCAGAAAGACCAATAGAGATGACAGACACAAGGATGACGACGTTGATGAAGTCGTCGTATCCGTTGAGGCCGGCATCACTAGCGGCAATGACGAAGGGACTGGCGTTGACATCGAGGAGCGGGTTGGCGCCAAGCAATCTCTCGTCATCGTGGCGCACAAGGAGACCAACGAAGAGAAGACCCAAGATGTAGAAGCTGGATCGAGTCAGCATACTGTAGTAAGAAGAAGGGGAACGGCACTTACAGAGTGATTCGCCAGAAGACCTGCTTGACAGCGCCGGGAAGATGCTTCGCAGGGTTGTCGCTCTCAGCGGCAGCAAGACCGACAAGCTCGGTGCCGGAGAAAGCGAAAGCGGCAGTGACGAACACGGAGCAGACACCCTTGAAGCCGTTGGCAAAAGCACCCGGATCATACCAGAGCCGAGCTCCCCAGTATTCGGTGTAGATGCCGCTATCAGGGCCACCGCCAAGGACCAGGACGAGACCGATGAGCATGAAGGTGATAACGGCGGTAAGCTTGAGCAGACTGGCCCAGAATTCCTCTTCGCCGTATCCTAGGACACCGAAAATATTGACGAGGAGGATGACCAGGAAGAATATGGTGATCCATACGCCCACGTTGATGCCGACTTGCCAATACTCGACTGTGATACCAGCGACAGTGAGTTCTAGCGGTAAAACGATGGCCCACTGGAAGACGTAGTTCCAGCCCATAGCGAAGCCCCAGGATGGATCGATGAAGCGCGTGGAGTACGTGTAGAAGCCACCAGAGACGGGGTACATGACTGCGAGTTCACCAAGAGCGTAGACTGGCGGGATGTCAGCGGGCTACCCAAGCTCGAAAATCGTCTCGCATCAAATTCGAACTCACCGACGTTGAAGATCATGATACCGATGATGCCAAAATCGAGGATCAGGGCACCTGGGCCACCACGGCTGAGCGCACTACCAGAACCGACGAAGAGACCAGCACCGATGGATCCACCGATGGCAATCATGTGCAGATGGCGCTTCTTCAGCGTGTGATTCAGCTGGTTGTTCGCATCCAACGCATTGCGCCTCTGGAACGATTTCGGGCTGATGCCCAGCCTGATCCAGATACTCTCCTCCCTCTGCTCGTGCACGGTACGGCCATACGCAGGCAGATCATCGCTGCCAGCAGAGTAGCCCTCCTTGTAAGGGAGGTCCTTGTCGGCTACGTAGCCAGTGTTCGCCATGGTGGGCGATGGGCGATGGGTGATGGCGATGGAGGATGATTATGAATGGGAAGCGTGGCACGCGTCGGCGGAGGGAGATGACGACGGACACTGAAGTTTCTCGTCTGCGACGGAGCGCGGCGGGGTGTCTAATAAGTAGGAGATACGGGCTCGCGCAGACGGGGCTCAGGGTGCAACCCTACCTATTGATAAAAGAAAGCTAGGGCCGTGCTTAGCCTACCTACGCCATGGTAAGCAGGTACTGATACCGCGCTTGGGTGCCATTCACAGGCATTCACAAGCATTCACTCGTGCGATAGGAAGGCCAGTGACACAGCTGATTAGCGTCCGTCAAGTGAGCGAGCAGTCGACGGATTGTAGCGTCTTGGCAACAACCAATCAAGCCCGGCGATACGCAGCGCAAGCGACTTGGCTGGACGTCGCCGCCACCCCTCTCCTTGCACCTTCCAGAAAGCATTAGTGCGCCCAGCGCACGGGCCGTATGGAGATAAATCAGACAAACGCCTTTGCGCGCCTTTCCGCTCGCTTTGCTGTCGCGATGGGGCAGGTCGAAGTCAGCACACGCGGCAAGATGCCACCAGGAGCACCGAGCGCGCGACTTTCCCACTGACGGCCGATTTCACCTGGGACCGGGCAATTGGCTCTGACAGTTCGAGACCCTTTGAGCCATCTCCGCAATTCCCAGGGCCGTCAAATGAAACGCGACAGAGCGCAGTCGACAAAGTCCGTGCTACGAACGTCGCCCGCGAACGAGAGGACCTGCAGACGGGGTTCCAGTGCAAATCAGCAAAAGCACGACGATCTGCCCAGAAGCAATGCCCGAGGCGGATCGGAGGGCAGATGCTCTGCCAAGGCCGCCTGATCTCGGCTTGGCCGGTGGCTTTTGCAGCATGGCCGCAACAGTAAGACGACATTTGCGGGCGGCGCTGTGGCGGGAAGTGTACCCGAGGTTCCTGACAAACAGCTTAAGGCAAATGGCCCATTGCGGGCCCCCAGCGCTGCGGCACAAGGAAGGCTACCGTCGGTCAAACAAACTCATAGAGTAATAGTGGATGCTCAGTGCTTGCAATACGAGACCGGGACGGAGCGATCCCATTTCGTGGGGGAATGAGATGAAGTGGGGGAGTGGTGGGAATGCACAGCCGAAGGATCGCAGCCGCACGTGATGAATTTCCTGAAGGGGAAGCTATCTTAAGGTCAGGCACGTGACGATATGCTCCATGCACACAGCTCTCATGAGCTTACTGGGGTAATGAGATTCTATATCGATGGAATTACCAGAAACTTCAATATCTGCTCTCACACTTTTGACCCGTCATCCAACGCAAACATGTCATCCCCAGCGTTTTCTACCCAGCCCTTCAGCGCCACGCCCTTGGCATCATTGATCACCATCCGCCTATCCGTCTGCAATCCATCGTCCTTGACTTCTGCGTATCTCCTCTTCCTTGTTGCTCGCACCAGCGCTGGCATCGCCAACATCGCCGATATGTCCGCAACAGCCATCCACACACTGCGCCTGGATATCCGGCTGGCACCTTTGGGATCAAACTGCTTTCTCCCCTGTAGCACGCCTCCAATAAGAGTCTCCTGCCATTTCGGTGTATATACCGCGGATAGATTGCAAGCTACCATCTTCTGCGCCGCCGTCCCACTTCTCCTTGACCACTCGAACTCTTTGCTTGTCGTCTTCACTTCGAATGGCGTGTACTTATACCCACCCTTCCACCTCTCAGCAAGGCTGAGCGATAAGGCGTTCATGCGACCTTTGGGCCCGAATGCCCGCTCAGTAGCCGCTGAGACGTGTTGTGATGCCGGCAGAACCAAGGTGTGTAGATAGGCTGTTGTAGGCACAAGCAGCAGCGAAGTCAAGCACGAAAGCAAGCCCGTGCATTGCTTCAGGGCAAGCTTATCAGTGCAGGACTTACTGAGCGTGGGCGGCGCATCTGGCCGTGAGGGTTTACGGCGGACAATCCCTAGTTCCGAGAAGTAGCCTCGCCCACGTAGTTCGGGTGCCGCAGAAACGCGGGATTCGGGACAAGCAACGGAAGCAGGGGATAAGGGGACATCCCATGGTGTTGCATCGTCTTGCGCGTCCATAGTGAGCTCCATACTAGCATCGCCGCAGGGTGCTTCGGAGCAGTACATGTGTATCCCCACATCGTCCTTGATGGCGAACGGTTGGAAGAGAGTAGAACTCATTTCAGCCTCCTTTCGCCGCCGGATAAATGCTGTAGAAGTCGAGGCACTGGCCAAGAGGCCTGCACATTCTTGGACAAGGAAGCTGTTGAAAGCGCGAATGGCGAGGATCTCAGCGTGCCAGTCATGGAGAACGTTGCCGCTTGCTAGTGGGAGTTTGGACGATGGAAGGCATTTCATGCCAGTTCTTTACAATGGTCAATGCTTTGATCGCGTGGTGAGAGTAGAGGGACATACCCAAGGGAAGCGCAAGTTAAAGGCTTGCCGTCTTTCCTACGACAGTCAATCAGGTAAGGAATAGTGTGTGTAGACTCGGCGCAGTTTGTTACCTCTGGAAAGCACTATACCACTCAGTGGCACCCATTCTCGACTTCCATCATTCCGTTGCCGTGGCTTCCTCTTTGCGGGAAGGGAGTTGAATGTCGAGAGGACACACTGAGCAACGTCATCCGGTGAGACAGCCATAACAACTTTGGAGATCCCTTCGTCTCGTAGTGAATGGGGAATACGCATCCAAGATACGGAGTTGACGATAGAGACACTTTCTCGCTATAGAGGAAAGCTTGCAAGCTGGTCCCGTACTCATCGAAGAGCTGCTTCAGAAGATGAGCAGTATGGCATGATGATCAGGCGAGGAGGCAGTTAGGAATTACAATAAGGGTGTCGTGAAGGTGAGCTGTCCGATCACGTGCGCAATTCCTCTATCTAATGGGCACGTGATAGTATGGATAGGATACCCAACCGGAACTCTCGACCAAACCATTTCACGTCTACAGTCGAGATAGTGGTGCTGCAGCCCCCTTGCCTCGACAGGCTGTGACCGAGTACACATGCTATACTTAGCAGACTCTGCTCTGAAAGCCCGTTCTCCGCTACCTAGATCACTCACGGGATTACGATTCAAGAAACACCTCAGAGACTTCAGCTTATCTTAGGCAGCTTTTTTGATCCAGGCGTAGGAGCTTTCACTCAGCATCAGACAACTCTAATAGCTATAAAATCTCCAGACGCTAAAGTATCAATGGGTAAACGCGCTCTCGTGATTATTAGCTTTTCTTCTCCGGCCGCTATTCTCATAAATTCCTCCATCACCTCCCATCTTTCCAAGTGAACATGTGCAGCTCGTTTCTCAGCGTATTTTGCCGGAGAATACCAAATCCTTCACACTTCGCGTGAGCCCGGGTTTCACAAAACCCTCGCGGAAGCCATGGCGTCGTTCGATGGGGTAGACTCGGCTCACTGGGTCTGAGGAATGCAGCAACAAAGAACGTACTTCACCTTTACATACGTGCGATTCTGTTAGTATTGTTCCTTACGAACGGCGTAAGAAGCGCTCCTGCGGCAGCAGAATGGACGGAACAATCCCCCATTCTGCGACCTTTACCACAGCACCATGGACCGCCACCGTGACGCTGTAGCCACAGTCGCGCAGCAGGTGAAGTCGTACCACGAGCGCAAGGTTCCTTTTCGCATATACCATGGCTCGACGAACAGCACGCGGCTCATCAGCTTCGATCCGGATAAAATCGTTGATACCAGCCCGCTTTCGCATGCCATCTCCATTGACAAGGCGGCGAAGGTCGCCATCGTGGAGCCGAACGTCCCCATGGATAAGCTTGTAGAAGCTACCCTTGTGGAAGGCTTCGTGCCGCTTGTGGTGCCGGAGTTCCCTGGAATCACGGTCGGCGGAAGGTAAAGTATACTTTTGATCAGAGTATATTTAACGGACCCTCCGCTGAGGATAACTAGCTACTCGGGCACCGCAGCGGAAAGCTCGTCATTCAAGTACGGATACTTCGACCGATCTGTCAACTGGGTCGAAATCGTGCTCGCGAATGGCGACATCGTCAAAGCCTCCGCAGACGAAAACCCCGACCTCTTCTACGGCGCCGTAGGAGCATGCGGCACTATTGGAGTGACGACCCTCTTCGAGATTCAGCTCCAGCCCAGCGGCTCCTACGTAGAACTAGCCTACCACCCCATCTCCAGCGTCCGCGAAGCCCTTGACCTGCTCAGCCGCAGCGCCCGCGAGAACTGGGACTACATCGACGGCATCCTATTCTCGGTAACCTCGGGCGTTATAGTGTTAGGCCGCATCACCCACACGCGGACACCCAATTGCCCTATCATCCGCTTCACCCGCGCCCGCGACCCCTGGTTTTTCCTACACGCGCACGCCAAGGCCATGCACGCACGCCACACCTACTGCGACACCTGCATCCTCGCACAGCACAACCCGAGCACCCCCTCCACTGCGCCCGTTCCCCGCACCGAGCTCGTGCCCCTCGCCGACTACTTCTTCCGCTACGACCGCGGCACCTTCTGGATGGGCGCATACGGGTGGCCGGCCTGGCTCTTCAACCGCCTCGGCCGCTTCCTGCTGGATCCGTTACTGCGCACTCGTGTGAGGTACAAGGCGCTGCATCATAGCGGCCGCTCGCAGCGGTTCATCATTCAGGACCTCGCAATCCCGGGGGCTAGGGCGGAGGAGTTCTTGAGCTGGGTGGATAAGGAGTTGGCGGTTTGGCCGCTGTGGCTGTGTCCTGTGAGGGCGGATTCGCGGGCGCCGTTGCATGTGGCGAACAGGCTTGTCGCGCCTCTGGTGGAGGGAAGTGCTGTGGGTCAGGGGGAGGTTGAAGTCGAGGACGGAGGAGTGTCGGCAGACCTCCTCATGAACGTCGGCGTATGGGGCGTTTCGCAGGGCATGTGGGACCGGTACAACGCCGGCGACAAGGCGGGCGCGTACGACAGGTTCATCGCTGACAACCGCGCGCTGGAGGCTACGGTTAAGCGGCTGGGCGGGCTGAAGTGGCTGTATGCGCACAACTACTATACTGAGGCGGAGTTTTGGGAGATCTATGACAAGCAAGGGTATGACGGGCTGAGAGAGAAGTGGGGTGCGGATGGACTGCCGAGTCTGTGGGATAAGATGAAGAGGTCGAGTGAGGGCTACCAGAGCAGGAGTTTCTCGAAGGCCATCTTGGCGGCGTTGATGGGGAAGGAACATTTGTTGGCCAAAGGGAAGAAAGGGAAATGAATGTGACCCAATCTGGATGTTCCGTGCTTTCCTTCTCTGTCGAAGGATCGAGAGACCGCATCGATATGGGTGGAAACTGTGCTTCTAATAAGATACGGTGAAACATATAGCTCCATCGTGCTGATACTCCACCTAATCTTTTACATGTCGAGTTCATCCTGGCGATTTACTGGCCTCTTTTGTTGCTAACAAATTCCTGCACTGCCATGGTAGCCTGTATCACTTCTGCAAAGCGGCCCCATGTTTTCGCTCTCCGGTCTCTTGTCTAATCGAAGCCGTCCGCTGCAAGCACTAGAGAGTGAGGCTGGTTACCCGTGCTAGCGGCTTGTAGAGAGGGACTTGAACGTCGAGGGGACATTCCATTTAATTACCTTATTGTTACTTGGTCAGAGTGAGCCCATATCCTGATTGATTTGGCAGTGGAGTAGATTATAGCGCTTTGAATACAATCGAATGCTTAGTTTTGGCCGTGAAGCCGACTGCGGTGCTGGACCTCCGGACTTTGAAGCTCCAATCTCCGAGCACCGCTTGCAGACATCATCACCGTAAGCAGCATCCTTCCACTCCTTCCCGGACCTTCCGAACACGGGTCTCCAGTCGCACGAGTCCATAACACAACAACCACCATGCAAGCCTTCGGTGAGCTCGCCCACCAGCAATGTCGACGCTACGGCGCGCATTCGCATCCCAAGCCGAAGCGCTGACCGGTCTGGCAGTGCCCAAGACACGACGAGTAAGCCCCATCCCACCCCATAGCAACCGCTCCCAAACCCTCTCGTACCCTTATCCCAAGCCCCTCGAGCCCGGCGCTGACAGTCCTCTGTGCAGCCAAAATTCGACCTCCACCTCAAAATCCACGACCTCAACAACGTCCCCCTCGTCTCAGGAACCTCCTTCGTTAAATGGGACCTCCCGCACAGCACCGCAGCCGAGCACCGCGGCCGCACGACCAAAGCGCCCATAAAGGACCACAAAGTGTGCTACGACTACTCCATCACTTTGCCCGTACGTCTCACCGTCGACAAGAGCGGCACGCTGCAGGAGAGCTTCATCCACTTCGAGGTGCTGCAGGAGTACTCCTCCGGCGGGCGGGGCGAGCGGATCGTGCTGGGCAACATACGGCTGAATCTCGCAGAGTACGTTGGGGCGTCTGAGGGGCTGACAGATTCTGGACGTACCAAGAGCGGGGCGGGCCAGCGCGATGGCGAGGAAGAGGGGGTTTGTAGGCGGTATTTGATGAAAGACTCTAAAATCAACAGCACCTTGAAAGTATTTGGCTCCTCCCTTCCCCTATCCTCCAACCACATACCTTAGCAGAGAACAGGACCGCTAACCTCTACCCCCCAGATCTCAATCCTAATGAAGCAAACAGAAGGCCCCCGCGACTTCACCGCTCCCGCCCTGAAAACGGCCCCCGTCTTCGGCGGCATCGCCGGCATCATCTCCGCCGACGCGACCGAATCAGACCCCGCAGCCGACGGCAACGCGCCGTCTCTATCCTCTGCTTCTCGGCGCGAAGCAGGCGAGCTGCAGGACATGTACAGGCGGACGTTGGCCGCGTACTGGGCGGCGCAACCCGGGGAGTTGAAGGCTGATGAGTGCATCGAGGATATCTTTGCTGGCGGGGATGGGTGGGGGGATAGACATAAGCCGTATCCGTCTGCGATGCTGCAGGTGGAGAAGCCGATGGCGGGGAGGATGGCGGATGGGATGGGGGCAAGGGAGGACAGCAGTCGGTCTAGCGACTCGTCGCCTGGGCCTTTTCATAGGAGCGATAAGCATCATGTGAGGGTAGCGTCAGGCGAGAGCCTGTTCCACAGAACGACGGACCACAGACCCAGGAGTAATGGACAAGGCGCTGTGAAGAAGGGAGATGTGGGCCAGATAGGTTCTGGGGGAGGTGTCAAGGGGAGGGCTAGCCTTGAGCAGCAGGCTCGTCAACTCAAGGCCGGGGCAGAGGAACAGGGACAGAAGCACGTGAGGGAGGTTGACGAGCTCGAGATCAGGGATGATCTGAGGAGCTGGAGGTTACCGACATGATCGGTTCATTGGCAGAAAGGGTTGATGAGGGAAAGCATTGCTACATGGAACTGCTACATATTCGCATTCTTCCTTGCGCGCGTCCACATCAGTAAGAAGGAAGACTAAGGGAACTTATCAGATCCAGTTACTAGCTAGCATCCTGGTTAGCAAGGCACCGAAGCATTCCAAAGGCGCTGAGGCCTAGAGATGATTCATCAGCAAAGAACGTTCAGCGTCCCATTGGTCCAGAAATGCTAGGTTGTTAGTCGTGCCGTGGTCGCATTACAGGTTCCGGTGGTGGTGGTGGAGGTAGGTCGCTCGGGGGCTGCAACATGTTAGATTAGGTCCTGGCCCTACTGATACGCGTGCCAGGAGTGAACACTTACTGGAGGGGGTGCAGCATCACCCGGCGGGGGCGGCGGCGGAGGACTGCCAGCGTTGCCATAGGTCTGGAACAGAGCACCAAGGCCTGGTGGCGGAGCGGCAGGCATACCTGGCGGGGCGCCCATGCCAGGTGCTTGACCATAGCCTGCAGATTGATCGTAACCGGCGCCAGAGTATGCGCCGTAGCCGTAAGCCTGTCCGCCAGGAGGAGGGGGAGCGGCTGCAGCCTGTTGCCAGGGAGCGACACCTGATGGAGCAGGCGGAGCGCCGTAGCCGCTCTGTTGCTGTACGTATCCACCATAGCTGTCGCCACCATGTCCACCACCAGCCCAAGGAGGAGGCGCTGCGCCTGAACCGCCACGGTCGTCCCGATCACGTTGCTGCCATGGGGCTGCTGCGCCGGTCGGTCCACGCTCCCAAGGCTTCATGCCACGATCGCCGCCGCCACCGTATCCATCTGCGCCATTCTGGTCATAGCCTCCGGGTCCAGCTTCGATGCGCTGTTGAGTTGCGCCAGCAGCAATCGGCGCGCCGCCGGACAGTTCTTGCATGAGCGACTCGTACTCGCGATCGACTGCATCGCCCGGTCCAACTCGGCCGGGAGCAGGGCGGCCACCAAAGCCACCTCTGTCGTCGTTGCGCCAGCTTGCACCGCGTTGACGGTCAGGACAGTCGCGAGCCATGTGGCCAGCGTTACCGCACACACGACAGATGATGTTGGCGGTGAAATTGCGCTGTTGCGGGCAGTCGTATTTGCGGTGTCCGATCTCGCCACAGTTTTGGCAGGCCTGGTTTTCGTCGTCACGGAGCGTACCGTTGAGCGCGGCTAGCTCTCGGAGCTGGTTGCGTTTAAGCTCGTTTTGGCCCTCGGGGATTGAAGCAGCCTACTCATAGGTTAGTTTACGGCTTATGGAGAATTCAGGATTGTTACTCACGGTCTCAATAACGTTGTGAATAAGCTTCTTCGCTTTGTTGACCTTCTCCTCGGTATCTGCCATGATGAGACAGTGCAAGTCTTCTTCCTGGTTGCTGGTGTGAGCGGCGTCAGATCGTCCTTTTCCTTCTTTCACCGATCCTTTGCCACGAATAGCGATCTTGGCGCCAGACTCGGTTTCCATTTTCTTAAGCGTGTTACCACGAGGTCCAATGAGTAGACCAACTGTTAGTAGAAGAAAAAGCTAAGTGTTAGTCTCTGTATCAAGCTTGTACGTGTAATGTGAGTGAGCAAACGGGTTAGTGATCGAGCCATACTGCACCCCTGTGGGGATGCCGCACGTATCATCAGAAAGGACATGAAAGGGCAAGAATTAGAAGTTAGAAATCGGGGGTTAGCAAGCATACTGAAGTTAATCTCCGGATAATCGTTAACCGGCACGTAGACTTTCTCTTGGGTCTTTGTCGGACGTCTGTAGTCAGACGGTGGGTGATAGTTAGGAATGACCTTCATGGCCTTCTCAATAAGCTTATGGCGCTCTTCTTCCAAGCGCTTGCGGTAGCGGTATTCACGAGTATTGACACGGCGACCGAAATTATCGTACTGGGGCGGCGGCGAGGGAGACCTGTGCGTCGTTAGAGAGGTTGTTCGCGCAGAGGCGATGGGAAGATGGCTCACCTGTCGCCATCGGCTGGGACAACGTCGTTGATCCTCAGCTTTTGGCTGATCTCCTCGATGCGCAGATGCAGAGTGTAGGCTTCGAGCTGCTCGCTGGTCATGTTTGCCCTGATGGCGGTCGTGAGACCCATGAGACCCGCAGCCTTGTTCTCCGAAGCATCTCCCCATCGGTTCCGCTTCTTTCGCTTTTTGGTGCCGTCTGGATTCAACTCCATGACAGGACTGCGACCGCGCTTGGCGCTGAGCTCAGAGAGGCCCGTCGCTGGCTCAGAAGGATTGTAGCCTCCATCATCGGAAGGCGTGACGCTATCGCCGCCGAACCTTCGTCGGTTTCCGAGCGGGATGTTGTTCGAGCCTGTGATGCCTTGGTTCCGCCAGGCCATGTTTGCGCTGATGTTGCTGGTTGTGCTGGTGAGCGAGTGTTTGAAGAAAGTCAAGGGAAGGAAAGAAGGGGACGCGTCTTGAGGAGGGCCCGAAGCGAAGGTGCACGTGACTCGGCCAGGCCCTTCGACACTCCTTCAACCGCAGTTCTGATGCGATGAACTGATCACGGCTCCTCTTGCAGGATTGGATGTTTTATGGAAGAGGCGGCATCCACAGCTTTTCTGTGACCAGCAGCGACCACCCGGCTTCACATCTGGCGCTTATGGTTCTGCCCAGGTGGATGGAGTGTTGATTTCCGTCAAGGGCTCACAGCTCCGCTCCCCATCGTGAAGCGTGGGGCACTGAATGGATCGCTTTCAACGCTCTGTCGACGTCGCTCACAGCAGAATATATCGTTAGTAGGTAGATGCCCTACCTGAGCATTTCTTGCCTAGGCTCCTCGGCTGTACCGGAAAGGTAGGTAGCTACGTCTTAAGTGATTGATAATCCCCGTCTTTGGTACCCCTCCTCCGCAGTTCCAGCGTCAATAACTAGTCCGTCACACGTCTGTTGCTGCATAATTACTCGTGCACAGAAGAGTGTATCCCTTCTATACCAAGTTCCAGAAAACCAACATCTTGGTCTTTTCAAACATCGGTTTCCCTACCGACAGTCCTTGCAATGTCTACCTCGGACGAGCCCACCATCACCCTCTACACCACCCAGACGCCCAATGGCATCAAAATCTCCATAACCCTCGAAGAGCTCGGGTAGGTAACCACGACACACCAGCCTTCCTCTAACCCCTCTCACACCAGCTAACACCCCCCAGCCTCCCCTACAAAGTCCACAAAATCGACCTCAAAACCGACGTCCAAAAGGAGCCCTGGTTCCTCGCCCTGAACCCCAACGGGCGTATCCCGACCCTCTCCGATACCTTCACCGATGGGTCTCCCATCGCGCTCTTCGAATCCGGCGCCATCATGCAATACCTCGTCGCTCGCTACGACAGCGACCACAAAATCTCCTACCCCGCACACACACGCGAATTCCACGAGACGAACTGCTGGCTCTTTTTCCAGAACGCCGGCGTCGGACCCATGCAGGGCCAGGCAAACCACTTCCTGCGCTACGCGCCCGAGAAGATCGAGTACGGCGTCCAGCGCTACACCAACGAGACGCGGCGGCTATACGGGGTGCTGGACTCACATCTCGAGAAGACAAACCGGCCCTACCTCGTCGGAGAAAAATGCACCATCGCCGACATCGCGTGTTGGGGGTGGGTGGCCGCAGCCGGGTGGGCCGGGGTAGAGATCGAGGAGTTCCCGACGCTGAAGGCGTGGGAGGAGCGCATGGCGCAGAGGCCGGGAGTCGAGAAGGGGAGACATGTGCCGGAGAGACATGGGATCAAGGATTTGTTGAAGGATAAGGCGAAGATGGAGCGGATTGCGAATGAGAGTAGGGAGTGGGTGCAGAAGGGGATGAAGGAGGATGCGGAGAGGATGGAGAGGGAGAAGCAGAGGGAGAGGGAGAAGTGAGTCTTTGCTGTCTCCAATGGTGCGGTGTAGATCTTGTAGTGACTGCGGCTTGCCGGTAGATTATAGATAAAAATCACCTTAGTGGTCAGACTAGCCCACACCGAAGCTGAGCTTTCGAGCGGTCGAGCGATCTCAAGTTCGTCTGTGCATTTCCGCAAGGTCGTAAACGCACCGTCTTTGCAGGCTTCGGATGGAAACACTGCAACAGCCGATGAAACTTCAAGCAACCCTCTGGCGATATCACTCCCGATTAACATGTGTAGATTCTTCCACGGGTAATAGGCAACAGTAACTGATCATGTCCAAGTACTTTGCATATTCCTACTGGGGTATCTTCTCCACCGCCCACATCACTCTCTAGCAGACTGCTGGCCCTGCACCGGTGTGGCTCCTACATGCAGTTAGCTGAGCCCCGTATAGAACTAACTCGCAACCGAGCAAAGTCGATTAGGGGAAAAGTCCGCGTACCCAACACCCATCCAAGCCCCGAAGCCAGACCTCCAGTCACAGCATTAGCAACCAAATCTCTCTTCCTAACCCTCTGCCCCTCCCCATCACTCCCAGCACCAATACTCTCCGTGTCGCTCGTAGGCGACGACACATTCCTGGAATGGCCCTGCTGCCCACCAGCCTCTCTCGCAGCGCCCCGCAGCGGAAAGGCACTCCGCCCAAACGCCGCCGCAGCACCCCTCGCAACATCGAACAGGGCCATCGGCGCCTCCTCGACCGCTCCTCGCCCCATCTCCCGCCGCGGCTGGATCACAGGGATGTAGGTGTCGCCGAAGCCGCCGGGGATCCTGCGATCCGCGCGGTCGTTGTGGCGCTGCTCCTCTTCGGCTTCCTGCGCTAGAAGCGTGGTCATCTCCTCTTCGCACCGGCGCCAGACGGCCAGTACTTCTGGCAGTGCGGATGGGGGTGCTAGGAGTAGAGCCTGTGATAGTAACTCCATCCGCTGTTCGAGACGACGTAGGTCTGGTCGCCCTGTGGATGTGATAGAGGTGTGGGATGAGGAGAGGGAGGCGTTGGGGCTGCGGTACCGCCCGGCTTGCAGCGCGGCGCGCCAGGAGATGTCGTCCTCTTCTTCTCGCCGACGGTACGATGAGAAACCTGAGCGTAGTGAGGGCTTTCGGCTCGAAGGCCTTGAGCCAGGTGTCTGGGGTGCTGGAGCTGAGGGTGAAGGTGGGTTAAGGCGGTTCACGACGTATGAATACGCTGTCTCGAAATCATCTTCAGCGAGTGCCGCTTCGATGGCCATGCCGGTTATCCGCCGCTCTGCGGCTCGCTTCTGTTGCTCCATTTCCTCTTGAGAGGGTTCGATGATTGGGCAATCCTGTTTCATCTCGGTGATGCCGGATGCGACTAGGTTTTGGCCAATGCTGATGAGGTCGTCGAGTTTGGTGTAGCTTCGTGGGTTCTGCTCCAGAACTCTCTTGAGGAGTGACACTGGATCGTTGCGTACTCGGATATCGACAGGCTGGAAGGGAACCCCGTGTTGAAGGGTTAGCGAATAGAATGACAGACCGTGCGTAGCTGCTAGAAGCGCCTCACAGCGACGAAACGCAGCAGACCCCGGAAAATAAGGTTGGAAGGCAGCCAAGATGTCCGAGGCCTTTCTCATGCCTCCTCTTGTTCTGTTGCCGTTGCTGGCATTATCGTAGAAGTGCATGACTGAAGCTAGTATCACCTCCTCCGTCTCGGCTGGTGGCAGCCGGTTATGATGATCCTCTGATACTCCGTCGTAAATCTCGACGACGAGCGAGTATCGGCCTGCGTATAGCAGCGTTTTCAGAATCTCTTTCTCCAGTACAAATCTGTCGACTTTCCCGAAGATCCCGGCGCCGTATTGGGCTGGCTCGTCTTCGGCGGCCATGCCCCAGCTCCATAGCCAGAACAGCTTGTTCCTGATTGACTTCCACTGCTCGTCATCGGTGATGGACTTGTTTGACAGTGAGTGCAGAATTTTCTGCATCATGCTAAATTGTTCGTCCTCGTCGTGCTGAAAGCGAATCTTGGCAGTCTTTACGACTGAGACATGATGGCCGAGGCCAGAGAGCTGGTAAGAAGAATAGACGAACATCTGCAGAAGCGAGAAAGTTTCAAGTTTCGGTGTCGTTAAGGGATGGTTAGGCTGCAATAGCATATCCGGCTGTAGAACAGCTGCGGAGGTGTCGAACAGCCCTGATGCATGAGTATCCAACCTTGGAAGTAATTCCACGCTCGTTGCAAGGTCCGGGGGAGGTTCGAAGTCCATCAAATCTGCCAATCGCACGAGGATCGCGTGAGCGTTCTCAAGATTTTTTGGCTCATCCGTCTCGGCGGCATAGACTGAGGCGTAAGCTGCCTGCGCGTATCGCGCGCGGAGCTTCCGCCGCTCTTCCTCGTCCAGATATTGGTCCTCATCTGCGTAGCCTCCTAGATCAACATCGCCGGGTCCACCCCAATCTTCAATAGCTTCAGCGACAATGTCAAAGCGCTGCCTTGCCTCGTGTGCAAGCCAGGTGAAGACGTGTTCCCACTCGTGGTCAAGTTCCAGCTCCTGGTCGTTTCGGCCCACGCTCATGCGGCGGGCCTCTTGTGAAGCTGCGCCGTATCGTGCTGGACCAGAATTTAGTTTCCGCCGCTTCCTTTCGTTGTGCCCGTACATCCAGGGCCCTACCAGCCCACGTAGGTCTCTCCCCATGTTGCCCGTCTCTGAGGAAGCGTCATGCTTCTCCTGGCTTCTCGACAGAAGCACTTCAACTGATTTAGCCGCCTTCCAGTTGATGAATGCTTCTAGAGAGGGTGTGGAGTCATTGTCCGGATAGTACTCGTAGCCCAGTCGTAACAAAGGAAGTACCCTAGCGATATACCATGTTCGCAAGAAGTTTGAGTGGTCGAGAAAGGAGACAGCGAGTTTCGAGACTAGATTCAACAAGCCAGTCTGCGCATCTATACGGTACGCCCGGTGAATCAGGAAAGCCGTCAAAATGTCTCTCGAGATATCTGGGGGCAAAGACGAGTGTGCAAGAGGCAGCAAGTGTAGCCGCTGAACTCTCTTCCTTGCTTGCCCATCGGATATATCGTCCACAGGGGTAGTGTCCACAGCCGACGTCTCTCGCTGCTCAAGGTACAACCGCGTTGCGACCTCACGAACGTAGGAAGTGTAGGTAGATGGTTCGACGGTTTCGGGGAGGTAGGTAAGAAGGATTCGCAGTATCAGCTCGGGAGGGAGAGCATCTAATCGCGCAGGAGTGAGGGTGTATAGAGCATCGATGTTCGACTCGGAGGCATAGTGGACAGCGAGTAGGGTACATTTATCGGCGGAGAGTTGTGCGACATTGTTCATGGCGGAAACGGGTAGGTGCTAGGCTCGTTGTTACAGTGTTTCATGTAGGACTCGAGTATCCTCTGCGGATTCGAGTATTCGAAAACCTCAGGCAGATGAATTTCCTGACCATAACATCATTTGCGCCAGAGTTGGCATTGGACGTGGAAATGTTGAACGTCTCGCTTGCACTTGCCATTCTGGGACCTGATGCCAACCGCAACCATCCATCTATCTATTCTGCTATGCGCGAATGTGTTTCATGATCAGACGTTTAAGAAGTCAATCGCACTGAGTGGAACAGGGCACGTTATCGTTTTTAAGCTACAGCCCTATTCTACTGTCCAACACTCGATTAGATGTGTGGATTTCAAGCCCTTCCCGATGGTCTTGCTGCCAAACATATGCTGTAGATACCCAACCAAGAACCATTCATCATGCAGTAAGCATATCCTCATCCATCTCCCACCCTTCCCAAGTAGGTGCATCATAGCCATTCGGTCTCGAGTTCCTCAAGAACCCATTCCAGGTACCCCCAATATCAACTACTGGCCGCACGAACTTGATGGGCGCCTTGAAGGCTCTGCTAAAGCCTTCATGTAGATGGCGGTCCTCGAAAAGTTCTGGATGAGTCCGGCGCATGGACTTGAGAGCGCGCTTTCCAACCTCATCCACCGAGTCGGAATGGCGAAGCTCGAAGAACTCAGGATCATGCATCTGTCGGAGTTCGCGTAGCTCATCTTCCGGATAGATGCCAAGCTGTAGGAGATAGATGTCGTATTGGCAAAGCGAGGTTGTGCCGTGATAGGAGCCCCCGTACTTTGCGCGCTTGTAAAGCCCGGTGAGAGCTGCGATAGTCCCCATACACCCGGTCCCATAATCGCTCATTGGAAAGGGAGGTACCACCGGTTCGTTTAGGCCCATGAATTCGCCCTGAAGCCAGGCGAGCCCAGTCACACAGTCCGCAATTTGCTGCCAGCCAGGCCTCCCCGCCCACTCTCCCACGTGGCCAAAGCAGTCTTCCGCAACATAGACGATACCCCGATTGCGGTGCTTTGTAAGTTCAACAATTTGCCGCGGTGAGTATCCAAGACGCTTGAGAGACCCCGGCCGGTACCCGTCGAGCACGACGTCCGCTGACTGTAGCAACTCTTCAAAGACCTTTCGGTCCTCTGGCTTGCGGAGATCGAGGTCTGTGGTGTGCTTGCCGAGGTTGCCATCGACCTGGAAGAAGGGCACGTCGCTCAGGTGCGGCGAAGTGACTTTGATCACATCCGCTCCGTACTCGGCAAGGCCTCTTCCCATCGCGGGCCCGGCGATGACTCTGCATAATTCCAAGACTCTGATACCCGCTAATACTTGTCGTTTGGGCGCGGCGGTTAAGGAACCGGGAAACGGTGCAGGTGGTGATGATGATTCTAACGTAGCTACCCTCCATGGGGGCTCTTGCAAGAGAGTACGGCCCTGTCATATTTGTCAGTCGAGAAATCACATGCAACCATGACAGCAAGCTAATGCTCACGTGTGGAGTATTCTTGAAGTCTTCCCACTTCAAAGCGGTGACACCGGCTTGCCTGTGCTTAGCATTCATAGCCTCTAGCTCTTCCGCTGTATACTGTTTCACATGACTCTCAATCAGGTCAACGCACTCCCGATAGTCCGTCATGTCAGGTCGGTGACCCTCTAGGCCAATCATGTTGAGTGCGGTGGTAGCTTCGAGCGAGCCATGGAGATGGAAGTATTCGCCCGGATTCTTAGTCTCGTACAAGTTGGCTGACAGTCGGCGGTAAAGTATCGATTGGGCCTGAAGGAGATCGGTATCTGATTTCAAGTTAGCCGCGGATACCTAACAACTGCCACGTTAACACACCTTTCAGAATTGTTGTGACACGCTTGTTCCCCTTGTTCATCCCTGCAATGGTAGATAGATACGCCGAGAACACAAACGCCGAAGCCCGCTCCAGGTTCACACAAAGGCGTCTGTCCCGCTCGCCCTCTATCAGATTGGCAATGGATGCTGCTATGCCCGCCTCCACCGCTTTCAGGGCAGCCACTGCCTCGGTCTCTTTAAACGGACATGGAAAGTACGGGCTGCCTGTGTTTGCGGTATCGAACGTAACACTGGTGATCAATCGTCGACACTCCTGTGGTATCTGGTCCTTGGCCAGTTGGATCAGGGTCTCGAGGGTGTTTTCGGTCTCCTCCAGCATAGAGTACCGCCCATGTTTTACGCCGTTCTGCTCGGTACCGTTTGGTATAGTCCCGTCCATACTAGTTCCTGTTAACAACGATTGTATCTAGGAATGTCGAGTTTGAAGACTGAGTGGTTGCTGGCCTCCTGCTTGAGCGGAATGGAATTGGACGACGGCTCAGGGCGGGTAGTCAACTGCAGCACGCCGGGCCCGCTGCTGAGTCTTATGGAGCTCCATATCCAACAAGCGAATATGTAGGCTGTGGCGGATGATGTCCCACGGAAGATCTTACGATCCTATGGCCACGCGCAGACACGGCGGCACCCCGGGTAAGGCTGATGTGAGAACAATGGGATTGATGAGCGGCTGTTGGAGTGCGGCTTCCGAATTGCGTCTTTCCGCCTCCGCCCGAGCCAAGCGGTTGGTGCATTCGACCAAACAGAGAGCTCGCCCGCGCTTCGCCTGCACCTCTCTTGAGCCTCATCCACATCGAATCCTGGGAGGGGACTTGACTGCGCCTTCGGCCTCACTTGACTGTGCGGCGAAAGCGTGACACAGGCGTGAACTCCCACATCCTCGGCATCAGAATCCTTCTCCTGGTGTTGTGCGGATGAGATCATGGCCTTGGCCCGCTTCCGATGCTCTGCATCAGCGCCCTCTCGCATCCACACAGCTATCCGACAACTAGTCGCCTCTCCACCCCTAGCAACGGCAGCACGGGCAGCCATAGCACCTCATCCAGTCTTGAGCAGAGCATGCTAAGTTTACCCGGAGATGACTCGACCCAAGATTCCCCCCGACCAGCGACAGAGGACCGCCCAAGCATGTGAGTCCTGTAAGCGTCGGAAGCAAAAGGTACGTCGTGCTGTTTCGTATCGTCAATTGCACGGGGTATCCTTCTCCCAGCGCGTCTTCCTCTTCGGACTCGTTGCCGAACGCTTGCGGGGGCTTCCGACACGTTCAAGGCCAAGTCGTGTGTACGGCACCGGCCGACCATGCGCTCTCGAGAGCTGCCGTGGTAGTATCTTGTCCTTCAATCTGTATGGAGCGTGTTGTACGGAAGTGTCATGACGAGACCCGGCACCCACGATAGTATCTGAAGCCTCGGCTCAAAAGGGAGATCACTAACAGCCTTCCGCCAGTGCAATGGCCTCTGCCCTTGCAATACTTGCGAGAAGGTAAGGCCGCCCATGTGCGCAAGTACAGAGTGTATCCAGCGATTGACAGGATGCTGCTACCAGCGCCACTTCACGTGCATATACAATGACCGCGACGCGACGTCTCCTCCAACTGGTCCGCCCCTGAAGAAAAGGGAGATTGACGACGGCACCCACGCACACAGTCCGGGAAGCCAAGACCAGAGCGATGGCTCAACCTCTGCCACACCAACTCATGGACAAGCTGCAATATCGCCAGCCCTGGGCCAGGGGACTGTCTCTTCCTTTCCTCGTGCGCGGATGAGCTTCACTGGTTCGGAGGGAGCTGGCTATGCTGCTAGGAATGGCTTGAAGCGCGAGAAGCTTCCAAAGTCAGCCGTCGAGCCCAACGATGCTATCGAGGCAGCTGCAAGATCTTTGCAGCAATTCGCTGCGGGCACGGAAGAGCGTTCCAATGTTGCCCCTATTCCGCAAACGAACCCCAGCAGCGGCCCAGAAGAGGAGGCAGAGGTGTACTCTCAGACCCGCATGTTACAAGACCCAACGGGCCGACTATGTAAGTTCCCATCCCAAGATACTGTTTAGGCGGAACTTGTTTGTTGCAGCGCTCCCAGTCATGTCGTGGGATGTCACGCTATCTCAATGCAAGCGCTCATGCAGAAGATCCCTAGCGGTGGAATAGGAGGATTGATCTGACATATAGCTTGCTGACTACAAGCAGTGTACGTGGGTGACTCTGCATCGCTTTCTTTCCTGCAACTGCTTCGGATGATGGTCGAGAGCGTTTCTGGTCCGTCGAACTTCACAAACGACCCGATGAGACACAAGATTGCCGAAAGCCAACTGTCAGTACCGCACGATGCTCGTCGCACGCATCTCCTTCCCGATAAGGCAACAGCATATATACTAGCTGACGCCTTCTTCATCAACGTAAGCTACCCATCACTGATTGAAACCCGCTACCGTTGGTCACTCTTACTCATCCTGATTAGACACACGGACTCGTCCAAATATTTGAGCGGCAAGCCTTCTTGTTAGCCCTGGAGACCTGCTATCTTGACCCATTATCAACGGATCCATCCTGGCTATGCTTGCTGAACTTAGTATTTGCAATTGGACTTATGCTCGCCACGCCCAGACTTGGGACGAACGAGTCCGCGGTAATCACCAAGCTTCGCAATGAACCTACGGACAGGGCGGAGATATTTTACTTGAACGCCAAAAGTTTGAATGATCCAATGACAGGCTTTGAGGATGCGGACTTCTGGTCCGTCCAGGCTTTACTTCTAATGGCCATCTTCATGCTTGCAAAGTCGAAAAGGAACACAGCCTTCGCCTTACTCGGTAAGCAAGCCGCATCCTCCTTGTTTTACCCATGGGCGAAACCCCGAGAACTCAAGCTGTGGCTAGGCTAACAGCGCTGCTCAGGTATGGCCGTGCGTTCGGCGTACGCACTTGGTCTCCATCGTGAGGAGACGTTAGTGATTTTCCGCCCAGAGGAGCAAACTGCTCGTCGCAATCTTTGGCGATCTCTATTCGTGATCGACCGCTTTCTATCTTGCTCGCTAGGTAGACCGACAGCAATATCAGAAGAGGATTGCAGCGGTGATGCTCTGCGGCCGCCTGAGCCGAGAGACGATAGCGACACATATGGTTTCAATGCTGCTCTCCCAGCTAACGCAAGCTTTAGCCAGACAGGCGGATATGCCTTGGAAGCTGCTGTTCGCAGCTGCTCGGTCATTGGAGTAATCCTCAAGAGAGTATACCAGCAGCGAAAGATAAGCACGAGGCTAGCGCAAGAGATTGCCGACGTTTGCAAGCTCTGGCCGAAGGCTCTCGCACCGACGCTTCACTGGCGTCAAGCCACCAACGCAAGCCCCAGCCAAGGTATAGCGATATTGCACGTCAATCTGTTCTACTGTCACTCTATTGTACTCCTAACCAGGCCTTTCTTCCTTTTTGTGCTGAACTCCGAGATCCAGAAGGACGCTACCTTGAGCTCCACAGGGATCCGTCCAGGTCGTAACTTTGCTCGTATGGAGAAGTTCAGCGAAGCCTGCGTCATAGCCTCTACTCATACTATTGTGCTCGTTCAAAACGCGTTTGAAGCTGGATACCTCCCGAGACGAAATCCCGGCGTCATTTACTTCCTCTTCGCTGGAGCCCTCGTCCTCTTGGCGAACGAATTTGCAGCGCTGTATGTCAACATTGCTGCTGACCAATGTATTCGGAACGCCATTGCGGTAACGGCTTACTGTGCAGAGCTGGATCCGACAGCAAAGCGTCTTTTGCATATCTTGACTGCGTTTCGAGACGTTGTGCAACATCAGCGGGAGCGGAGGAGTGAACAACAGCAGTTGCAGGCGGGGGCTGTCTCTTCGATTGGGCACCCGCATCGGCCAGTGTTCTACAGTATGCCGCAACAGTACGATGCCATTCCTACAGCTACAAAATTTCCTCAAGAGCAACAACGCCACCAGCCGGCCGCTGCCGCGATGACCGAAACGGCACCGCGGCAATCCTCATCCCTCTACCTGAACCACAGCCAACGGCTGGCGGTCAAATCCATACCCCCAGTAGGGCAACAACACATGCATCATCAGCAAAGAAGCTTTGAAGTCCCAACGACATCAGACGCCTTTGCGACGAGTACCACCGCTGTACCTCTAACGTCCGCCCTCCACGATCCTACTCTTCTTTCACCCAGCGCAACCGTCACGACACCCCTTCCCCAAGCGAACCTGTCTCCCGGCTTCGTACAGGACACCGGCCGACCCATTCTAGACCGGCCCTCCTCACTGTCGAATCTGCTGGATCTGTCCGCATTGGACTCAGCCTTTACTCGAGTTCCCTCGCTGCATAGCGAGGACTCGTCTGGACAGGACGAGCACTTCGACTTCGATGCGCTCTGGGCGTGGCCGTCTAATACGCCCGCTGTGGGCAGCCCTAGATTTGCGGGGGTTAATGGTGATGTGCAGGGAATTAGCGATAGCACGGTACCCCTTTTTGGGGTTGTGGATCGATAGTTACAAGGGCGATCGAGACTAGCCGTTAAACTGGGAACCAAGGAAAGTGCCCAGTCAGGCGGGAGTAGTCGAAGAGCGGCTCAGGAGTAGCCGAGCTCTGTAAGAGAGGTACAGCAGTTGGGGATACGCTCAAAACTGGCTCAGAAGGGAACTGCGTGGTCCGTTCCAGTCAGCCCGAGGCGCCAGCCGGCGGCAAGAAGAACCAGCAGAAGCTCTATCGGAGATGCAGTTGGGCCTGTCAACCTTCCGTACGCCTCGGCCGTACCCCTTGCAAAATCTCATTCTGCAATACGAGGATATTGCTACAGGCCTCATCTCAGAAAGGAGTTAACATGGAGCCATCGTCTACCGTGCCGCTGTAGCAAGTCTAAAGTGAGCAACACCGTGCAACCACGACGATTCAGGAGTCCGACTCCACAGTGAACTAGCTAGTGGTTCGGAGCCTCCAGCTAACCGAAAGAACCAGGCGTTTGAGAGAAGGCGCATTTAGGCGTACCTCGCGGGCCGAGGAAAGACGAGCGAGGCGGTGCTAGCTTTGCGAAGAACACGAACGCTACTGTCTGCATCACCATGTGCATGCGCCTGCGCCTTTGCTTCGAGCGGAAGTTCTACCTGGTCGTCCGGTCATCTGGGTAGAATATGTACATACATTAAATTCGGCAACTGTACAATAGAAATCCGTTAGTGGCGGCTGTATGATGATAAGGGCAGCTAGGTCGCTTATGAGCTGAGAACAACAGTCAAATTGCTTTGACGCATCCGCAACGGTCCAATAGAGAACACGAAGACGTGCTGATAACGAAACCCACGTTTGATTGAAAGTTAGCATCGGTACATCGCCATCCCTAGGGTGTGATACCATTCAGATGGGTGGTTGTTTAATCCATTGCTTAAGCGATAGGCAGGAGGTAACTAGGACGGAAAGAGGTAGTAGTCCGCGAGAACCAGGTAAACCACTAGGGAGCATCTCTAGCATCTCCAAGTTCCAATGTGGTGTCACTTAACATATCTCGATGCGGGAAAGCCACTGGCCACACGTCGAGCTTACACAACCAAAGTTCGTACACGGTCGCAACGGACCTATCCAAACCTTCAGCAACCAACTCGATATATCACTCCATCCCCCACCACGAGCTCAAGCCCCATCCAACGACCTCTCTGCCGTTCTCAGTCTTTCCACAGCCAGCCAGATCACATAGTACAGCGGCGAGCCTTCTGGCACGTCATCCGGTATCTCCAGCTCCCTCCTAAAGCGCCGACTGCTCTCTCCAGCCAATCGGAGGTGATTGTACGTGTGCGGCAGCTGGAATTCCTCCTCGAGATCAGCTATGTAGTTTATAGAGCTCTGGTCTTCCTGGAGTCCACGATGGAGCCCGCGATCTGGCGCATCGTTGACTATCAATCATGCTGTCAGCAAGGGCATTTGACTAGTACGCTTCATGGCGCTGGTCCATCGACCAGACTCGTGCGATGCAGGAGACGCAAAACTCACCGTAGAGCATCACGCCATTTCCAGCATCGATTCCAGGGTTATGCTGTTTGGTAACTTTCATCGCCGCCCTCTCGTCGTCGACCTCTTGGAGGGACCAGTCTTTCCAGCTTAGCACGACGTATCTCCATCGCCCGTCCGTTCCACATACCGCCTTGCTCTTCTCCCTCACTTCCGACTCCCTCGCTTCTTCTTCCCTCCTTTCCTTCCCCCGACCTTTCTCCACCTCTTCAACCGCATCCTCGTCATCCTCGCTATCCGGAATCACAAACCTCCTCCTCTTCACCCGTCTCTCGCCCTCCGCATCGCCTCTCCCACTCTTCAGTCCCGCTTCCTCCGCCTCCAGCATCCGACTGCCCGCAGCACTCAGAGAACGGAGAACCGCCGCACAGGCATCGACGTCAGCTGAGACTTCTCCATGAGCAGGATACCTACCACTTTCTCCAAAGCTACCGGAGTGCGCAGCACTCCCCTTCCCCATCGTGATCGGCAGCGCAGTCGCACCCGCCGCCGCGCCGCGCTCTCTCGGCCTCTCCTTCGCATCCATGGACCTCGTTCTTGTCCTCGACGCGCGACGGCTGCCCGGTCTCGCTGCCTCCGAGGCGCTGAACCACCGCGCGTGCTCCGCCTCACCGTGAGCGCGCTGGGGGACGCTGGTGTAGATCGCCTGGGGACAGTGCTCCGGGACCGCGTGCATGAGTTTGAGGCGGAGGGTGGCTGGATCTGGCGCTTCGTCGGCACTGGCGGGTCGGGGGGTTTTGGCGGGTTTGGCGTGGGTGGGCGGAGGGTGCGGCATGAGGCGGCAGGGTTGAGGTCGGAAGGGAAGGCGGGATTGTTAGGGATGGGCGGTTGGGTGCGTGGAAGGAGGGACAGAGAGGCTGTAGCGCGGTTTGGTGGTGAAGTGAAAGTAAGATGTTGAAGATGTCTTTGTTGCCCTGTGAGTTGTTCGACGTACGGCGTGATACCTGTGAATGGTAAGGCGAAGAGAGTGTTGGATTTGAGAAACAAGCGCGCTGGAGATTGTTGATTGTTGACCATGATGTCACGTAAGATGAGGTGATGTTGCATTTGCAGCGACGCGCTTTATCCGCGCGCGTTTGATGACGGGTGAACGGGTTCCTGCGGCGACAGGTGCTTCGCTTGGAGAGCGGGAAATTGCGCGGTGATATTTCAGGGTCAAAATGATTGAAAGCAAGACAGACACTAAAGGCTCTTCTTTGATCTACCTTACCCACGTAAGCTGAGCTCCTACATACATGGTCCTTAGACAATGGCACGCTAAGCCCAGCGCCACATGAAAAGCACGGAGATGAGGTTTTTGGTGGAGAGAGAGACGGATCGAGTCGGGTTGAGCAGTAAGGTAGATGACTAATTAGATGGGGAGGATGAAGAGCCAAAGGAGTGCGCAAAGAGCTCAAAAACAACAGTCGTCAGATCTCGTGAACCCATCCGCTGTCGAGGGTAGCAAGGCCTCCGACCGACAAAATCAACAAGCCCAGATGCAGCGCTCCGCCCAGGAGCAGAAGGCGCGGATATCAAAGCATAAATCATGAATCGTAATCGCTCAACTTGAGGTGACTGACCGAGGGACGAGGAGCGCTGTGAAGAGGAATGATCGAGCAGTCTTCTGGGAGTCGAGTGGTGTCATATGGGGTGAGAGGACGAAAGGTAGTACTTTTGGGGTTGAATCGAGTGAGCAAGGGAACTGGGAGGTGGCCGAGTCGATTCGGAGAGCACCGGTGGCGAGTGGTGACCTTTCGAAGCAGCTGCAAGGTTTAGACCACCAGTGCAGCCGCTCGCTAGGCCACTGAAGCAATCATGTGGAAGAGCATCGGTACGGTCCGTGTGGAGCGGCGACTACTCCTGCGCTCCCTGGCTCCTTCGCATCTTCTCAGCTTCCAGGTTCTCGTAGAGGAGATACAGGGCCTTCTCGTTGCTGCTGGCGCTGCCGGTGATAGTGAACATCCTCTCGCCGGATTCGTCATGCGGTGCCTTGGCAATCGAGATGCGAGCACCAGAGCTCTTTCTGATCTCGCTGATCTTGCTGCCTCCCCTGCCGATGATACACCCTACCATGTCGGATGGGATGCTGATGTTCTGCGTCTGGAGCTCCTCGCCGTCTTCGTTGGTGGTGGGGGGCGGCGGCCGGCTAGAAGCGTCGGAGGGCCCACGCCTGTATGATGGGGGCGCATCGCTGAAGTCTGCGCCGTGGCCGGTGCGGTTGTACGAGCGATTGCCGCCGCCCATACCAACTCCATTGTTGAGTGGAACGCTTCCTGATGCCTTGATCGTAGGGTTGTAGAGCACAGTCCCATAACCACGCTCAGCGTCGTCGATGAGACACTTGCCAATCTCCCACACTGCCTTCTCGATGCCATCGGGCGTGCCTTGAACTTCGACAATCCTCTCAGTAGACTGCGGTAGCATCTCTTTTTGGGCAACCATGCGGACTCCGGAAACATCCTGGATCTGCTTGATCTTCAAGCCTTGGCGACCGATGATGGTGCCCATTTGGTTGTGAGAGATCAGCAAACGAATGGCTGCCAGACACCACTATGTCAGCTCGAGCCGCAGGAAATCAAGCGAAAAAAGGTGTCGCCAATTCATGTAAGGACACAAGGGTCGGTGGAACAAACGAGGTGTGCGTGACTTACGGTGAGTGCCATTGGCGTTGATAACACCACCCATACCCATCTGGGGTGCCCCTTCAAGCAGAGCACCAGCAACGATCTTGTAAGCCCTCGAGATCGCATTGAGAGGACCCGTGACGGTCAGGACACGGTCGTGAACGCCAGGGACGACCTTGCTGACGCCAGCCTTGACGCCAGTCTTGTCACGCAGATCAGCGACGTTCTGTCCGCCTTTGCCGATGATGACACCGGCCTCCTTGGACGTAACGATAGCGCGCAGGGTCAAAGGCGACTCATTGTACTCCTCGTCGGTGCGGGGGATGGGCTGGCCATCAGGGCCGACCGGGCGGTCATTCATGGTCAAGCGGTCGAAGGTCTGGGTAACCTCGCCCGTGACGTCCTGACCCGACGATTGAGCGTTGTCTTCGGCTGACATGGTGAGGGGGACGATATCTCAACGATATACACGTGTCGAGGGTTGAAGGGCTATAGCGTGTGACGTGAAGGTTGATGAACTGAAACGCGGTAGTGTCCTTAAAAATGAGAAGCTAGAGGAAGTGTTTGAGGTGGCGTGGTTTGCCGGGCTAAGGTCCGCGTGAGCAAGCTGCAGGTAAACAACTGGGTTGACGACGCAGGAAAGCTTACGGAAGGAAGATGGCGGGGTCGACGAGGACGTGACGGAGAGTGAGGTGGAGGGGGATGGAGAAGGGGGGGGAGGTAGGAGTGAGTGGGGACGAGTAGGTGGAAGGCTCGGAAAAGGACACGGCGGTATCTGATCAGGAGCGTGGTGGTGAGGATGGAGAGTTTGGGGGCACGTTGTTTGGGACCTGGAGTTTTTTTGTCGCTCGCGACCTAGCTTGGTGTCACGGGCCTGCCTCCGGCGGCCTAGTAAGAACATCACGATCCTCACCGCTCAGAGTACTTTACGGAGTAACGCTACGGACAAAACAAGTTTCAGCATTGACATGCCCTCTCAAGCAGTATGCTGCCGAGGTAGTTGGTTGCTCGGTGATTGATCGTCTAGCTTGACAGTGATGGGCATGGAGGTCGTGATGTACCTTGCTCTGCCTGAAGCTGGAGAGCTATATTGTAGTCCTGGACGGCAACCACGAAATCTTTGATATACTGTCATAATCACTGTGGATTAGACAGCTCTAACCCTTTCGAGAGTCAAACGCGTTATCAGAGTTCAACTGACTCGCCCATGCGCTTTAACACGGGCTCTGGCGACGTCTACCTATACTGCACACAAGCCAAAACCCTTTACCACGCCAGACCCCACCACTCTATGCGCGAAACCCGCTCGCCAGATTGCTACAAAGCTTCCAATGCCGCGTTGTGTTGCAGCTGTGCCCCCAGAAACGCCTTGCAGCGATGCTCGTGATAAAGAAGGTCAAACCTAGAACTGAAATCCCCCTTGCGAGAACCTCGCGCCGCCCCTCTGCCCTCCACCGCCAAAGGGACTGCCTCCTGCACCGCCGAAACTGAAGCTGGGGCCGCCGCCGCCCATACCTCCCATTCCGCCCATGCCGCCCATCATTTGAAATAGGACGGCCGGATCAATGTTCATTCCTTGGGCGCCGCCGAAGCCACCACCGAAGGCATCGGCGGGGTCGATGAGGTCTTCGCCGCTGTCGTAGCGAGCACGTTTTCTGGGTGGGCCGTTAGTGGGGAGTCACTGGGTTGGGAAGGATGTGTGGGGACTTACTGCGGATCACTCAACGTCTCGTACGCCTCTCCAATATCCTTGAACCGCTCCGCCGCACCCTCGTCATCTGGGTTCTTATCTGGGTGATGGACGATGGCGAGTTTGCGGTACGCCTTCTTGATCTGGTTATCGTCCGCCTCCTTGTCGACGCCGAGGATCTTGTAGTAGTCTTTCCGCTTGCTCTTCTTCAGTTCAAGCTCCGCGTTCCGCACTTCTTTCGCAATTCCCGGTTCAGACGGGTTGGCCTCGGCGATAGCTTTGTACTCGCGCACTGCGCCTTCCCAGTCCCCAGACTCGCCCATAGCCTTCGCTTTCGTCTTCTTCGCCTTGAGGTACGACGGATCGAGTTCGAGTGCGCGAGTGCAATCCGCAATCGCCGACGCGTAGTCCTTTAGTCGGATGTGGCACAGTGCTCTGTTCTGTAGGATCTTCGAATTCGTGCCCTTGTTGTTCGGATCGACCTCGAGCGCCTGCGAATACATGTCCACGGCCTCCTGAAACTTGCCGGCTTTGAACAGTGCGTTCCCCTCCTCTTTCATCCGGTCTAGCTTTTGCACCATCCGCAGATACTTGACCGCGTCCTTGAAGTCTGGATCGCAGGCCAGCGCCTGTCGGAAGTGTTGTATTGCCTTCTCATTCTCCCCTTGTGCGTATAGCGCCCTGCCCCTGAGCACCAGAGCCTCTGGATCTTGGTTGTTATTCCGGAGAAGCGACATCGCAATGTTCTGCGCCTCTCCCAGCGCGTTCGCATTGCCCATCTTGAGGTACGCCTCCCCGCGCATCAACTTCCACTTCCGCGGCCTGTCCACCATGCTCCCCAGCCCCCGCTCTGCCTGATCTAGCGCGTGCAGGACCATGGACCCAGACGTCCCGCTCTGGAGCGCGTCCTCCGCCTGCTGGATGTGGTGCAGCATGTTCACTGCCGGAGCCTTGTCCTTGGCCGACACCGGTTCTGATATCCTGTCATACACATCTAGCGCTTCCTGTGGCCGGCCCAGGCTAGTGTATATCCTCGCTAATCTGTGTAGGATTTTCGGGCTGTTGGGTTCGAGCTCGTCAGCCTCTTTGGCGTCTTCAAGCGCCTCTGGATAGCGCTCTGCGGAAATATAGGCGGCGGCCCGGTTCGAGCGATACGTTGAGGCTTGAGGGTCTGCCTCAATCGCTCTGGTATACTCTTGAATAGCCTTGTCGAATTGTCTCGCTTTGAAGAATTTGTTGCCGGCCGCTTTGCATGCCTCAGCGTCTACGGCTAGTTTTTGCGGTTGCGGCGGCGGACTTGTGGGCGTGCGGTGCGGTGGTGGTGGGGGAGCTTGGTCGGCTTCGCCATTGATGCCATTGGTCTGGGGGAGGGCTGCGGAAGGTGGTGAGGCGGCAGGACTGGCTGGAGGAGGTGACATTGTGTTCTCCCGATCGAGGTCCATGGACGTAGGCTGGTCGCTGCTCATGGCAGACATGGTGGAGGCTGACAGGCGCTTTCGCTCCTCTGGCGGGAGGTTCAGAGGGTGTGTGTCAGGGTCAACTTTCGATTTGGAGGACCGAGAGAAGCTGTTGCTCGAGCGGGCGGAATCTGTTCTTCTTGTCTTCTCACGCTCTTTGGAGGGCTTGTCCGCAGGCTTCTTCTCGGGAGAGAGAGGTGGAGTGTTCTCGGTGGTGGTGCTGGTGTCGGCGGTGGCTTTCTTTTTGGAATTTTTGCTGAAAATGTTTGGCAGAACCATCGGGACCGGTAGTGTGGGAATGGGTTGTCAGGTTGCGGGGACAGCCGGGCTTCCTTCACACGGCTGCAGCGTTGCACAGAGATCCGGCAGCAAAAAAATCAATACCTAGGTATGGGGGGAGGCTAAATCGGTTGTGGAGGGTCCCAAGGTTGTTTTTGCTTGGGTCCCAGCGGGTCGCACGTCGGCAGAACGCCATCGAATCTTCGACGCTTGGTGCTGCTGGAGCTTTGTGCAAAGAAGTCATTGGTCGTGTGTATCGCCATGCGAATTACAGTGTCGCCATACGCAAGACGTTCTATGGCCCATATGAAAGTGCCACAACAACACCTATATGGTTTCGAGGACAATCATACTGTCGCTTTCTGCCTCAGGCATGTCAAAGATTGACCAACCTCCCATCCCTGTCGCTACCTAGGTAGACCCTGCCTTGCATCCTGACCGAAAATCTAACACAGGGATTTCTGGAGAGGCTAACATCGAGACCATAACTTGTAGCTCTAAGTACTGAACGGCTACAGGCATGGTTTCGTCTCCCGTATCAGCGGATCTCCCAGATCATGAAGGCAGAACTCCACAGCAAGCTCGAGTGTCCATGTAAGTCTTGTCATAAAGCAGTAGCTTCGACATCGCTCACGTGACGGGTTATCCCGGAGTGCAGCTCCCCGCCTTCGCCCAAGCGCTGCAGTCTTGGGAGCTTCGTCAGCTGTAGCAACGACCTCTTCACCTCTGACGGACTAGACTGCTCAGCTTCAGCTATTCCTGCAAACAACCCGCAAATCCCCTCAGCTGCTGACCGGCAGGTTGCCTTATTCACCGTCTCACTTGCATCATCAGCTGCACTTGGCTGCAGCTCATCCCACCTGACAGGTTCAGCAGCTGTCCGCCCAGCCAGAGGTACCAGGCCAGCACAACCTCCACGACCGTGCCTACCCACGAACACATCCTGATACCGTGACGAAAAGTCGTAACTCATAGCGTCTCCACATCCTCCTTCTCCGCTCCCACGCCCTTCAGAGCCCTCGTCTACGACCTGTTGGCCCAGGAAGGGCCTTACCACGATAGTGAAGCAAGCGGTTCAGATCAGTGTACCAGGGAGCCAGACACTCAACCTCGTTACCTGTAGCAGCAGTAGTGCCCGTATCAAACCGGCACCGAGCACATAGTCTCGACAATGGGACTAGCATACAACATCTACCTCAACTCCAAGCGCGTCTATGGCTGCAAGAACTGCAAGACACACCTCTCCAACCACGATGATATCATAAGTCGAGTGCGTCGTTTCCCCCCAGCATTGTGATGTTGTTACCCACTGCAGCTTTGTCTACTTGGTCCGACCTGACTGACGATTGCCGTGGACAGAACTTCCGCGGCCAGCACGGCAAAGCCTACCTCTTCGACTCAGTCGTCAACATCATCCAGGGCGAACAAGCGGAGCGAAACATGACGACCGGCCGACACATCGTGCGGGACATCAGCTGCCGGCAGTGCAAGGAGACGGTCGGCTGGAAGTACGACAAGGCGTACGAGGCTGCGGAGAAATACAAGGAGGGCAAGTACATCCTCGAGGCCGAGCTGCTCTGCAATGTGAATTAGAAGAGGAAGCGGAGAGCATAAGTGGGCTTTCTGATGGATTTCGACATTTGCATTTGGGGCGTTGAGCAGGCGGGCATGTATCGGAGTTTTCTGGACCGTTATTGCGGATTAAGATCACGAACTCAGACGACTTCTCTCGGATCTATCACTTCCCACGACATGACGGTTCCACTGTGGGAGTATCCGGCGAGCGGTCGTCATTCTGGGTCATTTCGGGCCATTGGTAGTTATACGGCGGACATATAACTAGTCCTTCTCGACCCACATCGAGCAAAGGCCATCTGAAGTCCGTTGCTCCATGAAAAGCCACTCGTGGCCCTGGAGATGGATAGCCCAAGCACACAGCCCGTAAGTCAAAGGTACCTCAGGCGATTGGTGCATTAGAGAGCTGAGCTGCTGGTCGTCTTTTGCTTCCTATCATATGGAATTGTCTAGTTGCTCCATAATTGATAAGATCATGGGTCCAATCTAAGTGGTGAATTTGGTATCAAACAAGCTGGAGCAAAGATGCGGCAGCGGTCTTTTCGAGCGGCCCTTGGAGTACTAGAGGCTCTCCTATCATATCCAAAGGGAGCAACAGCATCGAAACCTCCCAACCAATGGCGACTTCATGCTTGCAAACCTATTCCAGACTGTCAGGAACGCTTCCGTGGGATTTAAATCCCCATCCGAACATGCCCCGTCCAGACCATCCAAGGATCGGCTCCAAATCATCTACCCCGCAATGTCCTGTCATCCCGCAAAGAACCCCACCACCTCATGGAACCTCGGATTGACAGATGTTCCATTCGACAGATACATATCCCATAGCCGCGGTCACCTACAGAATGGCTTCTCTAGTATCCCTGTCTGCTCTCTGTGCCATTTTTATATTCCTATCAGGTCTACATCCGCCAGACTAAAGCTTCCGCCTAAACCTGAGGAGTAGTAAATACCCCATCATGGCCAAAGACACAATGCGCGCCGTCATCTTCAAAGGGCCAGGCAAGGTCGTCCTAGAAGACCGGCCGATACCCAAGATCCAGGATCCCACAGACATCATCGTCAAGGTCAAGAACACAGCGTTATGCGGCAGGTATGTCCTCCACTCGCCAGAACAGCAGAACAAACACTCACCCGGCGCAGCGAACTCCACGTCTTCCGCGGCCACCAGCCGAGTCCCACAGACTTCATCATGGGGCACGAGTTCACCGGCATCGTGGAAGAAGTCGGAGATGCGGTTAAGACGGTCAAGAAGGGCGACCAGATCGTGTCGCCGTTTACCGTGTCGTGGTATGCCCCGAAGCCGCCCAACACTCAACCAACTTGCGTGACAAGGACTGACACCAGCCCCAGCGGCGAATGCTTCTACTGCAAACAAGGCTTCTCCTCCCGCTGCGCCAAATGCCTCCTATTCGGCACCGCAGCCCTCGACGGCGCCCAAGCCGAATACGTGCGTGTCCCGCTCGCCGACAGCACAGTCATGAAAGCACCCGAAGAGATCTCCGACAACGCGCTCGTGCTCATGGCCGACATCTTCCCGACGGGCTACTTCGCCGCGCACAACGGCTTCAAGGACCTCTCCAAAGAGCAGATCGCCGAAGCCACGGTGGTCGTCATCGGCTGCGGCCCCGTGGGGTTGTGCGCGGTCATCAATGCCGCCGACTACAAACCCAAGCATCTTTTTGCGGTCGACAGCGTCGAGAGCCGGCTCGAGTTGGCCAAGGGCTTAGGCGCCGAGCCGCTGAATTTCCAGCAGGACAGGGAGGGGCTCGACAAGCGGATCAAGGAGGTTACGGAGGGCCGCGGGGCCGACGTGGTCATTGAGGTCGTCGGGCTGAGCCCGGCGCTCAAGATGGGATTCGATATCCTAAGGCCCTGGGGCGTTATTTCGAGTGTTGGCGTCCATAATGGGGAGATTCCGTGGACGGGCAATCAGGCGTATGGCAAGAACCTCAGGATTCAGATGGGCAGGTGTCCCGTGAGGAGTATATTCCCACAGGCGCTGAAGAAGTTGGCGGAGAAGCAACATATGCTTGGGTAAGTTTTTTGAAGCTCCATGGTCCTAGGGGTTGTTGATGGTACTGACGTGGTATCCAGGTTCATGTCGGACAAGGTTATGCCGCTGTCGGAAGCGGTGGAGGGCTATGATATCTTTGATAAGATGAAGGCGCAGAAGGTCGTTTTCGAGGCGGAGAAGTGAGTTGATAGACCTGAGCTGTTGGATGTGAAGATACACGTGTTGGATTTGGACCCTATATTATACATCTTGGACAACCTTGGCTGAGATCGCCTCAAGACCCAACCTAACTCTGTCTTGCCGGTGTCAAACACTCCATGATAATTCTAATCGCGCTATGGCGATACGCTAGAGCGCTGAGTCGACGGGCACAAACGCTTTTATGGCTAAGGGGGCTCTTATAATCTTCAAGACTTCCATGCTTGTAGCTGTCGATGTGATATGGTCCTTGGAGGCGTGAGCGTTTTTGCTGCGGTTTTGGGTATTAGGTATGCTGGAGGACGGCCCCGGGGGAGCAAGATCAGGGTGAGGCTGAAAGCTTTCGAGGATTCCCGCATGTGGGGCACCCTTGAAACCTACCGATCCGGGGGTGACCTCAAAATGCCACCTCTCATGTATGATAGAGGAGCAGCACAAACACACACCACCTTCATTCAGCAGCTTTATACCTGTCACTCTTTTCAACTGCATACAAACACTCGCTGTTACTCCCATTGAGTCCATCCGAGCGGACCTCGAGTCCCTCACCCGATCCACGAATGGCGCGGCAGAAGCAACCCTCGATGCGCCGCGAGCCTTCCGATCTCTTCAAGCAGAATGGGTCCGCCGAGAAGCACAGCACGAGGTCAGCGAACGGCGATGTGATAGATCGTGTCATAGAAAAGCAACTATCCAACGGCGCCGCGAAAGGACTACTATCCGCGCAACCCCCCGAGTCGCAGGCCGGTATACTCCAACTCGGCATCTGCGTAGCCGGCATCTACGCCTCCTTGTACGTGCCTCCCCCTTCACAATTTCTATAACCTCTAACACCTCCCTCCCAGCCTCGCCTGGGCCTTCCTGCAAGAGCGCATAACCACAACCCGCTACGGCCCCCCCGGGGCCCCCGAAACCTTCACCTTCTCCGTCTTCCTCAACACCATCCAATCCTTCCTCGGCTTCCTCAGCGGGTACGCCTACCTGCTCCTCTCCACCCCCACCGGGCGTCCCACGCCCCCAATCTTCCCTTCCACCTCGATCCTGCCTCCACTATTCCTGGTGGCTGTGACCAGCAGCCTCGCCTCCCCCTTCGGCTACGCCAGCCTGAAACACATCGACTACATAACCTTCATCCTCGCCAAGTCGTGCAAGCTGCTGCCGGTCATGTTCCTGCACATCAGCATCTTCCGGAAGCGGTACCCGCTGTACAAATACGCGGTCGTGGGGCTCGTGACCTTGGGCGTCGCGCTCTTCACCTTGCACGCGCCGACGACGAGCAAGAAGCGGGCGAGAGCCGTGGAGGGGAGCAGCGCGTGGGGGCTGCTGCTGCTGGGGATTAATCTGCTGTTTGATGGCCTCACGAATAGTGTGCAGGACCATGTTTTCGCAACCTTCAAACGATACACAGGCCCGCAGATGATGTGTGCCCAGAACCTGCTGTCGACGGCGTTGACGCTGGGGTATCTGTTCATGAGCCCGTGGGTCGCGCAGACGGGCCTGGGCGCCTGGCTGGGCATGCAAGCGTCCGGCGCAGGGGAGCTGGGCGAGGCGCTAGCGTTCCTGGGGAGGTATCCGGAGGTTGGATGGGATGTGCTTGCGTTTGCGGGATGCGGGGCTATCGGCCAGATTTTTATCTGTGAGTTACCTTTGTCGTTGTTACGTGGACCTCCGCTGCTGTTCGGTAAGCTGTATTCGTTCATGACACGGGCGCTGATACTACCTGCCAGATTACACGCTTTCGCACTTCTCGTCGCTACTTCTAGTCACCGTGACGGTGACGAGGAAGATGCTGACGATGCTGTTTTCCGTCGTGTACTTTGGGCATAAGATTCAAGGCATGCAGTGGCTGGGTGTGGGGTTGGTATTTGGAGGGATTGGAGCGGAGGCAGGAGTAAAGATGTGGAATGACAAGGCGAAGCAGAAAAGCAAGGGGCCGGCAGGTGAGAAGAAGGAGTTATAGAATCAAGAGATAGAAAGCATCTAGACTTGGCGATTGCATCGGAGGCGTTCTGGGGTTCTTTACCAAGCGTGCTAAAGTATCAAAGCACTCATAAGGTGGATGCATGGTTGACAATAACGAATTTGAGAAAGCCCCAGGCTTGTCATAAAAATCTAAAAAGAACATAATGGTACCCAGTATTCGCTTTACCCAACGCCAAACTGTACAGCGAATGTGCAGCACCGCTACCCCCAATACTTCGAAAGTTGCTTCCTGAAGCTCTCTCCCTCTTCCTCCCTCTTCACCTTCGCCGCACCCTTCTTATCAACTCCATCCCTCATCTCGACCCCCTCCTCGACATCCCTAACCTTCTGCTCCACCTTTGGCGGCACGCCCTCAACCTTCTTAACCTTCTTCCCCTCCACAAACATCATGATCCCCGCCGCGCCCGCCACTCCACACGCGAGCGCCACAAACAAGCCCGTGGACCAAGCCGGGCGTTCAATCCGATTGTAAGCCCACATGCATACGCACAACGCGATCTGGAAGAAGGTATTCCACACATTCATCCAGATGACGAAATCCATCTTCCACTTCTTGGTGGGCGGCGACCGCACACCCGTCAGCGGCTCGTCGGGGCGCTTGCTCGGCGGCAGCGGCAGTGCTGGGTTCATCTCGTCGGGAACCTCGTCCGCGGTCGGCAAGCTCAGCTTGTCGCTGCCCGGCAGCCGGAACCAGCTTCTGTTGATGCCGGCAAGCCTCCTCCACCCGTTCACCTTCTTCTCTTCCTTGGTAGCGCCAGGGCCGTACCATCCCGTCCTTGCCTGGATAAGGAACCGCAGGTCCCGAAACCGCCACGGCGCGAGCCCGAAGCCCGTAACGCAGAACAGCGCATTGAGGATCTGGGACGTGATCTCGACCCAGATCCTGCGCGGGGAGTTGATGTGGTTGCATGAGGGATGGCACATCGCGGGCGCGGCGTTGCAGAGGAGGAGGAAGAGCATGCCGCCCCAGGCCACGATGTTTAGGCCGTAGAGCGTGATGGAGAAGCCCGGGATGGTGAGGAACCAGCGCCAAAAGGCTTTCAGGCCGATTAGGGTGCTAGTTGTCCAGGGGAGTTTGGGGGGTGGTATGTAGCCGTTTGCGTAGGGAGAGGTGGCGGTGGGAGGGGTGGTTGCACGGGCAGAGCCTCCAACGGATGAAGTCGCGTCTGTGGTGTCTGTATTGGCCGTGGTGGTTGGCACTATGGTCTTCTCGGCGGCTTTGGATTCTGTCGCTGGGTGCGTCTGTGTCTCGTCGGCGCGCGGCCCTATGCTTGCGTCTTCCTCTGCTAGATGCGGGAACGGCTCTGCACCCGTACCAGCGCCTCCGCTCATCTTCCTCTGCCGACCCGACCACCCTGAACTCCCTCGACTCCCGATCCGGGGTCTGCTTCTCTCACCACCGCTGCCTCGTCGCTCTTGCGCCGCTGGATCCTGCCATCCGTCGTGTCCGAATGAATTCCGTCGTATGTCTGACAGAGACGGTGCCCGGGCGGCATTGATACCGGTGGCTGCCCACATGCCGAGCGGCGGGTCGGCGTTCATGAGCTTAATCGACGCAGACCGGAGGAGGGTGCTTGCATTTGAGACTACCGATGCATTGGTGGTGGCGCGGGGGCGTCTTTGTGAGGTCGGTGAGGTTGGTGAGGGGGGTGCGTCTGAAGCCATGATGGGCATTGGGTTGGTGACACGACGGAGGGTCAGACAAGAAAGATATGATGGAAGGATGCAATTGTCGACTACGCGGTATCGTCAAGAATGATTTGATGATTCTTCGGCCTCTGATTGAGCGGCGGCGGTCCCAATGATCTCCCAGGATTATTCCAGGGTTCTAATGGAGATGAGGAGGCACGTGTAAACAAAGCGAGTCGAATCGCAGGACTGAACGGTGGAGGTCGAGTCTAGCGTCGTTTCAAGTAGGCAGGCAGGTGGTGTGCAACATCTTGAGGATGTCCAATGCTCCTTCTGATGATGGAGGACTGATGGCGGCCATACGGAGCCGCGTGTGTGTTTGCCAATTCGCCCCATCGCAGTTGGCCCCGTGTTTGCTTGGCGGTGGGGATGATCGGGTGGCTTGGACCCTGATGCGAGCTGAGTCAGCGCGGGTATGCAAGATTGTGTTGCAGCAATTCGCGTTTCGCGCGTGAAGAGCAAAAAAGTTGCGCGGCAGTGGTGACTCCCGCACAGTTAAACTTAAACAGCAATTACAACTCCTGCGGCGTCGTCCTCATCAGCGCGCCTCTCGACCCCGCCCAGTCTCCATACCCACCATGGCCGCCGCAACAGTCTCCCCATCCCCTCCATCAGCACTCTCGAAGCTCATCTCGACCCGCACACCTACCGATTCCACCCACCCCGCACACCTTCACCACCTCACCCTCCAAATCCAGCACAACCTCCAGTACCAGCACCTCTGGACCGCCCTGACCATTCACACTCACTCGCCTCTCTCACCTCACAAGCTACTACCGCGCCCGCTCATCTCGGGCCTGCCACCGCAACGCCTGTACGTCCATCCTGATGAGCAGGTTGAACTGTTGGCGAGAGAGGCGAGGAGACGGAAGCAGAGGAGAATACAAGAAGGGGTAAAGGGAGGGGGGAAAGGCGATGCGGAGAAGCCCCCGCCGGAGCGCGAGTGGGTGCTCCCGACGCAGGTGAGGGAGAAGTGGAGTCTGCGGCGGTTCGGGGAGGTGTTTGAGGGGATTGGGGTGGTGCCACCGGAGCCTGCGGATAGCGAGCCGGTCATATCTAGGGAGAAGACGCAGGAGGAGAAGGCGAAGGACGACGCTGATGATGATACCGGTGCTACGGATTCTAGGAGATCTGAGACCGAAACTGAGGGAGCGACATCACAACCTGCGGCAAACAAGTGGAGGACGTTGAAGAGGGTGGTACTGGCTACGCTCGATGATGACAGCACGGTTGTGTACTACATCGTGCATGATGGGATTGTGAAGCCGCGGCAGAATTGAATGGAGTTGCTGGGAATGTATTACAACTCGCAAGCCGCGGCGCAAGCGAAAATATGTCTCCGGGAACCAACATCTTCAAGCCGTTGCGGCTGCCGGGCCTATTCGGAGTGGGTGCCTCCGCACGAGAAGTGGTGCGAAGCAGGAGCTTATGGACCGCGAGGCGCTGTGTTGCAACTCCTTTGATCACTTGAGTAGGGGCCGCAGCTAAAAGGAATAACGCCGTCGGAGGCAGCTGATGGCAGACGATCTTAGTGAGCAGCAAGGAGACTGTGTTTGCGCAGCGAGAAGTTGCCAGTTGCGAGGAGAGCAAGAAAGTCAGGGGGGGGAAGCAAATATGAGTGCTTGATGTGCATTGAAAGCCACGAGTACGTGTTGCTCATAAATGTCCATATATCCGATGAATATCAGGATCTCTCCTACTCTAGTCGGGAACTAGTGTAGTTTGTTATTGGGGGTTGTCCTCTAATATTACAAGCAACGCGTGCTTGATATTGGACTCTCAAGACTCGATTTTCATGGTCAATGGCCCTGTCGGTATGGCGCATTTAGCTCCGGATAGTAAAGGTAGTAACATCAGTGAAAGCACCAAATAAGTCAGACTTCGTCAACGTGATCTGGGAGGGCTACGACTTGCGGCTGAAAGCCCCTGAACTCGCGGTCACGGCGATCACAAGTCGCGTCGAAGATGGCTCACAGCTGCTCGGCCTCGCCTAGAAAACTTAAGCCGCGGCAGGTGTACGAAGGCTATGCGGCTGACTATGACGTCCACCCGCGTTTACGGACTGCTGGGGCAGAGGTTCGACTCGTAAAAGCGCGGTTGCCTTTCTCTTTAGCCAACTTGCACAGCCAGATTCGCTTGTCGGCGCCGCAGGATGTCGCCATCAGTTACAACGCTTGGAATTCTGCGCTGACAATACTCTGTAAGTTATCGGATCCTGGAGGATGAGGTGCGGCGTTGTCGCGGCTTGCCTTGTTGCCGGACATCAGACCCTATTTGAGGAGCATCAGCGTTGGCTCCTCGATCGTCAAGGACGCCTTATCCAGTGACAAGGCTCTTCATGTTGATCGACTGCTATGAACCATGGAGTGTTTCTGATAGACTCCCTTGGCTTTGGAGCCCGCCAGCCCGCAATAGCAGTCCTCAAGCCTTCAAGCCATAAACCGCTTGGCAATCGGCGTCGGTGCTTCACAACGACAAGGGGGAGGCCGTATTTTTAGTAGATGGCGCAGCACGCGGACATCGACGGTGTGTTCAAGAGCTGGAAAGCTAACGCCTTTCGAACTAAGACTCCCGCCGGATGAGCCGTGCCGAGTCTCATCCTCGACATCGCACTCTTCTCACACGCGGGAGGATGATCACGGAGCATGGCGACGAACGCGGAAGTCATCCAGCGAGCGGTGAGCTCCTTCAGGCGAGACAGAAGCCTACGATGTGACTTCCTTCAGCGGCAACCCTGCTGTCTGACAGCCAGAATACTCAAATTCCAGCCCCGAATAGGTCTCGCTACAAATCTCCGTAGTTTCACGCCCGCTCAGCCGTCACGGGCGCCATGGTATTAGATCTTCAGGGCTCAAAGCCGTTCAGGTAAGTACATATTCGCTTCTGCCCCAGATCACGATGCTTCAGTAACCGGCACCCTCGTACCGTACTTGGTCCCCCCCGATGTATCGCTAGCCCCGCATATACGATAGCTCTGCTCGTTCGATCCTTACCTGATCGGTCCTGTATGTTGGCAATACAACCTTGTTCTAAGCTACTGCCCTCTATGGCTGATCCGTCCTATATTTCTGATACCGCCCTGCTGCTTGTCCAACCCTCCGCAATACCTCTGATGATTGCTACACCACCTTATATGGCCGCCGGAAGGAGCCATCACAACCCGAACGCTTCGTCATGGGAACAATGTAGCACCGAAAGTCGACTGGTAGACCGGGCAGCAGCTCAGGACTATAACCCGGCTTTCACTTTTCCTCATGAAAGACGCAGACCAAACTCAGAGCATCCAGCAACTGTCAGGAGGAAGCCGGCCCCTTTGTCCCCATCTGGCAACAACAGAAGCCAATATCTTCTCGGCGCCCCGCAACACTCGACTCAGCCGATCAGATCTGCCCCAGCAACGGCGACATCTTTCTGGCAGTCATCACCTCAACCTATGTCGTCCACACGGCGTGTGTCAGACAGCAGAGTACCGCAAAGATGGCCTCTGGAACCTGCGGATAGAGCTCACGCTTCCCACGAGATCTTAACAGCCCCAGGTCCTTCCGACTACTGGCAAGTGAGCAGCCCCGCTCGAGCAAGCTCATGGGAGACGCCCACGGCTTCCCATCCGTTACCACACCAATGGCAGAGTTCGGGCATGCAACTACGCTCCAACTCGTGGGACCTAGCTGGAGCTTCTTCATCGTCACAGGATCAGAGTCTTCGAGTTGCCCCATTGCGTCGTCCAAGCCGCCAACAGCGTCCAGAGCCCCTCGTATCCCCGACCGAACCTTTGGTCGATGCTGCGCAGTTTCATCTTTTTGTCGAGGCAACTTCTGGCTTCAGCAGCGAACCCATGTCTTTCAACAGAGATCCGGCGGGCGGCGGATCACGTCCGCCACCGAGCTTAGCGGCAAGGTCCTCGTTTAGCTATCTGCCGCGGGCAACGGCTAGAACGCCTTCGCAGATCTTCATGGATGGCTTGTCCCCTGACGACGAATATCGCGATGACGATGAGCTGCCGGACTATGCTCAGAGTCAGCGCGAGGCTGCACAGCAGCGGAGAAGAGAGGCGACCAGAAGGGCAGAGGAGCTGGAGCAGCGGTGGATGTCGGCGAGAAGAGGTCGATGAGGCAAATTCGAAGCGGATTGTGCACATTCATCATCGAGCTGCCCAAAACTAAGAAGGTCGCAGTCGTTCAGAAGGCACGAAATCACTTCTGCTTTTGGCTGCCGCCTGTTTAAAGACGGCCGTCATGTAGCAGCTTTTCTCCCTCGGGTCCGTTTCTGAAGTAGTAGATATACCCGCCGTATGGCAACACTCGCTAGACTCTTAGATTCATCTGTTTCCACATGAAAGACTGCTTCCTCATCGTCGCCTCGTCAGCATGACTTTCACTTTCCTGTCTGAGGCCCCACGCATCTGCGGGCGAAAGTACGGCAGCCGAACGAGAAGCCATAACGTCATCCTCTTCGCTGAAGCTGCAGTCAACTTCGAACGCTTTACTCTCAGCGGTAAGTAGCAGGCAAATATCTTTCACCAACCAGATACTGTCGCGCAACAGGGCCTCATTGCATCCTGTATCAAAAGCGGTAGGTACTATATCTGATACAGGAGGCTTTGCCAGTTGGACTGTGCCCCAATCAGATGCAGGCATCACCTCGTATGATGCGGCTTATTGCATACACGTGTATCTCACCACGCCTCCATTCTCTGCCATAACCGCATACGAGATACCTGTTAGCTCTTCAGATGGACTTGTTCGTTTCCTCTGTCATGCTTTAGTTCCTCCGTTACCTTCCCGGCACGGCGCTGCATGAGTAGAGGATCTCCGAAATATTGACGCCATCCTCTGCGCACAACCAGCCTGGACCTGCGTGGTAGACAATACACCGATAGAAGTACAGTATCAGCAAGGGCTTACCAGCCTGCAAATATTCAAGACCATCCTCCACTTACTTGGCATTTTGGAGCGGCCACCACAGGCACAGCTAACCGTACTGCATAAGGTACTTGCTATCAAGTTGGATTTGCTGATTCATAAGGAATACACCGCTTACAGCATCCACGCATGAATCTCCTTTGTATCAGCCACACGTTACGGCACCCCTCATGACCCTCCGGAACAGATGACTCGCCCCATGCACGACACGTTTGGTCCCTCAATCAACAACATCGACACAACTCCGACCTCTAATCCAGCATAACCTAGCGCCCCAATCGTTGAGCTGTAGGCATATACTGCGAACCGGCTGAACCTCATCACTGCCAATGCTCCTCCATTAGCATTTCTCGCTGTGGTCATTCAGTCCAAGATACTGTTCGACCAGACTACCAGAGACTCCTCCAAGTCTTCACGGCACAGTGTGCGTGAGCGGGGCCGTAGAAGAGCTCAGCCGACATGATACATTTAGCATTCGGCCAGGGAGAACGAGAAGACGTGATTAGCGCGCATGCCGAAGTCTTCATCCACTGGGCGCACAGCGCTGAGCGCTACAGCAAGTCGTGACGGAAGTCAGCCCTGTCGGACCAAGAGTGAGCATCGTCTGCCTACGAGCAAGATCCGGAGCAGTGGCCGCTTGTTCAGCCGTCTCTGAAGAGGAACACTCTCGGCCCCACGTATCATTGTCTCAGTGACGACGGCTATGACACTAAAGCCAACCCACCTCTTTCTCTTCTAGCCTAGATGTCGTCCGTTCGAATGCCTATTCACCTTGACACTCGCCCCTTTGAGGGCCCAGTGCAGAAGGCAGTGAGGTGCTGATGAGCTTCCGAAGTCGCTTGCTCCGCGAGCCACTTCGAAACAGGGCAGGCCGAGGGAGAGGTCCTGCGCATGGGCATGAGGGCCGGCTTGATAATTGACCACTGGCGTGTTGGATCGCTGGGTTCGATCGCTTGCAATGTGCGACCTGGATGTGGGCTTTTATGCGTGGGAAAGGAGACGCGAGGTGCTATCCCTTTAGTATGGGTCATGTGTGAAGTCCAGGGGGTAGGATGCTGTTTTCACGATGCTGTGTCAACCGCTAGGAGAAAAGAGTAAGATGGTATCTTGACAGCCCCCGATGAGTGAGGGACTTCTTAGCCTTCAAACCACGGTGCCATTTGAGGCTCTGTAGCGCAGGAATCTTCTCGTCGGACGAATTCGCTACCAATTCGTGCACTCTGGCATAGACAAGAGTACCTATATCATCGCCTACGTCTCGCGTTAGCAACGATGTCAGATTTCACGCAGCTCCATCTGGATTCAAATCATGCAACATTGAACATATCACATTCTCAGCGAAGTAGCGACATGTACATTACAAGAAGCCCAAGCTCCCAGCTTCCTAGCTATGGCTCTCATTCCGAGCAGCAGCGCTCCCCAGAATAACGTCCAAGAAGCTCCTCGGCTTCCTTACGTCGCCGTTAACAACAGCAGGATCATGCACATGGATATAGCTCGCCGTCGTGACCTTCAAGTTCGCCAAATGCTCATACCCGCCGCCTCTAAGCGCAGCCTCGAAATCATCCCACCTGACCCACTCAAGCGGCATCTTCAAGAACTGCGCCCGCGTCTCAGCCATGACGCGCTCGATGGCTTGCGGGTCGAACTCTGCACACCCCTCCATCGGGAAGCGGAAGTCCTGCGCGAGTTGTGCGAGATCGTAGCCGCGGAGGAAGCGTTGTCGCTGTGGCTCGGTCACTGGGTGGCGCTCCCAGTCTGGAAACTCGATTAGGTCGAGCTGTGGGAGGCCCAGGATGCCGGCGGCCTGGAAGCTCAGTATCCACCATTCGTCGTGGTGCGACTCAGGGCTGTCTGGGTCGATCTCCTTGAACCGGACGCGGTGGACGGGGAGGAAGTTCGCGCTGATGCCCATCTCTTCGCCGTCAAAGTGTAGGGGTCGGTTCTTGCCGCGTTGTAGTGCTCGACGGAGCGCTCGTGGGAGTGCCTGTAAACGCTCCTCTCGGTCCCGCTGAGCCTTCTCCGCTGCGATCCTTGCCTGCTCCGTAGCTAGTCTGGTTTTCTCGGCTTCTTCTGCTTCCCGGGCCTCTGCTGCCGCTTTTTCGGCGGCTTTCTCCGCCTCTAGGCGTTCAGCCTCAGCCAGGCGCTCCGCTTTGGCCAACCGCTCCGTCTTGATTGGTTCTGGTGTCTCTTGCTTTATATCTTCCATAGCATCGAGCTCAGGTGGAGGGGCATCCCGTGGAACTGTGTCGGACTTTCGCGAGCGCTCTCCTGACCCCGATTTTCGCCCCAACCGCTTTTCAGGCGCTTCAGGAGAGCTCAGACCGTTGTCTCGGGGCGCATCGTAACTGGGTTTGGGTTTGGCTTTCGCCGCCGGCTTGACAGGTCCCCTGACATCAGAATCGTCGCTCTCGCTCTCAGATTCGTCGGCAACGACGCGCCGCCGTCGCTTGAGTTCGCGATGCTGTTGGAGCTCGCGTTGTTGAAGCTCTCTAGCCGAGACAAGTCGCCCTCGGCCCTTAGGAGGTTCGCTAGAAGCGGTTGTTTTCCGCCCATTCTCGCGGTTGTTGGTCTGGCTACGTGTAGGCGATAGATGACGGGCCCTGCTCTTCTTCGGGCTTCTCTGATGCTGCCGGCGGTACTCGTTGTAATGCTCTTTTAACGTATCACGTTCTTGCTGCCACTTGGGTCCACGGCGTTCCTCGGCAACCTCCCAGTAAGTCTTGCCTTCGCGGTTGCGCCTTGTTGGATCAAAGTTGTCTTGCTCAAGTAATAGCTTGATGACCTTGAGGTGGCCACGGCCGATGGCAGCCAGCATTGGTGTCTCGCTGTGCTTCATAGGGTCGGGGTCAGCTTTCATGCCAAAGCCTAGAAGGATGCTGAGAATCTCGTCGTGTCCGCCTCGAGCTGCTGCTGCGCCGCATGCCATGTTCGGCTTGATATTGCTATTGAGCAGTTCGGCAACCGCGCCCATGTTGCCTTCCGCGGCCTTGATGCGTAGAGTCTCCGTGTTATATTCGTTATAAAGAAGGTTTGTCGATGATGCGTCCTGGCTGGCGCCAGCATCACGTGCCGACTCGTCCGCTCCGTTCGACTCGCGTTGCATTGCCCTCCGGAGCTCTTTCTCGATCTCTTCCGCGTCGTCTACGTCCTCTCGCAGAACATCCAGTGCCCGCTGACCCTGTTTGTTTTGATGGTGCGGGTTGACCCTGGCGACGTTCAGTAAGATTTTGACAACCTCAAAGTGGCCGTTCTCCACGGCATCGATCAGTGGTGTGTCGCGATCGCTATTCTGACAATCCGTTCGGCAGCCTTTCTGAAGCAGAAACTTAACGACGTCTGGAAATCCGTTCAGTGCGGCTTTTTGCAATGGCGTGATTCCCGCGTAGTCTTGCTGATCTAATTCGTCGGGCGCGGCATCGTACGCACCCTGCACAGTCTTTAGATCGCCTTTCTCGCATTCGCGGGCTAGTCTCGTGGCACCGAAACGGTCGACATTCTTCTTGTGCGGCATTGATCTAGCAGGAGACGTTGCGGAGCGATAGATCAACCTCTTGAGGCGCGGCTGCTGCGCGGCAGAAGTTCTCTCTTGAGGTTGTGGAGAGGATGCGTCCGACGAAGAGTCCGAATGGCGTTCCTTGGATTTGCGTGGACCTACTGTAGACTGTGACGATGCCGACCTCTTGTGCGCTTTCAAGTCAGGTGACGCAGGTTGGGTGGTCTTGAGTTTCTGTCGAGGCGGCAGCGGCACATCGTCATTTCGCTTGCGCTTGCGTGAATCTGTTGTCGAGGCGCTTCTCTGCCGAGTGGAGGTCGTTCGCGTTGGTGAAGGCGAGATCTGCTGTCGCGCAGGGCTTGCGGATGTGTGAGATGGTGCACGGTTGCTTGGCGAGGTTGGTGGTGAAGTAGAGTCACTGTAACGACTGTCGCTGCCCTCCGCAGTGTGATCCACTCCGTTGCTCTTCGGCGCGAGTTCCTGTGGCGATGCAGAAATTCCAGCGGAAAGTGCGAGTGGTGAATGTGATTCCGCGCCCTGTGCGCGTTGCGTCACTCCGGCAGCTTGCGATGACGAAACATCTCCGATCTCTTGCTTCACGCGATCGTCACTCTCGTGCTTCACTGATTTGCTCTTCCTCTTGGCCTCGTGTTTTTCGCTCTCCGACAGCACCACCGTCTCCGCCTCGGACTCGTCCTGTGCATGGTGGGAAATTGGTGAGTTGTGGCCATTGGGGATATGCGCTGCGGTAGATCCAGAAGCATGATTAACGAGTCCATCGCTAAGAACAGACGACGACGGCGGTGGAGATGCTGAGGTTGTAAGGCTCGGAGCATGAGGCGGTGTAGGAGGTCGATGAGAGTACGGCAAGCCTTGTTTGGGGTCGGCTGGCGAAAAGCGATGAGAATCCACAGCACCACTAGCAGTACTGTTCATTACGGAGACACTGGCAGTTGTCGCGGTTTCTTCAACATTGTGGCCCAGCCTGAAGTGGTGCTAGAACTGCTCCTCTAATAGCAGTGCACTCTGTGTGAGGTAGCGCCGCAAGAGAGGGCGGAGAGTACTGGGTACGGGCTTTTCCGTGGGCGTGTGGGAGACGGAGACGGAGACGTAGCGTAACGGCGGGTTTCGTGTCGCGTTCGAGTCGTCGCACTCGGCTGTCGTTTGAGGGTGTCGCTTTCGGTGTTTTCGAGGCTCTGGAGTAGTGGAGTAGATTAGTTTGGGAGAAGAGGAGCAAAGGCGTGGGGAGGATGCGACCGAGGGCAAGGCGCTGCTGACTACGACGCTTGGCTTGCAGGAGAATCAGGCCTCCCGTTGTGATTCGTCCGAGGTGCAACGTTCATCTCCGCCGCAAAGCATCCATGGATGGTGTCGAAGCCTGCAGCAAGCCCGAGACGGCCGGGTGGTGCCTTTTCAGCCTGCTGTTGTGGCGTCGTTGTGCCAGAGAATGCCTTGCCGATTTGGCTGACATCCGACCAAAATGCTACCACCCACGGTACGCAAACCGCTGTCATGCACAGTAGCTCCGCGCTGATTTCCCATTTCCCATTTCCCATTTGCAACACATTCTCCCCACACGGTTGACCTGACCGCCTGGATAGCTGGATAACCAGATGGACGCAGCCCAAGCACTGAGGGCGAGCTTTCTGTTCGCAGCCGCCGGTGTAGTCGACGACTGAGCCCTAATGTTGGCTTTCCACTCACCGATGCCAGGTGCTCTTAGTTTACCTCCTGCCAGCCCTTCGCGGACGCTTCCTGGCGTACGGCTCTCGCGCATCCTCCAATTCACCAGACTCAAAGAAGAGCGATGAGAGGACACCGCGAGCTCCCCAGAGCCAAACGCTCGTCAGCCGGTTCCTCGACCATCTGGCAATTTACCGAGTTCCCCACAGCTGGTTCATCCACTTCTATATCCTCTCCGTTGTCTCCTCCCTCTTTTGGGCGCATCAGATTCTCAACAATGGCTACTTCTTCAATCTCGTTGCCTCTTTTGTGCACCAACGCAGAACTAGCATGACCGCCAACCAGGTTCTACTCACGTGGACTCTCATGCTTGCTCAGGGCATGCGCCGGCTCTACGAAAGCGTTGCGTTCTCGAAGCCCTCGAAAAGCCAAATGTGGATCCCACACTGGCTTCTCGGGCTGCTCTTCTACATGATGATGAACATCGCCGTCTGGGTAGAGGGCGTGCGTATGTCTGCCCTTTCCTAATATTTGCACTCCTTGCGCTTCGATCGCCCAATTTCTCTATCAAGATCGTTGCTGAAGAATTCCTACGATACAGCCACCCTCCTCAACCACAAACCACGTGCTCTACACGACCTCCCTTTCCTCTCCATCCTGCCGCTCTCCCTCCGCACCTCCCTGGCAGTCCCCATTTTCCTCCTGGCAAGCGGTATCCAGCATGCTGCCCACCACCATCTCTTCACACTCCCCTCGTCGCCAAACTACGTTCTCCCTACCCATCTCGTCTTTAAGCACGTCCTGTGTCCGCACTACACGGCCGAATGCGTTATCTACCTTTGCCTGTCCGTCATCGCCGCGCCAGTGGGCCAGCCGGTGAACTGGACCGTATTCTGCGGACTTGTTTTCGTGGCTGTGAACCTGGGCGTCACGAGCGTGGGGACGCGGGAGTGGTATGTCGCGCGTTTTGGGAAGGAGAGGGCTGGGGAAAGAAAGGGTATGGTGCCGGGGTTGTTTTGAGGCGTGGGTGCAGTTCTGATTGAGTTTGGTGTATTAAGTCGCGTGCCGCGGTACGGGGCTGTTATCTGGTCGGTACCAGGCAGAGCAAATATGAGGCGACGCACCGAAAAGCATTTCCTCTGCCTCTCGCTGGTTTCGAAGCACGGTGCGTCTGGGTTGTAGAGGCCTTCAACGTATTGTCACATTCTGTGGAAGGATCCCAAGTAGGGCTCGTCCAGAAATACTGAAACCTGCTGAAGCGCAGCATCATCACGCGTTCACAGAGCCGAATGGACAGAGGTCCTGCCTTACCTACAAGGGACGCTCAACAACTCCAAAACCGCCGCCACGCAATGTACGCCAACCGAGATGATGTACGGTTCCAAGGCAAGAACCGATCCGCTCGCGGCTCTAGACCAAGTCAGCATGGATGACATCCTAAGCCTCAGAAAGCAAGCACGGGACCTCGCGAACGAATCCATCGCCTTTGCCTCAGCAACGTCCAAGGTTTACTACGACGCAAAACACAAGCCGCTACGCCTTAAGGAAGGAGACAACGTGTTTCTTAAACTGCATCAAGGCTAAAAGGTCCATGGGCACGCCTCCAGGAAGCTTTCGAATCAAACGCTCGTCCTCGTCCTTGGGCTCCCTTCTGGGTTTTCGGCTGTCGAGGTTGTGAGCGTTTTCCGGCTTGTGCCACCGGTCGTGTTTCTGTGGTTTCCGGCGGTGTCGTGTTCGGTCCTGCGTCCTTCATTTCCTCCTTTTCTAGCATTTGGAGAATACGCCTCCATGCAGGGTCCTCCGGATATCCTTCGGCCACCTTCTGCTCGAATTCCTTTGATACCTCGATGATGGTTGCTTGGAACGTCAGCGCCTCTAACGTGTCATCCGGATCCTTTGGATCGACTTTCTTTTCTCCCATCATCTTCTCATGCAAGATTGAAGCCTCCAGCATCACTGTACCAAAGAAGACTGATAATGAGGGAAGTGAGGTGACTACCAGAGAAGAACGACGGGTGAATGGAAGGGGACAGGAGTAGCGCAGCCGATAGAATATCTACCATAGCAAGGAGCTATACGCCGCTCTCATCTCGCTACTCACAGAGGGGCTGGAGTTGGCGGCTGCGGGAGGCTGGATGCGGAGATCCAGCAGTGGTGAACGAATGGAAGATGGTCTTCTGGCTGTCCGCTCCTCTGGATAATATTTTCCGCTATGCTAGAGTGGCATATTTATGCACATGCAGCGCCGCCATGGAACTTGGGGTCGAGGGCGTAGTTGAATGTCCTGTCACGTGGCTGTCAATTGATGCGACCTCGCATTGCGGCATCTGGGCCTTCTCGCAACCTCAATAGTGGGCAACTTGGGAACGTTCTTAGCCAACAATACCTGGAGCTGAACCTCGTGTGATGAAACCCATCGGTTTGCTGCTCGGCCCTCGATGCAATGATCTTCTCAATAGCGTTTAAGTCACATCCCTTGCACCTATACGCCCGATTTCTGTATCTTTTAATTTCATGACCACACATCTAATGAGGCTACAGATGAGCCGGTAGTGAGAATTTTGAATTTCATACCGGTTATGTACAGTGAGATGGTACACAAAGGCGACCAACCCGAGAACACTAACTGATACAGGCACACCTCGACGTGACAACATGCCAGTTCATGACTTCCGACTCATCGACGCTCAAGGATCGATCCACTCTCCAACGGACTGCGTGCAACAGTCGTTCCCACCTACGCAGAAGGGGATTGAAAAGCCGTTCAGCTTCAAGCATTGGTTCTTGTCCAGACACTCGTCCGCGTGGTTCGCTATGCGACTCGCGCCTACACTTCCAAGTCCGCAGCCAACGCCAATAGGAATGCCGACCTGGGGAGCGACAAAAGACGCGACTGCGGAGACCACTATGCAAAGATCCATCCCCGATTCTATATCCTGATAGAGATCTTTGATCTTTTTGGTTGCTTGACGAGAAAAGATGACGCCGTCCGGGCCGGTGGCTGGCACGGACCTTGCATAAGGGCACGTCGGCTTCGGCTTTGGGTTTGATACCGCTGCAACAAAGAAGTGTTAGCAGGTTGGTTTCTCTTCTAATTACAAACACGGGCTTGAAGCGTGGTGGTTATTACGTACGTGCTTTTACGCAGCATTGCACGTTGCGTGGGCCAGGACATAGCCCCTTCTCGTAACGTCCACCCACACACTTGATCTTGCTGCTGTCATAGCAATTGCCGGCCGAACTTATGAGTGGTGCCGGATTGACTTTGGTGCAGCCTTTGCCGACACAGCATTTGACATCGTTCGGGTCATTGGGACAAGCGCCAGTGACGGTGAACCCTGGTCATCAGGTCAATTGAAGTCCGGTGAAAGGAGGTCAAAAGTTCGTACCTGAGGTGCAGTGGCTGACTTTCTTACAGATGCCGGAACCCTCCTTGGAGTTACATTTATCGCCAATTTTCGCCAGTGATGTACCCGCAAGGGAGAAGAACAGCAGGTAGAGTAGCTTCATGTTTGTGTATAAGGTTGAAGGTGGTTTCGCTCAGCGAAGAAGACAGAGATGAACAGGTTTTGATATAAAGTGCTGACCAGAGCTGCCTTGCTTGAGCAATGAAGATGTCCTACCTGTGGGCCTTCATCGTATTTGTACTTGATGTCCTAAGGATGCGAATATACACCTACAATGCATTCATACTCAGTTTTGGACGATACGAGGCATATGATGATATTTTTGGAGAGATGCACGCTTTCTACCCGAGTCTCCTCGTTTTCAAGATGGCTGAAACTGGCCAGCATCAGTCCAAGGCATTGCAGAACACCGACTGGCTCGTTGGTAATATGCAGGACTACCACTTATTAAGAATACGAAGAAGACGGCAAGCGAAGGAGAAGATAGTCTGTAAGCGATTCCACCCTTTAGCCATGACTTCATATCGTTGGAGATGAACAACAAGGCTACAAGTTGACAGGCTGCAAAATCCGGGGCGCAGCGCTGGGTTCAAAGGATGTGATTGGTGCGTAAAAGCTTAGCGGCGGCTGTCCCTGCAAGTCCAGGGGGCCGGTCCCTCATATCTGCATAACATTGATCTTTAAATAGAGCAGCCTTACCTTTAATTTCCAGAGCACGGGGATAGACCCACCACTCTATGCTCGTTTGCACCAGTTGTTAGCGGAGCCAGATATAGCTTGGGAGGCAGAGATGTCGTCAAGTGCCGAAGACCACACCAGTCGGCTCAATCTCAGACAATAGGCCACGATGGATACGAGGCCAGTACCGTTGAGATGCTCCTCATAATCTCTCATCGCTAGGTACCTGCATGTTCTGAGAGCAAGTCAGGGCAACCGCGTTCTCCCGCACTACTCGCACTCGACTCTCTGTCGCTGAGGCAAGGTCCCTCTTCAACACAACCCGTCGGACCGAACCGCGGAGGCCTCATTCGCATGCAATGCATGTGCGCGATTATCTAGGTATCTACATGGCCTTGACACCCAAAACGGGACAGTGTCTGGTATCCTACTCAGTAAAGCAGTCTTGCGGCCAGAAAACGCATTCACGCTATGTGATGACGTTCGTAAACAGCGTATTCACAAAGCGGTATTAGGGACACGATCGCCATCGGGCACTGGAGGAGCGGGCTGGGAGCAACATCACGCATTTGCAATTTTTTGGAGTGAAGAGAATTCAAGCTGTCCGGTGACATCCTTGCTTGTTCCAGGCCGGCCACTTCTGGAAAGCCATGCGTGAGCGGCGGCAGTCATAACGATCTACCATACCCTCGTATGTAGTGTCATGTTTTCCGGAACAGGTCTCGCACTTTTTACGGTTTTGGATACCACTCAACCAGTCCTTGATGACAGGAGTGTGCAGCAGAGCATCATGGAATCGCGAAGTAGGCCATGTGGGAAGCTTGTGACAGCGAGCCTGCCCAGGTGGAAAGGGCACCGTTTTCGTGCCTGGGCAGATCACGTGCCACCATCAACCTCTTGTAATCATACGATTGGGCTCCACCTCATCCTCACCGCTATGCTAAGTCCGTGATACTAGGCGCTCCGTCTGCCCTCAGCTACCTTGATCAACTTCGCCTAGCGGTCGCTCGGTCGATATACAGGCCCTCAGACGGCTGGTCTTCCTTAAGGTCGAGCAGTCGTACGCCTAACCCCGCTATGCCGCTCTACGCCTCTTTCCCGTTATTCTCTAGCTGCCTCTTGTCAGCCCCAATCCACAGATATCTCATCAGGGCGTCATCTTTGTGAGAGTCTACTCAGAGTTTTGTAAGCTTGGTAATGGTCGTAGTCATTCAAACTCGTTGTAGAGCCAGCGTGTCCAACAAACCGTCTGACGGTCGGAAACGGTTGGACGGTCGGCTATATCGCCGACCAACCGTCGAGCAATTTATAACCGTCCAACCGTCCGCGAGGAGCCGACGGTTGGGGTTGAAACGGTTAAACGGCTTGGCATGGTGTTGCTGGTAGTTAAGGCTCTAGAAAGCAATCACGTGGTGCTCTTATCGCCTTGGAAAGTCACGTGATGATAAAATAAGATCGGAGTACCTACCCACGTCGTACGCATAAAAAGCCTCACCGCAAACACTGAAACCTGATGTTTCGTCAACACTATCTTGTCGGAAATATTCATAACTACATAGCTAACTTAAAGTCAAGGTATTTGAGGTAAGTTTCTAAGTATGACGTAGCTTTTTAGACCATGTTGTGGATGTTTAACTTGATGTTTAGAGCATTCATGTTGGTATGCCCTGGATTTTGTGAGGCCATTTATGCGCACGACGTGCTACCGTCCAACCGTCTAACGGATCAATTCTTGACCCCGGTCGCCGTCCAACCGTTGGTATGACCCCCGACCGACCGTTTTGAACCAAGGGCCGGCAAAAATGAACGCGGCGGGTTTTTACCAACACCGGCAGGTGCCGTTCAGAGCAAACAAGGGAGGGCGCACACGATACTAGAAACCTAACACCACGCCAAGACTAGTGATACTGCGGCAGCAAGATTAATTTGACGAAATCATATTATATCACGTTACTGAAGTGTTGTTCTCCGTGGGTCTAGTAGTAGATTACTATAGTAGTGGTGGGGAACGGCACCTGCCGAAAACCCGCCGCGTTCATTTTTGCCGGCCCTTGAACCCTCCGACGGCGACGGACGGTTTGTTGGACACCCTGTGTAGAGCTACCACGAAGGGGTCTCAACGTAGGCTAGACAACATATACCCTTCGCAACCATGGAGAGTACAAAGGGGAGCTCTTCTACCTTGGGTTTTGCTATTCATCTCGTTCAAGGATCCGGATCCAATCATCTTGCACCTTACAGTCCTCTACTGCAACCGTCATGCTCTTCTCACTGGTCTATGGCATTCTGGCTGCGGCTCGTGCCACTGCAGCACCCCAAGGTCCCGCTGCCTCGAACACGGTGAACGCACCTCAATATGCTCCTGTTCCGACCGGTGCCTTCGGCCCCAATCTGACAGCTGCTGGCTATCGTGTTGAAACCTTCGGCGGCGGCGCCTATATGGTTACGGACAACCTGTACCAGGCCTTGTTCCTTGTTTCCGACGAGGGTGTCATCGTCGTCGACAACCCGCCTACAATCGGCATGAACATGATCTACGCTGTTGGGAATGTTACCGATGCTCCCATCACCCACGTTGTCTACAGCCACGCCCATGCGGACCATATCGGAGGCGCCTTCTTCTACGGCGACAACATTACGATCATTGCGCATAGGGACACCGAGGAGGAGTTAAGCCTGACTCCGGACCCGAATCGTCCCCTGCCAGATGTAACATTTACAAAGCGCCACAAGGTGTGCGTTGGCAACCAAACGCTGGAGCTCGAATACAAAGGTCCCAACCACCAACCGGGCAACATCTTCATCTACGCCCGCTCGCAGAAAGTCCTCATGCTTGTCGACGTCGTCTTCCCGGGCTGGGTCCCCTTTGCCTACCTCGCACAGTCGCAGAACATCCCCGGCTGGATCTTGGCGCATGATCAGATCCTTGAATACGACTTCGACTACTACGTCGGCGGCCACCTAACTCGGTACGGCGTGCGCGCTGACGTTGAGACGCAGAAAGAATACGTCTTGGACTTGAAGAACAACTGCGAGCAGGCGCTCATCCTCAGCACCCTGCCTCCCAACGCCACCAACCCCATCTCCGCTTTCGTTATTGTTCCGGCCGTCTTTGAGACCAACCCTGGGAATGTGTGGGCATCGTTCAGAGAATACGAAGATGCTGTCGCGCGGTACTGTGAGATGGTCACGAACCAAAAGTGGTTGACGCGCCTAGGAGGTGCGGATGTGTATGGGTTCTCGAATGCGTATCAGATGGCCGAGTCGCTTCGCATCGACTACAATATTCTTGGACAGTTTGCAGGCTCGACCTGAAAACACATTGTGCTGGGGAAACCGGATCTGGATGATTTGATCAATGTACTCTCGATCCCGTTGTCCCGCACGATGCAAACCGGTAGATATAGGGCCTGTGTGATACCTTGCTAGTTCAACGTCAGCATGTACCTCAGAAGGATTATCTTATTTTAACTTTATGTATAACACGTATAACAAATCAAATAACTCACCCTATTCAGTCTTAAAAATCAGCAAGAAATGAAGATAAAGCACCTCGACACATATCATCAAAGACATGCCAGCACGAAAGCAATCGTTGTCCTTGATTACTCTGGATCATAAGTACGAGTAGTCTTGCCCGCTTCCTGTGCTTCACGTTCTGCTGCCTGGCGTGCCGGCTACACCTCGGTATATATCCCATTAAAGCCTTCGTATTTATAGAGGACAAGGTTTTTAATAAGAAAGCGGTGCCAGTTGCCAACTCATCGTTGAACAGCCACAACATCTGATATATACGCATTTTTTATCGTAATACGCAGCTGGATTGCATGCTTTCTCATCCATGAAAGATGTCGTGCTTTGAAGCTGATGTTACGAAGAGGAAGTCGTGATATTTTGATGCTTAGTTAGCAGCGTCGCTTCCTCACTAAAAGTCCCGTCCTTTGTACACAAGCACATCAGTTGCTCTTTTAGTTTTCAATCACACTCGCATATCCACCTTCCACAGAATAACAGCAATGGACAGGCTGTCACTAGAAATACTCGCCATTATCGTCTCGTACTTAAATCCTTCCGATTTCATAGAATACGTCTCTGTCTCACGCCAATGGCAATTCGCAATCGAACGTTACACTTTCCGTTCCCTTCGACTCAAGAGCGACGACTATGACTTCTTTACCAGAGTCTGCTCTGATAGTCACCGCGCTGCTGCTATCGCGGAACTAGAATACGATGTCATCCTTCCGGCCTATTCTGACGAACAGTGCGCCAAGTTCGAGAGCGAGAAGGACGAGAAGGCAAACAACGAGGCCTTCACTAACGCTATTAAGCGCTTGTTCGAGACTCTACACCTATGGGGAAATCCGAGCAACGACGGCGCACATAAGATGAGGGGACGGCCCATCATGTTGTCTCTGGGTGCCTACTCGACGACTGATCCGCGATATAGGGAAGCCAAATTTTGACCGCGGGACCTATGGGAATTCCGATATGAGAACTCGTACTTGACAGTATTGAATCCGGATGAGCTACCATCGATCGAACGCATCGTTGGCTTTAAATGCTTTAGAGGCTCGCGTAAGATAGATGCGGCTACCGCAGCTGCTATTGCTTCCAAGTTCCCGGCCCTGGGGAGTGTGTACTGTAACCTTGAGGACGCGGTTTTCACAAGAAATACGCCGCGGTATCAAAAACGTTGTGGTATGCTGAGCTTCCGCTCCCGATTAAGCCTGAACGCGCTGTCCAAGACGCACGTAGGGTATTACCAGGATCTTAGTAACCTACTGATGTTTTACTGTAGATTTTGCTCGAGCGCTCTCATCGATTAAGCCATCCAACCTTAAAACCTTCAGACTCCACTATCCCTTCCACGAACCACGAAACGAGGACATTGTTATTCCCGACGCCGTTCCGCCAACTTCCTTTCCCGACAACGACCCCCTTAGCTCAGCACTATATAGCCTTTCCCTGCTTCCCAACCTCGAGACTTTCCACCTATCGGGCCCAATCGGTGTAACCCCAACCCTTTTCGGGCCTTCGGTTTCCGTCAACAAAAGCAACACCCCAAACACGAGCCCGTCCATGTACCCGAAACTGCAAGCGTTCACCGTCGAGCTGAGCCGCGTAACTCCCTCCGGCGACCTGCTCTTTGCTGGCCACGCCGACTCCGACTCTGACTCCGCATCCGACTCCGACGGACACGGCGACGATACATACGGCGACGACGTCATCGACACCGTCACAAACGCTGTGCCCCACGAGCCCGAACCCGATCCGACAACCCTCGCCTCCCACTCTCCAGGCGGAAGCGCCAACGCCCTAGGCCACAACACCTCCAGCGCCTACGACCGCGCGATCGCCATCGGCGCACATCGCGTTCGCCTGTTCCGCAAGCGCATCGTCCTCGAGCTCTTCGACCCGTTCGTAGCCGCCTTTTCGCGCGCGCTGTACCGCATGCCCGCCCTCGGACACGGCCACCTGCTGCTGGGGTGTTCCGGGGAAGAGCTATCCGCGGGCGTCGAGGTGCTTGCTGTCGGGGCCGGCGCGAACGGGATCTGGGACCATCCGGCCGAGAAGGCGGCGAGGAACAGGATGAGGGTTACGATGGGGTGGAGGAATGGGTGGGTTGTCCCGGCGGAGGTGAGGGAGCTGTGGGATCAGTGGGTTGGTGGGGGCGGGACGTTGAGGATCAACGGGTGAGATGGGCCGCTTGACACAGATAGCAAATGCGATGGATGCATGCGGTCGGTAGTGATAGGAAAAGGGCGACACAGATATAAAGCCTCGTTTCTTCGGTTTGAAAGAGCCAACGCTTTCACCACTGAGGTTCCTACTAGATGAATACGTGATGGTCAAGCAGTAGGCGGACATTCACTACGTATATGAGACGCTCGATCGAGAGGGAGAAACAAGATGAGATGCGCAGTCAAGAGTCAAGCACACGACAAAAGAGATGCGAGAGCACATGCAACTTTCCGCAGGAGAAACTAAGCTAAAGAGACGCAAACTATGCATCATCGTCAACGGCATGCAAAGGAATGCTGGGATGTAGGTATAGAAGGGAGGTTCAAAAGAGATACACACATACAACGATGAGTCATCAGAGATATTATAAAACGTAGAATCACACCACCAACATCACGTATCTCCATAAGACGCATGCAGCGCAACTGCGCTAGGAATAGGAAAAGTACGCACGCATCACCGCTCAGTCGGACTCAGCACATCCTTCTGCATCCTATCCTCAACCCCCTCCTCGCCCCCTGTCTCCGCCGCCGTCTTGAAGTCCACAGCCGCAAACGTCGGCTTCTCGACCTGCGTCTTCCCCTCCCCCGTCTTCTCCGCAACCGCGCTGCCCGACTCCGTCGCCGCCGCAGCCGCAAGCCCCTTATCCGGCACAGGCACATCAGCCTCCTCCGTGGTCGCGCCCGGCGCCGGAGCCGGTGCCGTCTCTGACGTCGGATCATTGGAGCCGTCAAAGCCCTGCGGATGGCCCGCCGAGATACTGTGGTGCTCGGCGTCGTGATCTCTGCCGCGCGGTATAGAGTGCTCCGGCAGCTCTCTCAATGGTGGCATCTTCTGCGCGTCTGCGGCCTGCTTGAGGTGTTCGAACTCGAGGAGGGAGCTGCGGCGGAGCGTCTCGAGGCGCTCGATGGGGTTCTTGAGGGGCGAGGACGAGAGTCAGCTTGAGGGTTCTGCTGGGGATAACGCGGGAGATGGAGATGTGGCAGGAGTGCGACGGGGAGAGCGCCGTATGGCGTCATGGTGCTTTTTTACGGCTGCGAGATAGCTGGGGAGGTTGTAGCTCATGAAATTTGGCTGCTTTGGAGGAGGTGGAGGAATAGAGACGCTGGTAGTGATAGTGGTAGTAGTAGATGGCGCAGATGGCACAGATGGTATAGAGCTTGCGGAAGCAGCGGGAGCGGAAGCGCTCGGCGCCGTGGAGGGAGGAGCACGTGAAACGCTGGATATAGGTGGGGATAATCGTCGCGCACCGGCACGGAAGGCAGCTGCGCTTTGAGACCTGTAACCACAAGATGGACATACCCATTCGGCTTGATCTGGCACCCCTTCCGCCGCGGGCAGCTGGCCCTCAGCATTGCGCTCCTCGCCCCAGAATGTCGATCTGCGTCGCGGTGCTGGCGTCACTGGCAGGCTAGGTCTTTCGACCTCGGTGGGAAAGTCTGTGAGAATAAGGCTGGCGCGCCGTTGTTCTGGGGTCACGCCGAGCGCGTCAGGGGATACGAGTTCAGATCGCATGTTAGGCGCGGGTATACCGATAACTCTGGGCCTATTCTTTCTTTGCTGGATGTCGACGACATTCTGCACGTAGCGGTTGATGTCTGGCATCGCGTCCCACACATTGGTGCTGGAGGCGAAACCCTGGAAAGAGGTCTCTTCTTCCGACGGCGCTCCTCCAATCTGCCCACTTTCAGCAGACTCAGCGCCAGGCTGCATAGTTGACGCTGCCGGTTCGGGCGTTGGCGACGGCAGGTCTTCTGCGAAAACTCGACTCGGTGGCGGTACGTCACGTTCCTTTTCCCATGGGAAAATGGGCGGCGGTCTCTCTTCAACCTTTGGTTTGCTTTTGGGCACCTCATACCACATGTCTTTCGGTGGTTCAGGGTATGCTGCAGGCGCATGGAAGAGTTCCTTGCTTTCGTTAAACTCATACTGTTCACCTGGGTTGAAATTGGCGGCTTCAGGTTTGGATTCGGCAGGCGGAGCAGAGCTGTGTAGAATTAGATACGGCGCTTTCCTGCCTTAGCTTCCCCGCCACTTACCGCGTTGCATCCCACTCCATCTGAGGAGCGGAGAACCTGCGTTGCTCTGAGGTTGGCACTGGGGCGACTAAGCCTTGGTCTATGTTTTCAGCAGGCTCTCCAGGGCTCGATGTGGGCCGTTCGCTCGTCATGAAGGGACGCTCTGGCTCCGGCTCTTTGATACGTGGCGCGTTGGCGACTTGTTGTTCCGGCGTGTACTTGTAATCGGGGTGCGCTGCCTCGCCGTGAACATACTGTGCGATTATCGAAGCCCGCGACGGCTGACCGTAGGCCGAGGAAGAGATCTGTCCACGTTAGCCTGTGCAGCTATACTACCCTTCGAAGACCTACAGCTTTTGGCTTCAAGCGCCTGTCGAAAACAGCCCACCACCTGCCGAGGAGTTCGTTGTACACTCCTGGTCCGGACCCACTTGGCCTGCCTTTGCTCCATGGCTTTTCTTTGCCAATGAAATGTACCGCACTGATATTGCTCTTGTAGTGCCTGTATGCCGGCTCCCACTGATACTGAGCGTTTGGAGTGCAGTTGTACGTGAAGCTGATCCGGTGCCAATTTTTGTGCTCGTAGTACTGATTCAGCAAGCCCTGATCAGCACCGTCGAAGCTGTCGCCGCTTGTTGCCATTGTCTGCAAGGCCCAGTAGTCGCCCATGTTCGGACTCAGCACCATGACACCGGTGTTGAAAGCATCTGGCCAGCCAATGTCTGGTGCTGCGGCAAAAGGTGCCTCGATGTTGAACAGCTCATCGGGAGCTCTGAGGACTACGACATCCGAGTCGAGGTATACTATCTTCCGGAACCTGTCTTGCCGCCACAGCGCGATCTTGGTGAAAGCGAAGGCAAGGTCAGGCCTGCCCATGAGGTAGAGGTTTGCGGGGTTGGGGTTCGCTATGCGGTCTACGGGGATCAGCTCGTCGTACAGCTTCTGCGAGGAGGTTAGTAGAAGAACAACAAGTACCAATGGCTGGTAGCAGTACCTTGAGCTCGCTGATGGTATCAGCGGATAAGGTGTCCAATGTCACCAAGATCACGAGCTTCTTCTTCGTGCCAGCATCCCGTAGAGAGTGTGCAAGTACAGCGGCACCTTGTGGCTCGGTCAGATAATTCGATTGCTCCTGCACAGCGAGCCGTCATACCAGGTAGATAGGCATCGCTCATCAGAAGCTGCACACGGTTAGCTGCTTGACGGCGGCCGGTACACGATGGCTCTGCTTACCGTGCAATACACGTCCTCCCCGTAGGTCGCCATGGCGAAGCTTCAGAGAGTGAAAGTCTTCGTGTACAGAGCTGCGATGAGGTTGCTGGAGGCTGTAAAGCTTGATGGCGGTGCCGCAAAAGTTCCCCCGCTTTGGCCTGAGGAAGATGTGCAGATCACACGACGGTGATGCAAGACGCGGACACGGATCAACGTCTAGGGCGAATTGGATGCTAGGGGCTATTTCATAGGGAGATATCTACAGAAAGCATTCGGAGGAGAGGTTGCAGAGCGGGCGAAGGAAATGAAGAGGGTGTTCCCTCGAGCGGGACAGAGCTGGGAGAGCTCGAGCCATGGCAACAGCTCAAAGTTTCGTGCATCGGACACGGATGAGGGTTAACTCGCTTAACGTAGCGCTCGAGGGACCCATGGCGTCAGTGGGGCTTGTGTCAAGCTAGAACCGTCCACGCCGTTTTTGTGCTGCCGATATTCGGCTTCAATTGAAACGGCTCTCCTTTCGTGCACAGAGACGGGTTACCGCCAGCGCTCGATTGCGATGAAGCTCCAGATGTCCACAGCTACATACAGCTTGCTTCCTCCGAGCCGCGGCGGGAGCTTTCTCACCACAGCTGGTTCCCTGCAAGATGGCGCATGCAGGTTGCGCTAGGCGCTAGTGTGGAGATGTCCCGTGCCAGTTTTACGCATAAGATAACCACCAAGACTCAAACACGGATGCTTGGCCGTAGAACCCTGGATACATGGGTACCCAGGTAGAGTACAAGGGGGGAGGTATCTAAGTACTGTACCGTTGTGCTTCGCAAGCTACAGCAACGTCGCCAACAACGCTCTGCCTAAAGTACATGATTGTGCAACGCTACCTATATTGCACCTACCTGTTTTGGTGCGTTGCTTCATAGCTCACGATAGCCAATACCGCTCATCAGTGCACCCTCTCAGCGCTCAACCGTGACTTTGGCCCCCGGGAACTTCTGCAGTCTCTCGCGCACAGTACCATGTTCTCCCTCCAGCGCCCAAGCCGTGACCTCCTCCAACACCGCCGCTCCCTCCTTCTCGCTCGGCGTCCAGTGTCCCGCCTCAGGCAGCGTGACCATCTGGCTCTCTCTGCCGAAGTAATCACCAATGCCCTCAAACGCCAGCGTTGGATCAACAGCGACGTCTTTCAACCCCACCACAAACGTCACTTTCGCTTTGAGTGCGCCTCTGGGCCCGTCTTCGAAGAGTCCAGCACCGCTACTGGACCGTCTACGCCCACCGGCCCGCTCGAGGTTGCTCACTGATACCACCGTCTCGATGGACTTGTCCCACGATCCAGTGGCGGCGCCCTCGCGGTAGTAACGGATCTTCTCCGACCAGCCGCCGGACGGTGCGCGGCGTCTGACATGCTCGGAATAGCCATCGCCTGCACACTGCTCGGCACTCGGACCCAGAGACTGCGCCATGGCTTCCGCCAATTCGGTGCCTTCGAGGGGATGCTTCGACTTGGCTGCGATCTGGTGCAGCAGGCGGAGAACGTAGTAGTTGCCGAAGGAGCCGAATGCGTTCGCGAGCGGGGCGGGGAGAAGGAAGATGAAGACGTAACCGGACTTTTTGAGCTGAGTGAACACTGGGGAAAGAGTTGATGCGGCGGTGCGGATCAGTCTGAGGGAACGGGGTTGGCCGGCTCCAGATTTTAGCATCTGCATGGCGGAGTTCCAGCGGCCTTGGATGTTTGCGAGGAGGAGGGTGGGCTATATGTTGCTTAGTACGGAACCCGCTAGCGGTGGATTGAAACTTCAATTGGGATGTAAGACAGATAAATAGCTTAGGCGTCAGGAAAGTAAAATTTACAAGTAATCGTAACGAATGTGAGTCATTGAGCGAGATTAGGCGAGAACGATAGAAGAGAAGCCTTATAAGTACATCGCCATTGACGGAAACTTACCAGAAAGACGCTACTGGTGATGAACCGATCAGCTAGTTGAGGGGCCTCAGCAGCGAGTCGAAAAGCGATTGCTGCGCCCCAGTCATGGGAGACGATGATGACCTTGCCTCGTTCTGTCGGGCTGCCCTGGGCCTCACCGGTGTACTCCTCCCTCATGCAAAGGATGAAGGCAGTGATGGTCTCCAGGACGGTTGTGGCATCGTATTGCGGAAGTCCATCGCTGCCGCCGTATCCCGGAAGGTCCAAAGCTGCAAGGACGGCGTTCTGAGCCAGTCTCTTTGAGCGCAAGAGATTCTGCCAGAGGACCCAACTGTCCGGGAAGCCATGGAGGAAGATGACGAGGTTCGTCGGTTGCCCAGGTCGGCCTGCAGGTGGTCCGGTTGTGACATAGTGGAGCTTGACGCCGCTCGACAGGATGAAGAAGTCATGTTTAAGGCCATACGGATTTTCTGTGAGGTCCCAAAACTTGTGTCGAGCTAGTAACGTTGATTAGCACAGGCCTCATCAAGCTGCTGAGCTGAAAGATACCAGTGGAGAGCTCCTTCTTCGCTTTTTCTGACGTCCGACGGAAGATTGATCCTTCCTTTACCGCCAGGATGAGGAAAGCAGCATAGCTGAACAGGCCATAGAGGAGGCCACAGCCCTTCAGTAGGTATTTCGACAGCATGCTGAGGCGAGCTTGCGTGGTCAATCATTAAAGACCATTGGTTTTGACATGCAAGTGGGTAGATAGTACGCAGCCCGTTGCTATCCGAATGAGGCCGGCGGACGTTGTGTGAAGGCAGTTCGGCGGTTCTCTGTGGAAGGAGGTTGCTCCTCCTTTACTCGGTCACGGGAAATCATGGTGCAGCAGGAGAAGCGTCCGCGTGCTGTGCGCCCGCCCAAATGAGCAAGGGCGAGTGAAAGTTGAGATCATTGCTGTTTACAGAAGCTTCCAGTTCATTGCTGCCGGCGCGCGCGCATCGTTGCCAAGTCGGCATCACCTGCAGCCTTGTGTCAGGGCTCAAGACGGTGCGGCTTCCGAGCCAGAGATGCAGCAACGACCTTCAGACATGTGAACTCACAGCTGTCTCTTCCAGATGCGATTAATCCCTCCGGAGCTCGGACAGCATGCCTCCCCACCGTCGCCGGTCTTCGCTTCAGTTGCGCCTCCACTCGCATTCCTCATCCTATACGCCCTATCGGCCGCCGGAACGCCTGTCGAACATTCGTTACTCATAAGCGCGACATCTTGGGGCATTGTGTGGCTATACAGCAGCCTGAGAGTCGGAATACGGGCGGGAACTGACAAGAATGGGGTGCGAGGAATGTACAGCTGGGCGGCTGGCGTGCTATTTGCGCTTGCGCAAGTCTGCGAGCGCGCTGCAAGGGACAGGCAGGGCATATGGATCACAAAGGTCTTCTTAACAATTGGAGCAGTAGAAGGGTGATTGAGCTAAGGAGAAGTAGGCCTGGCTCCCAGCTATAGTATACGTATGCAGTCAATTCGGGACTGCACTTGCCAGCGGTAGACTCAATGGACATACGGCTCCACACGCCTTCCCTCTGAACGCATCGAAACGACTCCTCATCGTTATCACGGCGTCGGCCACCGCTGTCCTAGCAACCTGGACGCTCTCTCCAACGATTGCGCTCGGCCTTTCAAGCACAGTCTTTACGGCTGCATCATTCGTCTTGATTGACCTGGCATTCGCAAGCAGTGGGGACTACAAACACGACAGTCAGGGCTTCGTTTCCGCCAATGGCTCCTTCCTACGACGGCCGTCGTCTTCGTCCGGGCAGCATGATCCATTCGAGGCCTCCGTCAGAGATTTCGCCGCAGTTGTAGGTGTAGCCTGCGCTATAGCAACCCTAGTACTAGAGGGCTTCAGAACAGACGCCATAACCTACAATCGGCAGGTGGCACTACTTGGTGCGTATTGGCAATCTGGTCAGAGAGTATTGTTATTCATACGGTTGTGCTGGGGCATACTAGTTGCCACTATCTGCAATCTCTTGCTCGTCTCTAATGTAAGTGATTTCCACTTTTTGGACCTAATGTGCTGTTGTCTTCTCAGGCTCCGTTTGAGGGCGTATCAAAACTGTAACGTCCTGTCTGACTCGCGTAAGTTTGACGAGCAAGGTTCTTTTTGGCGTTGCGCCACGGAAGCCGAGCCGTCACTTGTCCCTCCTGATGGTCGCATCCCTGCAAAACTGGCTTTGCGCAAACCCAACAGCCACACCTGCTGTCTTTTTTCTCTGACCCAGGAGCACTCAGCCTGCCATTGTTGCTGCTCCATTGCTTTTTATGGACCGCCTCTAATCATGTTAGCTTAGATCCATCGCCGAGGACCTTTCCGCGTGTCGCTCATTGCCGTTGGCGCTCTACTATGCGCTCGCCTGGTCAGCGAAGCTTCGGTGTGGGGGATTTGGTTCGCATTACTCTGCGCCGTCGCGAGCTTGCTCCTCGTCGATGATTCTGCTTCTCCATCAGCCACTGCCGGCTTCATGACAAGGATGAGGGCGAGGCAGCTAGTCTCGCTGCTTGCTGCGGTGTCGCTTGCCGTCTTGACCATCAGCTTTCTGCGGCGATCTTCCGACCTCACGTCTACTTTCAGATCACACTCACGTGGCGATGCCGCACCAGTCTCAACGGAGACACCTAACGAACCCTTTCAGCCGATCAGAATTGGATCCACGAGGGCGCACCCCGTCGACCAGCTCGTGAGAGATGCGGAGGCCGATTTCGAGAAGCTACTGGCAAGACAATCGAAGACACTAGCGGACGCTGTCGCGGAATATCGCCGCAGGTACCAGCTACCGCCTCCTCCTAACTTCGACCGATGGTACGAGTTCGCGAAGCGAAAAGGGGTGCAGCTTATCGACGAATACGACACGATATACCATTCGCTACTACCGTTCTGGGCGCTTGAGCCAGCTACGATACGGGCTCGGGTTAGGGAAGCATTGGGACATGCGGACAATGCCCTGATTGGACTGTTGATACGGGACGGGCAGGCTGTCAAAATCCAGGGCGGATCGGAGTGGCAACAGCAAGCGACGCTCGGCATGATCAACCAGACTTTCCAGCATCTCCCGAATATGGATCTGGCGTTCAACATACACGACGAGCCGCGGGTCGTCGTCCCTCATGACGAGTTGGCTCAGATGGTCAAGCTAGCCCGGGAGAAGCGCATGCCCGCAGCTTTTGCCAATACGGCACCGAAGAATGCGTTTTCAAGCAAGCCTAAAGACATGAACAATGGCAAAAGGATAGACGAAGTAAAGACAACAAGGTTCAACCACTTCGCGCACCAAGCAACCTGGATACCCTCCCGCATGTCCTGCTCGCCCAACAGTCCCGCCCGAAGCTTCGACGACGCAGCAGCGGACAACCTGACCTCCTACGCTCTGGGCGACCTAGGCTTCGTCTACAACCAGACCGCATTCTCCGACATCTGCATGTCACCGTCCCTAAGCAAAACCTACGGCTTCTTCGACCGTCCCAACGCCTTCAACCTCGTCCAAGAGCTCTTCCCGATCTTCTCCCAGAGCAAAATCAGCAGCTTCCAGGACATCCTCTACCCAAGCCCCTGGTACTGGTACGGCAAAGTGCCCTACGACGCCCACCGCGACGAGGACTGGGAAACCAAAACCAACGCCCTCTACTGGCGCGGCTCGACGACCGGCGGCTTCAGCCGGAACGGCGGCTGGCGGCGTCAACACCGCCAACACTTCGTTCGCAAGATCAACGCGCCCGACAAGGCGCAGATCCTCATCAACCGCGGCGCGGCCGACGCGCCAGACTGGCAGCCCAAGGAGGTCAGGCGGAGCGACTACGCCGCGCTCATCGACGTCAAATTCTCGCACGTCGGACAGTGCGACCCAGGCGACTGCGACGCGCAGCGGAACTTCTTCGAGATCGCGGAACCCGCTGATCAGCAGGATGCGTGGAAATATCGGCACCTCCTCGACATAGACGGGAATGCTTTCAGCGGCCGGTTCTACGCATTTTTGAAGAGCAAGAGCTTGGTGTACAAGATGGCGATTTTTCAGGAGTGGCACAAGGACTGGCTGAAGCCGTGGGTGCATTACATTCCGTTGAGTTTGAGGGGGGAGGAGTGGTTGGAGGCTGTGAGATATTTCTCGGGCGAGGATGAGGGGAAGATGCAGGCGCCGAGGCTGGCGATGCAGGGGAGGATGTGGGCGGAGAAGGCGCTGAGGAATGAGGACTTTGAGGTGTGGTTCTTTAGGCTGCTGCTTGAGTAAGTCTGCCAGAGTGGGAAAGGATTGTGGATGTGCTGACGAAATCAGATATGGCAGGATTATCGACGACAATCGGGAGAACATAGGGTATCCCGGCCCGTGAAAAGTAGACAACCTGTATGATGTGAGGTATGCCGGGTATGGCTTGGGGAGCATTCAATGGCGTTGGGGTTCTTTGACGTAGTAAGCAGCAGCTGTGGTTGAGCTTATGCTTGTTGTGTAGTTAGACTTATACTACTCTCTCGCGGTCAAGAGCAAGCGTCTGGATCTACCTCACCGCGTCTAAAATTCTGACGCACGGTTGTGTGGGTGCCTTGCGCTGTCGATCACCGGAGTCATGCCTTCGGCTATCAACCATATCGATATTCTCGGCGCTCATGGAGCTAGATCTTCCCATGACATATAAGCTGTACGCAGAAGTCTATTTTCCGCCGTTCAGCGCCAAAGGCTGAGCAAGTCTACCTCTATGGTGGCAGATCTGCTGATGGAAGCAACCCGCTTCCAGAAACGCCAGATCCCAGAAACACAGAAAAGAACCTTTTACAGCTTGTGCCCCCGCTCTGAGAAGAACACATTCTGCTTAACATGGCTCGACCGTCCCGTTACCTCGTCAAAGATGTTACAGCCGAAGGTAGCCGCATTCGGCGGCGTGTACACTGTCCCCCGTGTCAGCGAAGCGTCCACACTACAACTCCCAACAGCCCAAGTTGACTACGGGCCAGTGACTTACAGTGCAAAGAAACAGCGACGTTCTTAGGGTCCGGATTCGAAATCCGGTGCAGCCCCAGCTGGTCAGACATGTACGTGACCTGGTTCTCGGTGTACACGGTTTCTTTCTTGACGGCCAGCGGCGCAGCGCCAGAGGCTTCGGGCCAGGCGTATAGTGTTTCCTTCAGGGAACCCGCTAGGATTTTCATCACGCAGTGGGCATTGGCGTGGTCGTGGATTGGGCTGCCTTCGCCAGGGGTCCAGACGAGGATGAGCTGGTGGGCGTGTGAGTCGGTGTCCGGGAGTGGACTTGAATGGCGGTGCTGTATGAGGTCAACTCACAAGGTTACTCTTGTCATTTCCCCTGTCGACGAGGTTCCTGGTGTAGTTCCTGCTGGGGTCGCCGAGGGCATATTGCATCCACTCTGAGGCATCGGAAATGTAGTTCCGCATCAGCGCTTGGAGGTCTTCGGGGTCTACTTCTGCGGAATCTATGCCGGATGAGGGACCAAGCACCTTGCTGAGATCTTGGACGAGCTGGTGGAATGCATCTAGATGTGGAGCGTTTGATGTCGGGCCTGGAGAGCCTGGTTCTGTCCAGACAGTCATGCTGGAGGAAGCTTTGGAGAGAAGAGTGGAAAGAAACGAGTAGTGTTCGAGACACTGCTAATAAAAAGAGGAAAGGCTAAGCAAAGTCTTCAACGAAAACCCACTGCTTGACTAAGAGAAAGGCTGCGGCGGACAGAGTCAGATGATGGATGTCACCTGTCAAACTCCAGAGATAGACGCGATTCACTGCAGATGCAAACCGATCACGCCGAGCCTCAAAGAGAGACCGAATGACTACCCGTAGACTTTCCATTGTAGTGACGTGACTACATGATACTGATTACGGCAGAACCGCACACGCCGTTGATAAAGGCTCCGGAAAGTTTCTCACCGCTTTGGTGCCTGCTGGCTCGTGCTTGGCGGGGCGAACGGGAGATCCTCGGTTGAATTTTTGCCCTGCCGTCATCTTTCGGCGGGCATCTGAACATTTTTGTGGTGAGCCTTGAGTATCAACCACACAGCTACACTTTGCAGTAAACAGTTGTTGCAGCGCGTTGACTTTCAAGATGGCGACCACTGTGGACAAGGTGAGAATTCCCTCCCCCAGGATAGCGCTCAAGCTGACGTTCGCCCTTCTAGATTAAGGAGATTGAGACCGAGGTTCGCAAACCGGCTCGAGACGCCGTATACCCTTCGTTAACGCAGTTCAGATGGCTCGGACTCAGAAGAACAAGGCAACGTCGTTCCACTTGGGGCAACTGAAGGCCAAGCTTGCGAAGCTAAAAAGGGAGCTACTCACCCCAACATCTGGTGGTGGCGGCGGTGGTGGTGAGCTATACTTGGAGAAGCGAATGTTGGGAACCAAGAGAATGCTGAGACTGTGTTCTAGTGGGCTTCGATGTTGCCAGAACCGGCGTTGCCAGCGTGTCAGTATATTCCACTAGGCATGGTTTGTGAGCACTGGCTTACCCTGAAACAGCGGCTTCATAGGGTTTCCATCTGTCGGCAAGAGTACCCTCATGAGTAGGGTGACTGGTCAACACTCGGAAGGTGTGTAGATGTCTGTCTTTTGTGCCGGACTATGACTGACAATGAGGTAGCGGCGGCATATGAATTTACAACGGTTGGGACACTCGAGCTCTGTCCGCAAGACAAGATTCGCTGACGCTGCCACAGCTTACGACAGTGCCTGGACAAGTTCTATACAACGGCGCGAAGATTCAGATGCTTGATCTGCCGGGTATCATCCAGGGAGCCAAGGACGGCAAGGGTCGTGGCCGGCAGGTCATTGCCGTTGCGAAGACTTGCAATCTGATATTCATCGTCCTCGACGTCAACAAGCCGCTCACGGACAAGCGAGTTATAGAAACAGAACTCGAAGGGTTTGGTATACGCATAAACAAAAGCCCGCCTAACATCAACTTCAAGAAGAAGGACAAAGGAGGCATCAGCATTACTAGCACGGTACCTCTAACGCATATTGACCATGACGTGAGTTTTAGAAACTGGAGAATATGTGCAAAACTTTGATTAACAGCTTTGAAGGAAATCAAAGCCGTCATGTCCGAGTACCGCATTTCTTCCGCAGATATCGCTATCCGCTGCGATGCCACCATTGACGACCTGATAGACGTTCTGGAGGCGAAGAGCCGAAGCTATATTCCAGTGATTTACGCCTTGAATAAGATTGATGCTATATCAATTGAAGAACTGGATCTGCTCTACAGGATACCGAACGCATGTCCAATCAGCGCGGAGCATGGCTGGAACGTTGACGAACTGTTGGAGCAGATGTGGGAGAAGCTGAACTTGAGGAGAGTGTACACCAAGCCGAAAGGAAAGATGCCGGACTACTCTGCTCCTGTCGTGTTGCGGTCGACGGCCTGCACAGTGGAAGATTTCGTAAGCTGAAACCTCACCCATAGAAGCCCGCTACTAACCGCTGCAGTGCAACGCAATTCACAAAACCATCGTCGAGCAGTTCAGGCAAGCCATTGTTTATGGCAAATCGGTCAAGCACCAACCGCAGAGAGTCGGCTTATCTCACGAGTTGGCGGATGAAGATATCAGTAAGCTCACCAAGCCGGCCAGAAAGCGTGGGGTATACTAAGATGGTTTAGTCACAATCATTAAGAAATAACTTCTGTTGAAGTCGCTCCGGTAAACCACACGCGGCGTAAGGACAGCGCTCAGGGAGGAAAGCCGAGTCCTCAAGGGATGTCCCATTGGATTGCTAGAAGCATCGATGCGAGAGTGTGAGGCGCAGGCGGCGTATTGGGGCTAAGGAGTTGGACCAGGTGCGGTGTCAATGCTGTTGTATTGGCTTCAGGATGTTTACTTGGCAATCGCAGTGTACAGAACATTTCGTCACCCGCCACTACCTGCTCGTCTATCTCGAAATCGTGATCAGCGGTCCGTAAAGCCAGCCAGCGGACAGCAGCGCCAAACGCGGCTCTCGTTTTGATGAAAACAACGTCGCGGCCTGTCTGACGTGCTGAGATGTATTCGAAGTCTGACGAGTTACAAATCAGACGCTCTCGGATCGCCGAATGTGCTCTGCGCGTGTTTGAATCTGGGCACCCTGGAAAGTCGAAATCATTCGACGATCATCGCACCTCTCATGCAGCATTTTGCAGCCTCGCCATTGTGATTCGCGGATCGGAGGGTAAATCGCAGGGATGGTGCGAAAATTCAGCGAGCCGTCGCCCGCTTCGGCCGCCGGGCGCTAACGCCAAAGCCGCCAGCCCAGAGTGGCTCTCATCCCCTGCGCGAATCTTGACTCCGCTCGTACTACCAGCGAATCCCTGATGCCAACGTTCATCTCTACCAGGGCCCCCTCCTCCGCCATCAGCCATCAGCTATCACTAATGTGCCGGCCGCCAGCCATGTCCGCGCAGGTACCTCGTCATGGAAAACCTCGAGAAGAGCAGCCTTGCCTTATCTGCGGAGAGGGATGCGCGGCTCGGAATATCCTCTTCTGCAAGTCCCGTCCTCCTTCTTGCGGGCTTGCTCCTTCGTACCTGAGTCTGGAAGATGAGGTAACCCATCAAGCTAGTTTCAGTCGCAATCGCTCAACACAGATCCAACTAAGCTTCATATGCCCAGTATCGATCTCTGATGCTCACTGGCCCCTCCAGACTGCTACGCTGATTAGCCGGTCTAATGGGGCTAGATATTTGGTCGTAACGGAGTCACAGCACTGTGAGCACGTATGGGGGCGATCAGGCTCATGCTAGCCGATGGGAGCTTTGACCGCTCCGGCCGTCCTGGCGCTGTCTTTGCACTTTTGGCTTTTTAACCGAAACAATCGCCTATTCATCCCATTTGCTGCCTTCCTCCTGCTTGCTCTCTTACGGCTGGCCGTCTCTGCGGCCTGCTCATCAACTCATCTGCCGCTTTTCCCGAATCGGCCACAGATTCGTCAAAACCCGTATCGCTAACGGCGTGAGCCAGGTACTCTCCAGGCCTCTGAGAGCCCGGCACTCCATCAATACCCTCCCCCTCCCCATTCCCTCTGGGAGATGAGCGTGGGCTCCCCCATAATGCCTGGGCTCCTTGCTCGAAACAAAACAAGGGCCTTCCCGCTCCGGACCGCAACCGTACCCGTTACTCCAAGTGCGCTTTCTGCAGCATTTCTAACCTGCGCCGCCGCCGTGCATACCGGACTCTCGTTACCACGATCCTGTCTTGTTTCGTGATCAGATACCGCCCCTCTCCAAGTTTCACCTCGTCTATTCATTCATGCAAGCTGCCGGGCTTTCTGCTCTAGCTCGCTACACGCCCGGTTGGGCGTCGTTGCCAGCGGCACTAGAGTATAGTACAGGATCCGACGATACATTCGCCACCAAACACCAACGCACACTGCTCGAAGCTTGTTCCACGAGCTTTCGGCCATAATGAGTTCAATGAACATTGATCAAGAACAACACCGGATGCAAGAGCCTGGATATGACGATGGTACTGGAAATTGGATCCACAACAACACCGCTTACAATCACTCGCACCATACAACGCCGGTGCATGAGTATACTGGATTCTCATTTACGCCATACCCTTCCGCAATGGCGCCACCAAGGACGACGCATCACCAACTTCAGCCCTTGGTAATGCCACAATGGCCTAGCACGTTGGTCAGTCAATCGACCTATGTCCCGCCAATATACCCTTCTGCTCCCGCGCCTATGCCTGTACCCGTGGGCCCAACCTCAACACCAATATCAGCCACTTCGACGGGTTCGCGAACCTCCTCAACTCCCAGAAAGACCCTCACTGATGCGGACCGGAGGCGCATGTGTCTGTACCATGAAGAGCACCCGTCAACGAAGCAGACGGAGATTGGTGGTGAGTACATGTATAGAATCTGTAGAGCGACTTAAACTAACGTGTATCTTGAAGCCATGTTCGGTGTTGAACGCAGGTATGTTGAACTGGAAACGATCTTAAGCCTTCATTAACGCGATTGATTAGTACCGTGTCCAAAGTCCTACGGAACAAAGAGAAGTACCTGTGCCAAGACGATGGCAGCAGGTCACCTATCAAGAGATCCAAAGGAAAATTCCCAGACATCGAGAGAGCTCTGTCCAACTGGGCGCGCAATCACGTCCGACAGGGCTATCCCATATCGGACGCTATGATCAAGGAGAAGGCACGATTCTTCTCTACCACTGTAGGCAACGGAGAAAACCCCCTGAAAGCCAACAGTACCAGTTGGCTAGAGAAGTTTAAGCAGAAGAACAACATCAATGGCTCCAAGTCGAGGAAGATTTCCACGACAGACGACGCTGAGGTTCTGTCAAACCCGGCTTCAAATTCTCAAACTCCAACCGGAGCCTCACCAACATCCCCAGGAGGTACATCATCACCACCGCTGAAGGGCGAAGAAGCAGAGTTTGGTAGCGGGCATCGTCCATTCTACTCCCAGAGCGACCCATCCTTATCCGGCGTTTTTGCTGATGCGGCTACGTCCTCGTTCTCCGCTGGCCCCCTCAGTCCAACGTCTCCATTCTTCACGCCTGACTCCGCATGTGGCCCGAATCCCTTTTTTCCTCCGCAGCAGGGCCGAACGCCGCAACCGAACAGCAACTTCCAACAGCGGCCCAGGAGCCAAACGTTTCCCTTGCTGCAGGGGATGGACTCGTATATGTCTCCGCCGCCCTCCTCAGAAGCCATGGCTCCGAACTACCTGAACTCAACCGCCGTGGAGTCTCCCCTCACCGAGCTCCCGCCTACTCTTAATGGCGTTGACGAGGTGCTCCAGCAGGACCTGAAGCCGCAGCCTCAGCGGACAAATTCGATGCAACCACCGCCTCTTCCAGCACTGGCGCCTGCGCCAACAATCTCGGGGTCAACACCGCTGCGACCGGCGCAACAGCTCATCTCACCGATCAGCCCGGATACCGGCACGCCCGGTTCGCCTTCGCAGGAGGACGCACGCCGCGCGCTGGAGCTGGTGATGAACTTTTGCCAGGCGCAGCCGAGCGGGTTCGTCGAGCCGCAGGAATACGTCACCATCGGGAAGTTGATGGAGAAGTTGAAGTTGAAAGCGGAGGGGAGATGAGGTTTTCCTGGGGAAAGGTGAGAGTCACTCTAGGAGCAGTCAGGGCTCTTGGTTCGAACCGGAGAAGAGGCCGGGGGATGTGCCTTACGGCCTTTGCATCGTGCTCTGTCTCGGTACTGTAGATTTCACGCTTTTTTCCCACCCTATTCGTACTGCGCGTTTTATTGGGCTCCGGGATATGGAACAAGGGGGACAACAAAGGGCAAAACGCGACCACGGACGCTGGGAGGAACTGGGATACACACGGCACGGGCCCGCCATCGCCGTCGTTTGGCACAGATCTTTTCCGTCTCATTCTTACATCATTTCCTCTTCCTGCATTCATCGTCATACCGCGCATTACTCGGGGGGATAAAGACGGATCAACCGCTCACGCGGGCATTTGGGATACCTTTTCCAGCTTCATTTCGACATTGTCATCATGCGATTTCTCGGTTCTTGATACTCTTAGATATGCTCTTTCCTCTATGACGACTAGTTAGTTTGCGAACGGGAGCGAAGGGAGCAAACAGCTCGCTCGTCCCGAACGGGTAGTTGCGTTACTCATCCGCGTTACCATCCACACGGCTCCGAGTCGGGCAGTTCGTCGGGCATCAATGCGTTCCATACTTTCGTTTCGTGAGGCATCAATGCATTTACGTTTCTGTTCCGCCACACCGCGCGCCTCCAAAGGCCCCCATTCAACCCAGCCTCTCTTCCATCAGCTCCGCCACCCCCTTGACCGCCAGCTCAGGGAACAGCCGCACCACCACTAATTCAACAATTCCAAACACGAGATGCTTGTTCAGATACACGTCCCCAAAAACGTCTAACATCTCTTCCACCTCCTCCAGCATGACGTCCTCATCACCCGTTCCAAAGAACCGGCTACTCACCGCTTGCGGCATGGCCGCGAGTAAGGCACGCGCACATTGCCGCTTGATGTCCCGGGTCTGGGCTTGAGTCGGCACGGCGCGCGGCGGTGCGGGAGCGTTGTGAGGGAAGAGGGCACTGCGCAGGGAGCGCAGAGCTGGGGGGAGGAGAGCTGGGTTCAAAGCGGTGGAGCGGATGTTGTGGGCAAGGAGTCTGTGTGGCGAATCGAACATGTTAGTCAGTGGTGTTTCTGAGTTCGTATTGTTTCGCGCTTCGTGTGGGGGAATGACTGGGATGACGGTCCTCCCTGTCCAGACATGTGAATCTTTCCCTCTCTCCTTAGGCAGGAACTGTTTCCTCGCCCGGAGAGTGAGGCGTTGCGATCCATGGCTCCAGTCACCCAGGGTAGACGAGTCTGGGGCCAGCGCGCCGAGCGTGGTGAAAGGAAGCGTCGCAACGCCCACAAGGGCCCTGCCTGATTCCGGGAAGGGATGAAGCCTGCAAGTGAACCACGGCCCGGCCTTGCACGACCGCGCATGGGGGCCACGGGAAGCATGGGAAGGGCCGGGCGCGTAACGGGGGCATCGAAGTCTAAAGCCCCCGGCTTCAATAACCAAAAGTCTAAAAATCGCGCAGTCGGCGGGAGTGCGAAATCCGATCTGCCGATCGAGGAGAAGACAGGAGCCCAAGGCCGCGACGGCGCGGGCGGAAACGGGAAAAGTGATGGGAAAGGACGGGCAGTGGACAAGGAAGTGGCACGACGGGGCTGGCGCCACACAACGCTGCGGCGTCGCTAGCTGCAGGCCGGCCACGCGCGACGATAAGCCGTGCGCGGGCAGGGAGTGGGCTGGCCAGCGCTGCACGGCAAGTCAAGTGACCTGAAAGGCATGCGGGGTCACATCGGCCTGCGACGCATGGCGCCGCCCTAGGCGCCTCACGAAAACGAATGGAAACGAGTGAAACCTACCTGTCCAGCATTCCGTCTGTTCGGCCCACCTGCCCAGGCCCGACCAGTGCACCGTGGTGGAGCAGTGACACAAAGCCGGCGAGCCAGGGCATGCGCGACTCCAGCTCGAGAAGGTGGGATGCGCACGACCAGACGCTCATGCTGAGGATCGGTCGCTTGGGCGCTGCTGTCTCAGCTGTTGTTGCTTCGGCTCTGAGCAGCGGGGATTGGCGTGCGGAGACAATTGGTGACCAAGGATTCGATCCTGTCATGGATCTGGCGGGCAGCGAGGAGGATGTCGCAATAGCCAGGATGACGGCGCGGATCGCAGTTACCGCAAAAATAGTGTATTGGACCACAAGCCATAACAGGGTCGTAATAGCCGTCGGCTCATGAGCGATGATAGCATATGACTCCGCTGGCTCGGTTGTTTGGTTGGAAGACGACAGTAGACCAAACTTCTCCAGTCGGTTGAGCCCCGGTTCTAGCTTGCTTTCCACTACTTCTTCGACGACGGGTATGCGAGGACGTAATACGTCTGCAACCTTCGTAATGGCCTCCCATATCAGCCAGCCTTCGCAAGCCTTGCCGCTGATTCCATTGCCAAGGATCGTCTCAGAGAAGACCTCTGCTACCAGTGCCCGTAGACACCCATTTTCAAGATCCTCGGTCGGTAATAGGACGGCTAGTACGCCTTGCACGAGCAGCTGGCGCCACGCCGCCTCATTCTGCCCCTGCTCCAGCATGCAGGAAGGGTCGTTTTCATACGGCACAGGCGAGAGCGCGGGATGCGGATTGAGGGTGTGGTAGACCTCGCGAGGGTCTGAGGCCAGCGACTGGTATCCAGTGGCGCGTCGTGAAACGCGATATGCTGTGCCGAAACTTAAAACAAACTTCTACCAGTACCAGAGACGGTGTCCTCTACATACCTTTGACATGACTGTCAAGCAAACCAGGGATCTCGTCGAGTAGCAGCGCTTCCAGGTCCGCCTTCCTCAGTCTCTGCTCCAGTGCTCGCGTGCAATGCGCGATGATCTGGATCACCTCGTCTACAAAGACGTGGTCCGGCGTAATCTTGGTATACCAGGTATAGACGAATTCTTTCAGGACCACGGCAATGATGGCGTATAGCTGGAGATCCACTTCGTTCGAGCTTGTCAAGGGCGGCAGCAGCTCCTCGATTGGTCGCGGAGTACTTCCCGCCTTCTCTCCGTTGAAGAGGGTGCTGTTTGAGACATGATGGGCGCAGAGCGTGCGGCGAATGAAGGCTGCGGTGGCCTTGTCGGATAAAAAATCGGTCGCTTGCTTCGGCGCTTCAGGGTGACGAGCCGGTGGAGCACTGTGCGAGAGCTGCGCGGTGTTCGTAGAGGCGGTAGTCGCGGCTACATCGACTGCGGACACGATGGGAGGCGCTGGATCTGGCGTGTGGTTCTTGAGGTAGCTGGAGGTCCTCGGTGGGTTCTGCGTCATCGCCAGGCATTAGTGGGCATCTCTTCAGTCTCTTGCTACATGCTCCGTCTCCACTATCCAACCCTCTTCGAAGCGCTCGAGTGCTGTATTTACAGCGATCGTAAGTGCGATTGGTCGACTCTGTCAGCTACGAACAAGGGTCAGTCAGAAAAGCTGTTGCCGCATAGAGAGCTCGTCAGGAACATGACGGTGGATGAATCAAACGCAGTTGCTAGCTCAAAAATGTCTTCAAACGATCAATGCACGAGAGTGCTACAATGCTGAGTGACTCACGGTTTCTATTGCGTAGAACCGGTCTGGCTCTTTCGCATTGGAAAATCCCAAGTCCAGCTCAGTCGTGACACTGTATCCAGAGCGGTAGCGGCAGCAAGGCGGCAACGGCCTTTTTAAACGGCCCTTGGAATCGCAAACCTCATTCAAATGACGAGGATGGCGTTATGTTTCACCGGCGATATTCTGCCGCAACCTACCGCCCGCGTTGACGCTCGCGGCTATCACCACCCAAGCATTCCATTGTCAGACCTATAGCTTCGTGACCCTTTGAGTGATCGTCCTTCCTCCATGGCTTGTGGCAGCAGTGACTACCCGGTTTACCATAGTCCTTGAGCACACCGGCAAGGCGAGTCAGCAACAATGGCTCCCGCAACCCTCCCCGATGTCGAAGGCAAGCCCAGCACCCCGCGCAATGCAGAGCCCATCCTAACACCAGCGCAGAGCATCTCAAAAAGCTGGTCCAATCCCTCTACAACCTGATCGTCCAATCCTACGACCATCAAGGCGCCGCATCCCAAGACGCCATGAAGCGCGAGATCACGTCCCTAATCAGCCACCTGCAATCCCTTTCTACAACCGCCGCAGGCCTGCCAACCACCATCCCTCCGGAGGTGATCCAGTATATAGAACAGGGCCGCAACCCGGACATCTACACGCGCGAGTTTGTCGAGCTGGTCCAGAAGTGGAACCAGAAGATTGGTGGGAAGTGCGAGGCTATGGCGCTGTTTCGAGACGTGCTGGCTAGGGAGATCGTGAGTGCGATGCCGGAGGTTAGTGGGGAGGTGGAGAGGGTTGTTAGGGCTACAGGTGGGAAGAGCGAGGGCTGAGATGGTTCGTATCATGCCGGCTGCTACGAGAGGACGAAGAATAAGCTCTTGGCTGGAGGACCGTTCTTGCCGACGGGGCACCGATGAACGTGGAGCGACTCACAGCTGGGTCACGCGTGGACTGGTTGACGGACAGCATGTGCAGCAAAGCAGATGCTGGGTCTTGGACCTCAAGACTGGTGAAGCATGGGTAGACAGATTTGAGGAACTCACGAGGAAGACACAGGATCAGCTCTTCGTCCGGCCGCGTCTCTGGTCCCGCGGGCTAGCAGAACCCCTGAGTCGGCTCGCGGCCACTGCTAGCGGATGGCCATGCATACACAGGGGACGAAGCACCGGCAGGAGATTCCGCAATTCTCTTTCACGTTCCGGAGTATCAAGACGCCGGGGAAGACTTCCACAAATCACCCGCCGCGCTGGTCACTATCTCAGCGACAGCATACGTCGTGCTCACAGTCTAAAAGCTATACAACGTCCGGTGTAGGTGTAGACTCCGACCTGTGCATTGGCACTCTTCTCTCTAGCCTCACATCTTCACATTCGTCTATATCATCAAGGCACAAGAGGGGACACCCGAGGCCTTCAGATCACGTTGATTGGTTTCCAGTACTCAATGACTGTACTCCACACAAGATTGTAATAATGCCCCCTTGCCGATGCAAATGCCTTTGCCTATGCACGCTCGTACGCCAACGCCGGCCCATGCAACAGAATAGTGACAGTCGTGCTCAACTTCCCTGGCCGCACCTCTGCATGTTGACGCAGTGCCCCCAGGCTCTATCCAAGTTCTCGGAACCTTTAAGACCCTCACCCAGCCATTGCCGCAGGCCCGGCAACTGACGGTTAGGCCATCCGCCTCTGCTGCCCCAGTCTCTCCTCGCTACCGAAACGACCACGCAGGAAACGTGCCCGTCCCCGCCGAACTCAGCTGCAGGTGCTGATACGGACTACTCTGCGGATCATAGTACAGCCCCTCAACCTCCCCATCCGCGCGCCTCAAACACACGTAATAAAACCCGCTGATCGTAAGCCCGCACCCGTCCTCACTCAGCGCCTCCTGATCCCCCGCCCCGCCCCACCCAAGATGCCGATCCGACCGCTGCTGCTGGCCCGCCGCCTTCCGCACAAAGCACCGCTCCTTCCAGCGCATCAGGATCCAGTCCCTCTGCAGCTCGGCCAAGAACGTGCGGCTGACGAGGCGGTGCACGAGGTCGTCGTCGCTGATTTTGGCGAAGGGCGGGAGTTTGCGCCAGTAGGTCGCGTCGGTTGCGGGGGAGGAGGCGAAGGACTCGGTCTGGAAGGTGTGGGTGTTGAAGTCGAGGAGCTCGCCTTCGAGGTAGGTCGTTATGCTGGAGCTGCGGGTGGGGGTGCTTGCGGGCCGGGCGGCGGGGTCGTTGGTCGGGTGCTGGGTGGTGGAGGTGGGGGCGGAGGAGGTGCTGGTTGTGGCGTTGGCGCTGCTGATGATGCTGGTGTAGGAGGGTGTGTGCGAAGGGACGTTGTAGGCTTCCATTGTTGCGGCGAGGGTCATGGCGGAGTAGTCGACGGCATGAATGGTTACTCGGACGGGCCAGCGGTCTTGTTGGGATGATGTGGATGTGGCGTCTGCGGTGCGCCGGAGGTGGGGCGGTGTGTAGGTGTGACTCAGCCATGGCCGCGCTGGATCGAAGTTTGACCTGGCCGGGTCGAAGGTTGTGGATGTCATGGTTTCGTTGTTTCGGAAGCGGTAGAGGGTTGTGCTTGTGGCGGGACTAGGAGCTCGGGTGACAGAGGCGTTGACGGATGTTGCGCGCTGTGACCCGGAGAAGACGACACCTGGCGCTAGCCATGAGGTATAGGGTGGACTGGGGAGGCTGCGGGTTTCGAGAACGAAATCTTCGTGCCCTTCGCCGAAGAATTCTTTGGAAACGAAGCCTGCGTCCACGGCCAGAGACAAGCTGTCCTCATAGTAGTTGGAAGACCGTAGTCGGGAAAGGTATTTGATGGTTTCCTCAAGCCATGTCGGCGTTGCCGAAGGACTACTCGAAGAGGGATTCTCGAGATAGCCGCGCCGATAGGCGTCAATCCGTGCTCTTACATCTCGGTCCAGAGTGACGTTTGCTCCTGTAGCTCCTGCGGCTCGTTGCTGGGATTGCCAGGCTCGGCGGCCGGCCTCATAGCGACTTGCGCTTGTGCTGGTCGACGCTGCCGGAAGTCTCGAAGAGGTGTGTCGGTCGACCTCTCCCCCTCCATGCTGTCCGCGATATGCTGCCTCTCGATCCATAATATATCGCTGCATATAGTCCCTAGACCTTGCTGAGAACCTTGGATGCCGACGAGCGGAGGACGGTGATTGTGCCGCCTCGTGTATGTGCGTGCGACGAGAGTTTGCCCAGTTTCTGGTCTGTTGCTCCACATCCAGCTGGGACCGCCCCAGCACTCTCAATATTTCCGGGTGCGTGTTGGGCTGCTGATGGCGGAGCTCTTGCAAAACCTCCTCGAGTTCTTCTTCGTCGTCACCTTCCTCGTGCGCCGGCGACCAGTCGTAGAGATTGTTCTGTCTCGGTGTCCGGTCACTGTAGGCCATACTGTCGGCGTTGGGCGGGTCGTTGATGCGGCTCAAGGTGTTGAGGATCCTCGACAGTCGCATCTGCCGCTCCCGGTCCTCGTTTCGAAGCTCTGACGTCCTTGCCTGCGCTCTCTCCCGCGCTTGGAGCCTTTCTCTTGCGCTCCGCACCTCATCTAGCAGTTCCTGCTCCGCAGCCGCCGCATTCTCGCTACGCCATTCTTCTTGAGGATCAATGCTTCTGAGAAAGCGTATATTTTCTGCGTCGGCGATGTCCTCAGCCTGAGTGGTAAGCGTGGCTGCAAGCCCAACCACCGCCGGAGGGCTGTCGAGGTCGCGGAGTGCTGAAAGGTAAAGCTCGGCCGGTGAGTGAGGACGAGGCGCTGAAGGGTCCTGCATATTGGTGGTTCGTCAGTCGGCAGCCCGCCCGCTACGATTGATTTGTAGTAGCGCTTCATTCATGCCACTCTATGGAGGTACGTACCGCTGGAGGGCTAGCGGACCTGCGCAGCATCGGAGTATTGCTAGGTGGCATGACTCGGACTGCACCAAGGGTGCATGTACAGTCCAACAGAGACTGGAGATGTCAACTGCGTGGATGCTACATAGCACTACTCGACTGGCATAGCGCAGATGGATAGGTTGGCGGCTGGTAAGTAGAAGCTTGTGACGACGCGGTCGTCGGAGGAGCGGCTCACTGGTTGCGGCTGCTTTGTTTCGGGCGAGCAACACCGACAAAGCATGGCGTGACGCGGAACAATGCGGCTGAATTCGCTCCAGAGACATGGCGATGAGCCGAAGCAATGCTTCTTGCAGGAACCAGACCGAAGCTCGCCGTGTAGCTCATCAGGAGGCTTGATAGTCTGGACTGGGTGGCACAGTCAACCCTGGCAGCTGGACGAAGCACCTGTGTCAATATTCACTTGATGAAACACGACAACACCGATTGTCGGAAGCGATAGGCAACATGTTCGAATGTCCATTTGTTTATTAGGTTTAGAGGTATATGTTTAGGGAGCCCTGCTCCGTCCAGCATTCCTTTCGCTCTCCATTCAATGGCAGAGCGCGCCTTCAAGAACCAGCCTGAAGTGTAGGAGAATGTCCCTACGAGCTAGCCGCAGCTTGCGACAGGATTGGGAACGAATGCCGATGGTCACAGGGGCACAGTCTTCCGCAAGCAGAAGAACTGTTCCTGCCAACCGCCCGCCACAGGCGATGCGGCTTGTTGACCATCGGCGCCGCCCTGTTCCTATAGCTCACCGCAGCTTAGCGATACACTATGCCAACATCCCAGATGCGGACTGTGCTACTGTCGCCGTCTCCCACTGTGTCCAGCTGGCACTCAATACCAGTTGGGTAGACTGAACAATCTTCGACCAGAGGGTTGGCAAGCCAAAGCCGCTGTGGTGCGACAGATGCCCGAAACGACACGAACGAAACGAAAGAGTAATCGAGTGTACCCGCCTCCATAGCCGCGAGGCTTAACCATCTTCCTGTGATGCACGACTAGCTAACCTCCCAGAGATGCAAAAAGCGAGGCGTGTCAGATCCTGTCGGTGTATGCAGAAAAACGACACAAAATCCAGATACACGCTCGCTAAAAGACTGCGAAGAAATGTGGATATCCAAGGAAATCTCAACAGCGAAGGGGCGATGGAACCCAAATCGCTGGATCGAAGAACGCCGTCCCAATGATGTGGTATAGAGGTTGATGTCCTAGAATGACATCAAGTCGTTGAAGCATCGCATGTCTCGTCTCGTGTCGGCGTCGCAAAGGCTCTGCGCAGTAGCCTATAAGCTGCCGCCATGGGAAGCGGACGGTGAGTGGCCAGATCACCAGCTTTCCATACTGTCGACATCCGAGTCTTCACTCAATAGTTGCTATATGGCGGTAGCATACTGCGGTGCGAAGTCGTTGTAGCTCCACGAAAACCCGCCGAAGCCAGCGCTCGTGTAGTTCGGCGAGCATTGCTGAGCCAGCACGCTTGGTAGCGGAAGAGCCAGCATAGGAGCCGACACTTGCGGTGGAGTAGAGTACTGGTTTGTCGTGCAGTATGGCTGACTGAAAGACGGCGTCGGGGAAGGTAGCTGGAGGTTGTCCATACCCATGGTGCTCCAGAAGGTAGGCTGCTGATCGCTGCAGGTGGTAATGGTGGGACTAGGGGTCGACGGAAGCACGCGCCAGGACTCAAACGGCATTGCTTGAGGCGCCGGCAACGGTTGCGTCGGTTGCCACCAATTTCCAGCTGCTGGTGAGCTCGGAAGCAGCGGAGCCGGGCGAACGACGTCCACTATCCTCGGCGGCGGTGGCAGCAATGGATGGAAGAGTCCCATGATGGCGTTCTTGACATCCTCACCCCTCCCTTCCAGAAGCTCACCGGCGCCATCCTCCTCAAGACCTTCCAGAGCCCGCACACCTGTCCGAAAGACGTAGCGATTGACGGCTTGAACAAACTCGTCCTGGAGCTTCTTCAGCTGGACTTCCTTCTCGGCCCATGACCAGGTGCTGGCAGCCGTATCGACGGAGTAGATGTCCTTGTGGTATTCGATGAGCGCCTCGATAGTCTCCGGTGTAAGCTTGAACGCGACTTCGTGTTGTGACACCATGTCCACATGTACGACGTAAGCCTCGATGTGGATGAACTGGTAGTTGAACAGCGCCTCCACCAGTGGATTGGGGTCCTTTCGCAGTTCAGAATCGGGGGCCTTGGGGACCATGACGGAGCACAGGGACCAGATCGCCGCTGCGCCGGAGAGTGTCTCTGTGAGACATCGGTAGTGCTGCGGCACGCTGTTGAGGGGACGCTTGACTCGGTTTATCCGTTTCAGCGTCTGAGTTAACCACGGTTCCACGCGAGAGTTGAGAACGATTGTCGGCGCTGAGCGGGGCGCAAACGCTGCGGCAGAGGCCGGCAATAGTTGTATAGGCATGGTATCGACGGGAGAATACGAGTTGACAGATGCGACGGTTGTATGGGACGACGATGCAACGATGACAAACAGGACAAAAGAGATTAACGGTGAAAGCTCTCAGGCGGTCCCAACGAGGGAATTAGTTCGCACGCCGTGTTCAAGAGAGTAGGAGAGGTTCGGACGAATGAGAATGGAGGAGAGGGAGGTTGATGTGCGGGAGGTGAGGGTAGGGTAGGCTTAGGTGGGGTGGGGGTGGTCAAGTCTTTAATACAGCGACATCCGTTTTAGGTGGACAAGGCCGACGGGGTGGCCACGCCCGCAGGCTCTGCCGAGAGAGCCAGCGCCGGGGCTGAGTGCAGCGCTGCGCATCAGACTTGCAAATCGTGCATGCAAGCTTGGGCGACCTGCATGATTAGGCGGAAAACAAGCTGGACGGCGCAAAACACTGTTCATGTCCGTTTTGCTTCCGCGCGCTGTGGTTCGGCCCCAGCGACGGCAGTCGAATTGCGACATATCGCCGCTTGCGCAGACGATGCCTCGACTGCTGCAGCGGAAATGAGCGCGCAGAGGGCATCAGCAACGCATTCTCTCATGGGTGTGTCTCCCGCCAGAAACCGTCTCTCCGTATGCACGATCCCAGCTCTGGGGTGCTGGGTCGGCCCACACCAGAGGCCTCTACAGGCAGCTTGCATACCGGACTGCAGTGATGACCTGAAACAAGACTACTTACAGGCGGCTACTTCCCGGAGTCGAGACTGACGACAGCACTGGTTACCTGCTGCTCTCTCGCGGCCGTGTTCATCGTCAGCTGGGTCAATCCCAATCTCCAGGACGGCTTCGTGGGCTTCCAGAAAGCTTCGATCTCACAAGGAGAACCTTCCACTGCGTCGGCGCTGACTGCTGCATCGGGAAATAGGTAATGCGCTCGAGCATCCAGAGACGCTGCTCAACGCGAAGATCTTCCTTGTGCCTGTCAGACAGGCAGTGGAGGAGAAGGTCGAAGACGGACGAAAAGCCGGTCGACAGGTTGTCGTTGCTTGAAGCTAAAGATTTGGCGGCCAGGGCGCCGTCCAATCGCCGTGCTCAGACCGGGGTGAAGTCTGGAGAGCTTTGGCCGTCTTCAAGAGAAACAACGCAGCCATGTGATCTGTGAGAAGGCGCCTTCCAGCGCAATACAAGTAGCACGGGCGCCTGCCGAAGCATCTCATGACCGTGAAAGACCACTTCCCCATGCTATGACGACTGCCTTCAAAGGACAGCAGATGTTGATCGGAGCAGCCGGGCACGCCGGGCCATTCTACCGCCACAGAATGAGGCTGTGTTCGAACCGGCAGAAAAGAACACCAACACCAGTGGCGCGAGATCTCGGCATCGCGGGCTCCGGTCTTTGCTGTCGCCTTCCGTTCCCGTGACCGACTCTGGCCGAATTACTGCCGCAAGATGCGCTGGCCGCAGTCATGGAGAGCCTCGACAGATGAGTGCGAGGAGTTGACTGCTGTTTCAACTCTCTCGTTCTTGTTCAGCGGCGAATGCTGCCACTGGGCTCCGCTTTCTGCGATCTGACGTATCTTCGTTTCTGTGATCACCCCGGATCTACCTATTGATGGCTTTTTATCAGCGGGAGCTATCGATAGCTATCCACAAAGTTTCGATCGTTCCGTTTCAGAATCTGCAGAGAATCGTGGGCAGAAGGCGACGCCGACAGAAACCTGGTCGGATGCGCGCCGACTGCTGCGCCTCAATCCAACGCGTTGTCGAACCCGTCGACGGCGGATCGTGCAAGCCGGGTTCTCCATTGGAAGAAGCTCGGATCTCCCTTGCATGACATCTTTCCTTCTTCAGCATCTTTCAGCTGTGCAGGGGTGCTTCTGAACCTCATGGCAAAGTCGAATCTGCTGACTTAAGGCGAAGTCGGAGAGCGGGCCTGACACGGACTTCGCTCTGAATCCGGACAGTTCATGAAAACACTGACGCAGAACCGATTCTGCCAGCGCATGTTTCAGGATGAGTTGTTGGAGTCATTCGTGCATGAGGCAGCCATGCAAGAATACCTCACCGCTGAGGTGCTGGCCGAAAGGACGAGTCATCCAGCACCATGACCGCCAAGGCTCTTTCGAAGATACATGTACCTAATATGGATCTCCATTCTGATCTGGCACGGAGAGGATTTTGCCGGCTCATAAACTTGGTCTTTGGAGAGCCTGGCCAGCCTGCAATCGATCCGCAAGAGTTGAAAGACCCGGGTACCATATCTGGTAGACCTGACAATGGTCCAATGCTAAACGACACTCCGAAAACGTCTGCTTTGCGCTGCACGGCGTCCTCATGGGTCGATGAGGATAAGCAGTGGCTGTGCATGGCCAAAACACTTACCCATGTGTTCTTGTCACAGCCAGCGTGGGGATGATTTTTTTATTTCGCGCCAATCTGCTATGTTTCCCAGATTTCACGTTCGGCTATATTGATGGATGAGATATTGTTTCCAACCCTCTCCAGGACAGGACTCTATATCACAGTACACCTTCATGAGAGCTCGCGTGCAGTACTCCGAAAGGCGGAGAGAACTGATGCAGTGGCTGACATTCAGCCTGATAGTCCTTCTCGAGAGCGTTTCCACACCAGCTCTAAGCCACGCTTTTGCAGCGTTTTCTATCGTGAAAGCAATGTATTCTTTGGGTATCCTCTTATCGAAGCCTGCCACCCTCGCGCGAATCTTCCCCAATCTTACCTTGAAAGTGCATATGCGCTCGTCCGGCTTCTGTACACTTCGCTGCTAGAAGCATACCCTAAATAACTGTTTATACTTTGTGATCTTTCTCGATACCTGGCTAGAATTCCAGATGCCTCACTTTCGACTGGGTAGAGGCTCGCGCACCTTTGCTTCGCTTCGCTGTCCAGCTGGTATCAACGCTGTACTTGACGATCTCAATGAGTAGTAGGGCTGGAGATTTTATTCTTAGAGTATTCATTCGCGTGTGCCGGTAGCAGCCGCGGAATTTACCATGCGGACTAAATGCACACCGCTGACTCATTGCTGGATATCCCGCCCAAGATGCCTTCACTCCATCTGTATGTGGCTGTGCATGGAACGCTCCTCAAAAGTGAAGCGGAACTAACATCCTCTCGGGAGATTTGCCAATCCAAGGCGAGATGCGAGTGTTTGAACCTCTCAACCTCAACTACCAACACAGCTATGAACCCATTAACCGAAGTCGGCAAACTCTGTAACTCCTTGCCCCCTCAGATCGAAACGCGACGGATGGAAGCGGTGGAGATTTCAAACCGTGTACGCCACGCTTGATCATCTCCAAGCACTGCAACTAGGTTGCAAGTCTGTGGAACAGATCTCTCTGCACAATTGTTCAAGACGCAAATCAGCTCTTCAACCGCTTGAATATACCATCAAGCGTGGTCTGATCCGCACCCCTCTTCTGCCCAGCTCTGCTTCTGGTGCTTTTCGGCGACTCCGGCGACATGTGTGACTTCGCGTAGGCGGGAGGTGCCTCGTCATCACCAACATCTTCCTCATGTTCCGCCTCGCCATCTCCGACCATAGCACCTATCGGACCCTCCCTACCCTCTGTAGGCCCCTCCGCCTCATCGTCGAACAAAGCTCTCCAGCTCCCATCCAACACCCTCGGATCATTCCCATACAGCCCAACCTTATACGCCTTCTTCATCGCCTTGAGACAAACATCCCTCCTCTCCTTGAACTCAAACATCGGCTTCGGATAAACCCTAAACTCCCCCTCCACGCCCCCTTCCCTCCCCCTAACCAAACACCCCCAGCGTTTCTGATCCACCACCGGCGCCTTCCACGGCTCATAGATATACTTCTCGTCAAACCTCTCCAGCTCGGGTACATACCGTCTCACAAACATCCCCGCCTTATCCCACTTCTTCGGAAACGCGATCGGGGAGTAGATGCGGTGGAACTGGCTGTAGAACGCCACGCAGGCCAGCCACTGCCAGTTCCCGATGTTGCACGCGGCCTCGTGGTCGATGAGCCACTCCTCGAAGACTTCGGCGCCGCGCTCCCAGTCGATGTAGCAGCCGCCGCGGGTGAGGAAGGAGGCGACGGCGTGGCGCCCAAGGTGGTGTATCCAGCCCTCGGTTTTGAGCTGCCGCATTAGTCCATCTATCCATGGGAAGCCGGTGATGCCTTCTCGCCAGCGGCGGAGATGTTCTTCTGCTTGCGGCGAGTCGATGTCGTAGGTGCCCGTGATAAGGTTGGTGGAAGGATCAATGCGCGAGGGGAGGTGCCAGGGGATGAAGCGGCAGTGGGGATTGGTGACTGTCTGCCCGAAGGAGTAACCCAGCGCGGCTTGGGCGCCGAAGTACATGTCGCGGAAGAGGAGCTGGCCTGTGAGGCTGGTCGGTGGAGTCGATGCTGCACCTTTTTTGTAGGAGTTGACGGTATCTTGGGCGCGCCAGTAGAGCAGGCGGCAGGACAGGCTGCCGAAGTGGTGGTGTGGGGAGAGGAGGGTTGTTGATTGCGGGGAGAAGGCTGTGGGCGCTGTTAGGGGCTTCGAAAAGGTCGCGGTGTAGTCGGTGTCTGCGATGATGATGTCGAGAGCCTGGAGCGCGAGGGTCTCGCCGCCGCGGTGGGGGGTTGTGGCTGGCTTCAGGCCGAGCTCCGAGAGGGAGGGGACTGCGAAGTCGCCGTTGGGCCCAGCGAGTGCACTGTAGGACCGATCGGCGCTGTCTCGCTGGATGGCGTTATAGTCAGGCTCCTGCGAAGGCCTGGCTTGCTCGAAGTCGAGGGAGGTATCACCGGGGTCTGGTATAGATGTTGGTGCTGGTATGGGTCTCGGGATGGCTCCAAGTTTCTTGCCAGCCTGTTCAGGAGTAAGCTCCGGAATCCGCAGTTCTCTGTCACATTCGTACACTCTTTCAAATCAGACGCTCAACGCACCTGCTGAACCTGCGTAATCGACATCGTCGGCTTCCCACCATTCGCCCTGACAAGCTCATCAGGATCATACAACGTACGGCCCGTCCTTACGATGACCTTGACGCCCGCCTCTTTGGCTAGCTCCATGATCTTCTCATCTCTTTCCCGGGCGTACGCGTCCGTGTCCTTCTCGAACACAAGGTGCGAAATCCTCCATGCCTTGAACAGCTTCGGGAACAGTGTCTGGGGCGCCTCGCGGATGACGAACAGCTTCGATTTCGGGTTGAGCCTGGTCAGGGATGCGGAGAGGTCGTTTTGGCAGTCGAGTCTGGGTTGCGATCAGCTCTAGGTTCAGGAGTTGCTTCGCGCGCATCTACGAATGAGGCACCGCTGTGAGTATTCACTGGCACAAACTTACAGGAACTGGAATCTGTTCGGCCCCACTCTTGCGCGGTAGACATAGTGCGGATCCCAAGTCCATATCGGATATAGACATTCTGGGTCAAGGTCTAGCGCGGCCTTCAGCGCTGGGGAGTCATGGAGGCGCAAGTCGGTGCGGAACCAGTATATCACTCGCGGCTTCGGCATGGTGAGCGCGAAGGGTACATGAGAGGCTCACGTTACACCGATGGAGAGACCGAGGAGAGTATCGGAACGAGGAATGGATTGCGCAGCCATCTCGAAGCTCTGTAGAAAACACCGGCAGAGAGGTCATCAGCCAGATCGTTGACGGAGGAGGCTTGAGCGGGCCGTGATGCAGGTCCCGATTTGATCGCAAGCACCAGCCACATCTTGGACCCTTGGGACCGATCGCATGGAGCAATGAAGCTGGCATTCAATGGTCTAGGTTGATACAGAAACTCTTTCTAAAAGATATGCTACATCGTTGAAAGCTCCAACACCTAAGCTATGCCAATGTGTGTCTAGCGCCATCTCCTGTACCGGCACCTCGTTCCAACCCCCAACGCCAGGAAATGCACTTGAAGTTTTTCACGTTAGTCGTCCCACTCCTCATCGAGCTGGTCTATTAGACGGTTTTCATCCTCTGCTTGTCGCCCTCGCCCCCGGCTATTGTCGCCGTTCAGGGAGACACGACTGTAACCGCGCCGACTAGGCAGCAGGTTTGCGCACGAAGATGTAAGGATTATGAACGTATCCTGAAGCATCCTGTCAGCCAACTGGCCAAGGTCTGTAAAGTTTGGAAGGTGAAGACTGACCCTGAAGAAACCTCCAATGCCTGCCCAGAAGGAATAGTTGGGCAACTGCCGCCATCCTCGCTGGTGCATTACGTTCCGCTGATAGAAGTAGCCTCCGAGGAAGTACGCCAGAACCGCAATGAGCGCGCTACAGACGTCAGCATGTGAAGTCAGAGCCGCGGAGAATAACTCACATGATGCCAAAGACGCCTGACGGACCGACTTGCTGCGTTTCCTTCTCAATCCCACCGCAGGCAGCGAACGACCGAGCTTCAAAGAAGTATGTGCACTCATCCGGACTTGCGGCTACAAATGCTACCGTCGTCGACGCTAGCGGATCGCGTTCGCATAGCAGTGAGATGATTGTAGACTTCCTGCGCTTGTCTCCTTTCTTAGGCTCCTTCTTGTGATCATCCTCGTCTTTGTCGTCGTCCTTCTCGGCGTCGAGGTCTTCAGCCTCGTGTAATGACTTGGACCGTTTGTCGGCGCTTGAGTCGCAGGGCGAGCCGTCTGTGTAGTTCAATACGAGCTTCCTGCCGCGGAAGACTGGTTCGCCGTTTTGCTGTCTGGGAGGAGAATACACGTCAGCCTTTCGAACCCGACTTAGGTATAGCTTGAGGCCCGCTGTAATACCGCTTCCGTGTTGCGAAAGCAATGCGTATGCCCTTCTTGACCATTGTGCTTAGTCGAACACACATAGACCGCCGACTCACCCGATGGAGTATACGTCCCCGTGTAACGTGTAATATGCGCTGACGTTCGCCCACAGCGCCTTGTCCACGCCTACTACATCCTTCAGCTTTTCAACCACCGGCTCGCAGAAATTGAGGGTGAAGTTCATGGGATAATCGTAGCCCCTGGCGTGCCAACCCTCTGTGATATCATGCTTGTGTGGCTTCTTGCCTTCGACTGGCAGCCGCGCAACTATTGGGTTGAGATCGAAGTATCGGTCGCTTGTGGGTGATCGAACGGTACATGACTTATGAGGCTTGGCTTTGGTGTCTTCGGCGACGGCGGTGAGGGAGAAGAGGAGCGCGAGCGCCGTGCTGATGTCGAGGAGTCTCATGATTGACCGGCAGTCATTGAGAATGTCTGGAAGAGGATAGTGGTAACTTGTAGTTCCGACAGCGATATCGGAGCTTTGCGGTAGGTTCAACGTTGGAGGCTAGGTGGATATTTGCGAGGATTTCCTGGACCTCTGCTGCTCTAGGTCGAAGGCCGACAACAACTACTAGCTAGTTGCGGGTAATCGAAAATAGATGACAGAAAAGAGAGTTACAGAGTGTCCTCTATTTAGGATCCCGGTGCCTTGCATGTGGCTGTGACGCTTCGCGCGCTCGCGCTAAGATCGTGCCGTGGCTGAGCCAAGCTTTCGTGAACTGGACGGGAGACGCGACATCCGAGAATCGTGAACTCGAACCATGACCGTAGCTGCTGTACATTTTCAGGTTTGCGAGACTTGCTGGAGGGTCAAGAGCGAGCGTGGGTCATAAATACATAGTTTTCTTGAGCCAATTCCTTCGTACTGGAGTCTTACCTTTGACCGCGTCTTGTCAGTTCTGTACCTGTTCAACACATCGCGCCAAGTCCACTCCCTCTCTGGCATCATGTCCAAAGCAAAGTCGCAGGACGCTGCGCTTTTGGAGAAGCATGGTTATGAGTTTTGCGGACCGTGAGTTTCATCCAGCTCTTTCCAGGTTCAGAGGCTTACCAGAATCAGAATTGGGGCGGCTGCCATTTCGTTCGGTGTGCCACTCGCATGCTACTTGTTTGTATTTCTCTGCAACGATGTGTCTGGGTGCCCTGCGCCGTCCGTCTTGCATCCGACCAGCCTGACACTGGGACAACTAAAGCGAGATGTGGGATGGCAAGGCTTCTCCCACCTGCTCAACACCAAAGCTGTCGTTGCAACTATCGGTTACTATGCTTTCAGTTTGGTCCTGAATGCCTTACTGCCAGCTCAAGAGGCAGAAGGAGTGGAGCTCAGGTCTGGCGGCAGATTGAAGTACCGGATGAACGGTGAGTGTTGTTTGGCTAGACTTTGCGAGAACACATGGCTTACACAGTCCACCAGCTTTTGCATCCGCTTGCTTTACACTCGCTATAGCAGCTGCGGGAACTTTTGCACAGGGAGCTGATTTTCCGCTATGGACCTTCATCTGGGACAATTTCATCCCGCTCATGACTACGAACATCCTCATCTCTTATGCCCTTGCCACGTACGTCTACGTGAGCAGTTTCTCCGTCAAGCGTGGTAACCCAGAGCATCGAGAGCTTGCCGCCGGCGGTCGTTCAGGCAACTTGCTGTACGATTGGTTCATCGGCCGGGAGCTGAACCCGCGCGTCAAGATCCCTTTCTGCGGCGAGGTCGACATCAAGTCTTGGATGGAGCTCCGTCCCGGCATGCTGGGCTGGATTTTGCTCAACTTAGCGTTCGTGGCGCATCAGTACAAGAACTACGGCACCGTCACAGCCAGCATCATCATTGTGACTGTAGCTCAGGCGATATACGTTCTCGATGCTCTTTACATGGAGCCGGCCGTCCTGACGACCATCGACATCATAGCCGACGGCTTCGGCTTCATGCTCGCCTTTGGTGATCTGGCTTGGCTCCCGTTCACGTACTCCATTCCTGCGCGTTATCTGGCGATCCACCCTGTCCAACTCTCGTATCCAGAGATTGCCGGCATTCTTGCCGTGTACGGTCTGGGCTACTACATCTTCCGCTCCGCCAACAACGAGAAGAACCGCTTCCGCACCAACCCCAACGACCCCAAAGTCGCTCATCTCAAGTACATGGAAACAAAGTCCGGCAGCAAGCTGCTCGTCTCAGGCTGGTGGGGCACAGCACGCCATATCAACTACCTTGGCGATTGGATAATGTCCTGGGCCTACTGTCTTCCAACAGGCGTTGCAGGCTACCTCATCCAGCAAAGGTCGATCAAACCTGACTTTGATGGTCAATCACCGGCTGATGGGGGCATCCTTGGTGGTCAACCGGTAGTGACGGAGGTGGTGCCTGGTGAGGCGCGAGGCTGGGGCATGATATTCACTTACTTCTTCATGGTCTACTTCGCTGTGCTGCTCATCCATCGCGAAAGGAGAGACGAGGAGAAGTGCAAGAGGAAGTACGGCAAGGACTGGGAGAGGTACTGCGAGGAGGTGCCGTACAGGATCCTGCCGGGTGTTTATTAAGGATAGATACTAGATTTGGATGTGTGTGTGTGTAAGATAGCAACATTGACCTCGAAGACAGCTTAGTTAGATGCCGGAAGAGCCCCTGGTATACATGATTCTTCTCCACGATTTTTTCTCACTTCAGCCGCAGAACAATACAGTCGAGCGTCAGGGTAAAATAAGGGTTCAGCCACTGGCCGTGGCGCCTGAGCAACGAAGCGCGCCTGTCGCACGCAGGGTCGCTGTACGACACTCATCCGGCCGAGGTTTACTCTGCTGAGGCGCATCGTTGGGGAAGTGAGCTCGGAGGAGAGAGCAGAAAGGCCGTCCATCCAGGGTGGGAATAATTCTAGTGTCTCGCTCTGGACCAAATCGTCCCGAAGTTGCCCGAGCGCGCGAACCGTCTTCGGGCAGGCCTGTAGCAACGGCGCCAAGCAGCCCGTTCTGGCTTAGCGCCTCATCTCCAAAAACCTTTCGCAGCCCGCCCGTTCTTAAAAACCAACTCTCTTTCTCCCTCCCACACCAACCATCAACCCACCCACTTCATCTCTCCACTCAATTCCTTCTATCCAGCGGTTCATTCATCAACCGTCACAATGGCTCCTCCCGCCGGCGATGTCGTGCAGTCGAAGAAGTCCTTCATGGGCATGCCGGTAAGCTGCATCCACAGGAGCTCCTATCTTCCCCACAGCTCGCGTGCAATCCATCAACAACAGCTCTTTGCAGCTCGATTCAGCACTGCGTGTCCTCGCACAGGGCCGCGACACAAGCTGCTTATCGCTACAGGGCTGTTGTTGATGGCTTCTCGTCGGTTGTGCTGCCGAGCTCCGTCCGGGTTTGTGAGATGATCGCATCGGTTGCTGACCCGCTTTCCTTGACGTATAGGGCTTCATGGTCGATTTCTTGAGTACGTCCCACACTGCGACACTCCCATTGAGCCGTTGCGCTGCCATTGGCATTATCCACGACCTCTCCGACATGAACGCACGGTATTTGATCACTTTGCGGTAGCTGACAGCTTATCAACAGTGGGTGGTGTTTCCGCCGCCGTCTCGAAGACCGCCGCCGCGCCCATTGAGCGTGTCAAGCTGCTCATCCAGAACCAGGTATGTTGCGCTTGCAAATCGCATTTTCGCGACAAGTCTTGCACGCTTCAAGCTTGCGATGCACATGCCAACAACTTTTGGTGTAACAGGATGAAATGCTCAAGTCTGGCCGCCTCGACCGGAGGTATGCTGGTATTGCCGATTGCTTCAGGCGAACCGCTCAGGCCGAGGGTTTCCTCGCTCTATGGAGAGGTAACACCGCCAACGTTATCCGATACTTCCCCACCCAGGCTCTCAACTTCGCTTTCCGCGACACCTACAAGTCCATGTTCGCCTTCAAGAAGGAGCGTGATGGTTACGCCAAGTGGATGATGGGCAACCTGGCCTCTGGTGGTGTACGTATCAAATCCCGCTTCTGGGAATCCAATTCCACTAACGTGTATCCAGGCTGCCGGTGCTACTTCCCTGCTCTTCGTCTACTCCCTCGACTATGCTCGTACTCGTCTCGCCAACGATGCCAAGTCGGCCAAGAAGGGTGGTGAGCGCCAGTTCAACGGCTTGGTCGATGTTTACAAGAAGACCCTCGCCTCTGATGGTATTGCTGGTCTCTACCGTGGTTTCATTCCCTCGGTCGTTGGTATCATCGTCTACCGTGGTCTGTACTTCGGCATGTACGACTCTCTCAAGCCTGTCGTCCTGGTCGGTCCTCTCGAGGGTAGCTTCCTTGCCTCCTTCCTGCTCGGCTGGACCGTCACCACTGGTGCTGGTATCGCTTCTTACCCGCTTGACACCATCCGTCGTCGCATGATGATGACTTCTGGTGAGGTACGTATCGATCTGCCCTACATTTGAGTCGTGATTGCAGGCTGATATTGTTTCTTCCAGGCCGTCAAGTACAAGTCCTCCGTCGATGCCGCTCGCCAGATTATCGCCGCCGAGGGTGTCAAGTCTCTCTTCAAGGGCGCTGGTGCTAACATCCTCCGTGGTGTCGCCGGTGCTGGTGTGCTCTCCATCTACGACCGCGTGCAGCTGCTCATGTTCGGCAAGGCCTTCAAGGGTGGTTCCGGTTAAGCGTCGAGTGGATAGCGTCCTGCATAGAAGCTGCTGGTGTGGAGGTGCGGTGGAGAAAGGTGGTGAAGGTGATGGTGGTTCGGCAGCAATACCAAGCGTCCCCGGCGTGGAAGACTGTTCTGGTTACGGAAAGCAAACCGACGGTGTGAGAAGGGTGCCTTGTCCTCTGGCTCGTCTCCCTCCTTGTACTTTACTTACATCTGTACTACTGTGTTTTGTCCCGCTTCAATTTGATGCTTTCCCGATTCAGCCTGTGGTGTGCATTTGCCCTTTGCTACGTGGTCGGACTTCTCTGTCGATAGATGCACATTTCGGCATTGGGTTCAGCGGTTGATGTTTGGTCGCGCTTCATAAAATAGGTGCATAGATTGTTGGTTCATTCGCTACCTGCATTACCTTAACTATGACTCTCAACAATTGCCATCTCTTGACGCTTGCAGCTCGTAAGGTTCTTCTATAACCACAGCGCTCTGCAGCCCTTGAACAGCGACGAATCTACCGTCTTTCCCGCGGCCCTCGCAGTCAATCCGCTTCTCCGCACGACAACAAAGAGCCCTCCATGCAGCTCTCGATGACGATAGAGCACTTGAGTTCTGCCGCGCACTCACGACTGAGCCACCTCCTACCAGCCGCACGTGACACCAACGTACGTCATCCGACCCAGAGCGGCAACCAGCTCTCTTGAGGCCAGCATTCCTTTGAGAGCAGCCTCAACCCTTGCAGCGCCAGGCACCTGCATAAAAAGACCCCGGAGACAGCTTTGTCAAACTTCCATGCCGACTTTCCACACACCAGCCTTCCGCGATGCCACCGATACCGATCTACAAGGACGCTCCCATAAATCCAAACACCACCGCCGCGAAGCCAGAGGGTGTTACACCAAGAACAGCTGCGCGTGAGGACCAGCAACGACAACAACAACCGCAACAACAACCGCGTCCAACACCTACAACCACCACCGCAACCACGACAGATCCCACAGGCCCATCGCCGCCTCAATCAGGTGCGCGTCCCGCAGCGCCCACAGCATCAAGCACAACACACAATGGCCCTCCACCGCCCCAGCCAGGCGCAGTGCCCAAACCCCCCAACCACATACCGACAGTCACAGCCACTATCACCGAAACCATAACCCACCAACTCCCCCCGACCCAGATGCCAGCCCAGTACGCCATCCCGCCGCCCTCAAGCAACAGCGCGCCGACTCGCTCCACAGCAGCCGCAATGCCCCCACCACCACCGCCACCAGCACAGCATCCCGCACCCCTCCCCTCCAGCGCCGGCGTCCCACCTCCCCCTGCCCCGCCATCCTCATCCGCAATCCCGCAGCCCTCGCCCTTCGAGTCCGGCCAACAACACCCCCCAGCCGCCCCCGGAGCACCAACCCACGGCCACCGCGCGCGCCACTCCCTCGAGCACCCGCCCAACTACGCGCAGAACCCCTACATCGACGGGAGTGCCGCGCAGCGGAACGCGCTGCTCGATGCGGCCGAGGCGGAGCGGAGGGAGCGGAATAGCGTTGGTGCCTGGGTCGGTGCTGTTGGGGAGAAGCTGAGGGAGGTTGAGGAGGGGGTTTGGAGGGTTGTCGGTGGGGGGAAGTGAGGAGGTTGCGGGTTGGGAGGTTAGAGGGAGCTGATGGGGACTAGTGGGGGTGCGGGATTGGGGGGCTTGGATAGCGCATTTGGATTTGGGCGTACTTGGGGGGAGGTGGCTGGGGGCGAAGGGGGGTCAGAGCATCAGAGGGGAGGATTTAGGCGTCTGTGAGCATTTTTAGCTGGATAGAGGGACTGTCGTCACCGCGCGCCTGGGCGCTCTGGCGTCATAATGGACGGAGTAAGATTGGCTATGTTACGCTGTAAAAAGCATCATTTGTGTTAGGTATCAGAGTTTTGGAAAGAACCCTGCTTTTTTTTTTGGACAATAGGGGTTAATAGTTACAAGAAAAACCAAGCAAGTACGCTCAAAACCACCATGCATTCGATTCCGTGCTGGGTATCTCAAAACGAAGCCACGATGCCGGAAAAAGCCAAGATCCTTGATTCCAACATTAAGAAAGCTGCGAACGAGCTTAAGGAACGTGGCCGAGCCTTCTCGCCGAAGATGCTAGCCGAGATTTTAGCCTGCCGAAGAGCAGGAGATGAGAAGTTTTGAGGGCGAGAGCCAATGACCTGGCTCGAATGCGTCGTGTACGGAAAGCCGCCTCGAAGCTCGGAACAAGTTGTCGAAGCCAAATGCATCCTAAAGACAGCGATGAATGTCTTCAGAATCTGGCTTGCTAGGTCTCATCGCCCTGAGTAGAATCAGGATGGTATTCCGAGTCCTCATCATCCGTGCCAGCCATCCGCACATCAGACTGAGTTTGCGTTGGAGTCTCTCGCGCTAGAGCAAGACTGGTACCGCGCGAAGAATGCCAGTCCTCCACTGTGGGATTAAGGTTCCTTCGTACAGGAGCCTCGCTGTTGGCAGGTGTAGCAGAAGCGTCGGTGTTGCTTCTTTCAACTTGCGGTGTGGATGTTTTCGATCGGGAGACTGGAGCACTGGACGCTGCGGCGCTTACGGAAGGTCCCGAGGTGTTGTCAGTATCGTCGGGCGTGTCTTCTTGATCTTCCCGCAGAGAGTTCGATGCGTTTGACTTCCCTCCGCTGACCATGGTGTCGTCGTTGTCCCAGTGATCTCCATTTTCGCTCCTCGTATCCATCGCGTCATCGGCATTAGTGCCATCCTCTTCGCCAGCACCTTCGTTAGCCGTAAACCCTTCGTCACTATTGTCTTCGGCCCCGTCCACAAGCTTCTTGAAGAGAGGTTCAGCAGTCTTCAGCACCTCAGCAACCTCTGCACGCAAGGTCCGCTCCGGCTTCGGTAAGAGCTGTCCTTGTGGCAGGTGCGCGCCAGTGAGGACCGTAGTGTAGTCTCGCTTCATGCTGACGAAAACCTCGTCCGCCTTAGTGGCCATGTGTTCTTCGACCGCGCGGCACATGCGGATCAGTTCGGTCTGGACAGTTTCTGTTGCCTTGCGGAACATGGTATGCGACTCTTGACTGACGTGGTCGGTCATGGCACGCTTCATCCGCATGAAGGATCCTATTCCTATTGCGCAGAATCGATTAGCAGGATTCCCAAAGAGGATGACGGTAACGGGAGAACGTAGCGAGACTCACCGGATTCAGCAACGCATTGTTCGTACGCGGTTGTCATGCAGTCGGCAATGACGGGCACGAACTCGCGATTCGCGTCTCGCTGCATGTTTTGGATGACTTCGACCATCTGGGCAGCCAAGTGCGCGAATTGCTGATCGTATACGTTCAGTTGCTGAGCTAGCACATTCATGCCGGCTGCGCCAGCTCCGCGCGACCTTGCGCGAGCCTCGATCGACCTATGAAACGATTTCAGTAGAGTGTTGGAGCTCTTCTTGTAGCTCTCTAGGACATTAGGGAGACGGCGAACGAATGCTTTCTCCCAGCCAGTAGCTAGCAGCTTCATAACCGGTTCGAATCTAGCGTATGTTTAGTGACAGGATTTTCGACTGGTTATTGCGTCGTACTCACAGCTGTCCGTTGAAGTCATGGAGACCACCGGCGCCGGTGAACACACCATTCCTGCGACAAACTGCTTTGTAAGTGGCCCAGAAGAGACCCCCTTGATTCCTGTGAGCGCCCCATCGCTGAGAGGTAGGTAGTGCTTCCTGTTCTGCCTTCTCGCATGCGTCCTTGTACTTCTCGAAGATGTTTTCGGCCAGCGCCTCCTTCATCTCCCGGAGGCATTCTGCAACAGCAGCCTCCAAGCCCTGCGTAGCAATTAGTGGGTGACTTCATCCGACGGTTAGGTAAACGTCAGAAGAGAAGTGTTGACAGATGCTGTTAACATTGCTATGCCTGACATAGCTCATGCTGAGCTTTCCAAACTGGTACCGCAGAAAGAAGATGTAACGTACCTTCTCAAGCTCATTGAGTTTCTCCTGGAGATACGCGTTCTCTGACCTCATTTGGGTGTCCGACAGTTGAAGTCCAGTCCCGTCGTTTGAAGCCCAAAGCCCCATCGAGTTTGTGAGCTGACTGAAGCTGCTCAAAAATCGTCTGCAGCTCGTAATGCGTCCAGACTCCGTCAGCTTCAGGCAGTGCGCTTGGAGTTGAGGTATCTGTGCGCTAGTCAGTAAGAGCCATTTTCATGGTACAGTTTAACCTTACTTCGGTCTCTTCCAATGTCTTGAACCCCGGCACGTCTTCGTCCCTCTGCAAACGCCCGCTGAGTTTCTGATAAGCCCTGCTGCTGACGCAAAAGACAGGCAGAGAGCGCGCAACCTCATCGTAGTCTCGAAGATCTTCCTCAGGATTGAAATCCGCCTCGTTCTCCTCCATAGCATTCTCCTGGTCGAGTTCCTTGATGCCGGCAGCGAAATCTTGCTGAATAGCGCCCTTCGAGTATCCGTTTCGGCCCGCAATGCAGACGGCGCTGATCTCAGCCTTGATTTCGTCCATTTGAGATTGAATTGACCTGATCTCTTTCTGCGCCTCGATGATCTTCGCATCCAAGTTGATTCGTTCTTGCCTCGCACGCTTCTTGTTGGATTTGATCTCTGCTATCCTTTCTTCCACTCGCTCTTCCGTTAGAGGCACCCGGGATTCGCTTTCATCATTGGGCCTGGTTGCTTCGCTCTCAGATTCCGAAGAGTCAACAGCGATAGGTTGGGAGTCGAGTTCGAGCTCGAAATCACTATTGCGGCGACTCTTCTTGCGTTGCTTGGGGCTCTCTGGCGATCGCTTGCGCTTAGTTTTCTCCCTCGGCGCGAAGACTGTCTTACCAGCCTGTACCCTCTCAAGGAGGCTCTCCCATGTGTCTAACTGCTCGTCAGCTTCGTCATATACCTCCTTGTACACTGCTTTCGATTCCTTGAGCTCCTGAAACTCCTTCTTCTTCTCCTTCAGCTCGCGCTTGAGAGCTTCCTCTTGATCCCACTTGTCCGACAGATCGAGATTCAGGCTATCCTCAGCTTCCGTCACCGAGATATCGTCGGTCTTCGAACAGATGAACGTGACATTGCCATAGGTACCGTCGTACTTCAGTTGTCTCCTGAACGTGTTGCCCAAGAGGGATTTGGCAGTCTTGTCATCCACTGCGCGAGTGATCGGCGCAACTATCCACAAGCCTGTGCATTGCTTCATATATCCTTCTGCGACAGCGGCGCGGGCGGCATTGGAATCGTGCACACCAGGCAGATCGACCACGACAGCTGCAGTCTTCAACGCGGCAGACTTGGTATAGATTTTGACGACCTTGATCAAAGGCCAGAACTCCATCTGCTTCGGCTCTCCCTTTTTCTTCTTGTCCTTTTCTTGAGCCGTGGCTTTCTCCTTGCTGTCTACATAGAACTGCAGCTGCTTGTAGAAGCGATCAGACGCCGAGGCGACAATCTGTCGTGTGGTACCTAGAACGTCTCGCACGGCCGGAACTTTCATGAGCTGCTGCACAGATTGATCCCCCATCATCTCTTTCGTTAGTTTGGGATACACGGCCCTAATTTTGGCATAAGCTATACCTGCCTCAGAATCCGCGTTGTAGACGTCTTTCGTGACCTTGCCTTCAGAATCGAGAAGGTCTGTGTACAAGACTTCCAGCTCTTTCGCCCAGTCCTCTGGCTTGATGAACTCAACTTCAGCCCGATATCTACTGTGTTCCTGCTCGCTGTCGTTCCAAGACATTTCTGTTACAACAGCGGTACAGGCTCGCATACAATTGGTAGGGACGAGTCGTTCTTCATCCAGTAGAGCGTTGATAACACTGCTTTTGCCGGCGCCAGTGTTACCGACCACCCCAAGCACCGTCCGGGCTCGTGTGGCTTGTTTCTCAAGCGTCTCGACAGACTTCAACCAGTTCTCCGCATCAAGAGTATCCTTGAGATGCGGGTACAGCGGCTCCTTCAGTGAACTCAGTAGCTCTAAGCTTTTCTTAACTCCCGCCTCAAGCAGCTCCGGAGACTCTTCTGTCATGAGTTTTTGCAAGTAGACGTTCTGAGGCTCCATCGAATCTGGGCGAGACGGAGCTTCAGCCGGCTGGAAGGGAGGATCCGACGTTGGCGCTGCAGGAGGGTGCAGTCCCTGAGGATAAGGAAACCCACTCTCGAGTACTTCGCTCTTGATGGGCTGCGGAGCCGCATACATGGACAATAACCGGGGATCAGGCGGGAGGCCATAGTGTGCCCCAGATTCCAACTTTCCATCGGGCGTGGGAGGAACCCCAGCCGGAGGAAACGCATGTGGATTCACATGAGTAACGGCGCTTTGATCTAGAGGGCTCGGTGGTGGCTGGACGGGAATATTTGGCTCAATCGGTCTTGAAACATGCGACGCGTTGGATCCTACATCTTTCCCAGTCGGCGGAGGCTTCGCGGGCGGTTGATCTTCCGTGGAGGGTTTCACGTATGTCTGCCCATTGGTTGGCTGCAGTGGCCTGCGTGTGCGTGCTTCTGGAGGATCCCTGTCCACGGCGCGGAATATAACGATGTTATCGTTGTAGTAGTTAACCTCTGCCAGTTTAGCGCCTTCAGAAGGAACCTCGTCGTCAAGCTTAAGCACTACGTCTTCCGCAGTTTTCTTGAAATACTCATTCTGGATGGTCTGAACCGTGATTTTCTGATACATGTGTAAGCCAAGATCTGAGACTGAGCCGAAAAATCACTTACACCATGCGCTTTAATCCAGAGAAAGTCAGATTCCTGACTGATTGCTTCTGGCTTCCTCTCATGATACAGAATACCAACCCAGAAGCGGTTCGGTTTTAGGAATTGATCTGGCCTCAGAGCTTTCGCGCGCTCGTGAAATCCGGAATTCATGGTGCGCAACTTAGAATGCCAACTAGATGGTGTGCGACGAGAAATGCAGGATAGCGGTTCTGTGCAGAAGGGTAACACTGCGGTTGACGTGATGGTCGAACAAAGTTGAGTTGAGAGAAGATCTGAACACCCTGGCTGAACAAGGCGCTCGAAGGTGGAATGGAACGTTTTCGACAGGATTGACAATGCTTGTTGACCAGCTATTCGCCGCCCATCGGTTTGGAACCGTGGAGGCACCCGAATGGTTCGCGTAGAGTAACGAATATGTGGCGCTGAAGTTGTACGCGACCTCGCGTTGGTCAATAAGATGCGCTAGAGCCGGTCCACGTGATCGTTACTTCACGAATATCTTATTACTTCACTTCTGGAAAAGTGCTCGGTCCGGTGAAGGCGCTCACACGCGGAACATCGGAACGGCTGCTGCGAACTGACCCGATCCTTCACGACTGCCCAGCATAGGTGAGGGGATCCGATGCGTTTTCTTTGCCGTGAATAAAGATGCGATGCGTAGGTGAATGAGAGGGCGGAGTTGGATCGTGAAGCGAGAAAACTTCCAACCCGATGATACGTGAAGACACTCGCCATCCCTCGGATACTTGCACCTGTTCTCTCTCACGGCTTAATGCCTAAAGTTCACTGTTTATGGGTCAACATCGCGGTGAGGCCGGTGAGCATACTTGCTTAAATCAAGCCTTGTGTAAAGACACCTCATCGTTCAATTCTTTTATAATTCGGAGTGCGTATACTTCAACGTCTAAGAATGCATCCACCTAGTGGTGTCTCGTTTCACCATTGATACATCAGATGGCTCCTAGTGCTGCCACCGGGAACCGATTGAGGACCACTTCGGTTTTACGATATGGCGCTACAAGATTGCATGGGCTTTCTACGTACCATTCGGTCTACGCGCCCATGCCGCGGCCGAATACGACAGGGTCAGAGCCTCGGTAAAGCGATGGTAGGATCTGTCGACTCCTATCCGTGGATTGGATAGAAAGATTCGCCAGATCTAAGTGCGACGCTGCCTCCCAGCGGATTTTGCATATAGGAAACGTTCCCCTGCACTGCTATGCGAAACCAAGGGCTCCCTCATACTCATATTCGCTAGCAGTTCAACTTTGGATCCCTCGCCAGCATAGACATGGCTATTGAGCGGAGACCGACGGTAGAATAGCAGCTCCGATCATGGAAAACTTCGGCCACTGCATTTGCGATACGGCTGGAGCACTCGCTGCACAGCCAAATCTACCTCGAACTTGCCTCGACAATCGCTACGGCTGAGACCGCGCTTACAGCGATGCAAATTACAAATCTCATTATATGTTCACACGCTAGGTCATATGTCTTCTTTGTCAATCTCGACTCTGTTTCTTTATGGTTGACCTCCGTTCTATTGTATCGACCTTTAGCACTCATTAAACTCTTTGTTTTATTCAGGACTCAAGAATGCCTTTAGATAATGTCCTCACGTTCAGCTCTATTACTTTTCAGTCTTATCTGAATACATCAAACGTTTCAGTAAGAAAAGCTTTCAGTTCCATTACTATCTTCAATAACTGCTCGAATCGCTGGGTCGATCGGCATGTCCGAGGTCGCCTCCGCATCCGAGGATATCCTCAAGCTCTTACAACCCTACATTGACCACTACGGATTACTGGACGACTCCACCATTACCATTGGAAACCTCCGCAATGCCATCCATCCAGTGTTTCAGCGCAGCAATTTTGACACCTCAAAGGACACTTACGATACCCTAAAGCCAGCTCTGCGTCTAGCCTCGCAGTTTTTACAAAACGATGCACTGCTCGAGTGGTGGGTGCAGGCAGGCCTAGGCCAGGAGGTGAGCGATCCGACAACCGGACAGGTCTACCTGAACCCCCCACCCAAGGCTGACGACCCCAAAGACAACCTCCGCACCACTATGATGGCCTTAGCGGAGATGCGATATCACGTTCGTTTCTCATTCGACCCGCTAACTGATGTATTTGGACACACAACCATAGACCGGACACGGCCATCCCGTCCCAAGAAGAATAAGATTTTCAATGCTGACTTCAAGGCAGCCACCCAGATCGGGCTAAGCGACCTCTTCGAATGGTGGGCCAGCCTGTATTACACCTCCGATAGCACTACTGAATGCCAGCGTCTGCGCTTCAATTTCTTCTTCGCCGTCAATATCGTCCACGAGCTGGCACATGCCTTCGGCGTGATGCGCCGTGGCGGCGGTAACGCAGAGCCCTGCCACAGCCGCATCGACATGCTGTCCAGCACCGGCGCCGAGATGGGCTGGTCATGGGAAGTATGGACGTTCGGCGGACAGATCGCTCCGCACGACGACTTCGCTGCGCCGACGGCCATGCTGGTAACTGCGATCCCACTCCCACGGGAGGTAGCCGCGAGAGGTGATCGCAAAATTTGTCCGGTGCCTATGTGGTGGATCGGTCAATGGTTTCAAACCTCAACTTGGCAGGGGATTGAACAGCACGGGAGAAAGGCGCTGCCGAGACCGCCTCGTGACTTGCCTATCCAGCTGGATGATCACGCAGAGTGGCAACTGGTTAAAGCGAAGAAACGCAAGCGCGATAGCGATGTTGAAGTCACTCAATCTATATCCAGGCCTTTGAAGCGTCGGCTGTGGCGCTCCAACACCTGGGCCCCCGAGACATCCCTCTCGCCACTGCTGACATACTAACAGGTCACTCAACGCAGGTTAAATTCAGTCTGACAGATAGGTAGAGAGATATACTTGGTTCCATACGTTTCTTCATGTCTCTTTCAATGCAGCTGGTTTTCTGATTGTAATCTCAGCAAGATCATTGTATTACAGCACTCGTGACTCGACCCGCAGCGGATCGGAGTCGTACCACCTAGTAGCAAGAACTACAATACCCACTCCTCAAACGCTATACACTCATGTTGACCCGCCGCGCCCTAAACTTTGTGTTGAAATTCAGTTGCCTTACAAACCACGCATTATGCGTTTCCCACTCCTTAGCCGGATCCTCAAGCTGAATCTGCGTACCCATCAGTAAGTTGGACCAAGATTTCTCTAAACCGCAGTAACTCACCTCAAACCGTCTTAGAAAGCTCGGCACAAGCTTATAGATCTCCAGTAGACTGATGTTCTTCCCAATACACGTCCTCGCTCCCGCACCAAACTGAAACATCGTCGCCCTCATCTCCTTGACCCTCTCCGGGCTCGCCTCCAGCCACCTCTCCGGCCTAAAGACATCGACATCCTCGCCAAAGACCTCAGGCCGCCTGTGCAGAACCCAAGCATTGCACCCCACAATGGTCCCGCCTGGGATCCGCTCGCCTAGGATATCGATGCCCTGCTTCGGCACCACACGCTCGAGGATTAGTCCCGCAGCCGGGTGGATGCGAAAGCTCTCCTGCACGACCGCGTCCAGATACGGCAGCTTCTGGCTCTCCGCCCAACTCACAGCTCCGTTCGCGCGATCGACTATCACACCGTCACGTACCGCGCCGTCCAGCTCAGCCATCAGCTTCGCGTAACACCGCGGATGCTTCAGCAGGTAATAGAACACGGTGCTGAGACTGATGGCCGTGGTCTCAGATCCCGCAAAAACCATGCTCACGCACGAGGTCAGGACTTGCTTGGAGGTCATGAAGGAGGGGTGGGCGTGCTGGGCTTGCGTGAATTTGGTGAGGAGGTCGATTCCGCGGTTGGGGTCCTGAGCGGTGAGGCCGTCGGATGCAATCTTCGCCATCTCGGCTGAACGCTCCTGGCTGCGCGACTGCGCGAACGCGGTGACGGGGAAGACGGTCTGGCTGATGCCCCATTTTTGCAGTTGGAGCCGGAGGGGATTCTTCTCGAGGAGCAAATCGAGAAGAGGGAATTGGCCGATCTGGGACGGTGTCAGCAGATTGTTCCGTAGACTGGTGTGGAAAGATGTAAGCGCTTACCGGCCCAGCGTAGCTCAAAAACCGTCCCAGAAATCCAACAATCCCATCCACATCCTCGTTCTTCTCCACAAACCCGAGCCGCTTGCTCCACGTCAGTTCGCCGATAACATCGAACGCGAAGAACTGCAGCCACTGGTTGAAGTTGCAGCTTCGGCCAGTGTCGGCGAAGAGCTGCTGCGTGCGCTCGAGGAAGAAATTGGTCGTCGAATCCACGAGCGGCTCGTACGACACCAGCGAGCTCATCGCGAACGCGCTGTTCACGCATCGTCGGTACTTGGCGTGGTAATCTTCGTCTGTGGTAGAGAAGAGGGACGGGAGACGCTGGCCGTTGGAGACGGCTTGTTGGACGGGGTAGAAATCGGACTGTGTAAGGGGACTTGTGAGTGTTTTGCTAAGGGGCTTGTGGTGGAGCTATGGATGTGTACCTTTGTCATGCCTTTGTTTAATCCGTATATGATCTTGATGGCACGAGGATCTGCGAACGAGAGAACGTTGGGTCCCAGCCTGACGATATCGCCATACTTGCGATGCAAACGTATATGAGTGTACTCTGTCTTCCGGCCAAGCGCGTCGAAAAAGCGCCACCAGTCTGTGTATGCTGCTAGCCAATGGCCAGGATACTTGTTAAGCCCTTTATTATATTTGTTGCTGAGTAGGTATGCTGTCACTGCGGAAAACAAGACAAGCGGCCAGTATGCGATGATGAATGGGAGTATCTCCTGAAGCAGCCCCATGATGTTCTGTCTCGACCAGTTTTGGACGAATTCTTGCCATCTCTGTGTGGTCACAACGTCTTGTTTATATGAACACTCTCCGTATCCTGCTGCAGACTGACGCTCAACTGCCGACAGCCAAGCGGCATTCACAGCACGGCATTATCTGGTGAGCGTGACAACTTGCGTTGACGTCTGGGAGTTCGGCAGTTGAGGCCGGAGCAATGCCGTTTACATAGCCAAGAGTGCTCCTGGATGCCATGCCCGTTACGAGTACAGTACGGACCCATAAATGATTGCCACTCAGTCCTCAGATCATCCTGTGGAGCGCATGTGGGGACAACCGCGGGGTCGTCTCTACCGACATTGGAGGTTCTGTTGATGTCGGCGTAAAACCAAAGTGGTTCGGAAGCCGACCTCAGAGTACAGCAACTCTGTATGAAGGTCGAAGTACGGGGAATTAATGGAACTGATTGGCACTCGTACCTGACTGCACTGCACTCTCCGCTGTGCATCGTGACCACGAGGAATTTTGTGTCAAGCCATCGAGCCCGGAGGATCCACCACGAAGCTCACGGAGCACATCGTTGCATCAGCGCAGCCGACTGCCACTCAGGCTGAACATGGACTTTATCGGGCGAACGTTGAACATGATTCAAGCACGATCTGAACACCTTAGACAATGCGGCGTTCTACGATGGAGGCTATATTACCGCTTTGGGAAGCGCGCGCCACGGAGAAGGCGGCGAGTTACCAGATATCATCCACAATACCAAAGTCAGAATACTCATGGCCATGCAATGTCTTTGTACATGTGTAATGTATGCTTTCTATGCTACCTCGTCTCTCTGCCATAGCCCTTGGAGAAAGAGTGACCACATTTCCAAGCGCAATGCTCTCAATCTTGGCTCCTGATTTCCTTTTGACAACGGTGTGCACGTGTGAGCTGGCCCTACAGGATTGATCTTGTCAGCCACTATCTGGTACCTCAGGAGCTTCCAGGGTTCCAGTACGAACTGGTGGGGTATTGGAAAGGGCAGTTCTCCGTACCCCGCGTTATCAAAACCTGGGGTATCGGATGTGGCTCATATCTCCGTTGCCCCGCAGTCATATAATACTAGGTAGTACCTCCTCAAGGCTGAGTTCAGAGTGGATATATCCGTTTACCTAGACAGCATCAAAGTAGAAGATCCCACATACAAACAGACAGGTACGTTTTACTCGAAGCCAGAGCAGAGTATCCATCTCCCCGTCCGAATGGGGAGTGCACAGGCTTGCTCGAATCCTCACTTGTCGCAACTTGCTGAGAAGTATATCTCATCCTACCAGAGGTCCAGCAGGAACCAACCGCCATCGTCTCGCCCACCATGCCTGTCGCAATCACAGTCCTCTACCCCCAAACCTCCGATGCGACCTTTGACCTCGACTACTACCTGTCCTCCCACATGCCCTTCGTCCAAGAGAAGTTCGGGTAGCGTAGCCTTTCGCCCCCTTCCCATATCCATCCAGACTAACACATGTCCCACAAACAGCCCACACGGCATGACCGGCTACCGCGTCGCAAAGCTCGTCGGCACAGCCACGGGCGACGAGTCCCCCCACAGCGTGTGCTGCACACTGGAGTTCGGAAGCGTCGAGGAGTTCCAGAATGCGCTGAAGGCGGAGGCGGGGCCGGTGTTGGGGGATGTGAAGAACTTCAGCAACAAGGATCCTGTGCTGTTAGTTGGTGATGTCGTTGGGAGTGGGCCATGAGGAGGGGATTAATAGTTGGGGGGGAGTGGATGTGTATATCGGGTAGTCATCCTTATCTGGGGAACGAACATATACGGCCCGTCAGTGCGGACCCTGGTCTCCATGCTCTTGCTGTGACAGTATGCCTTTTCAATCGCTCCTATGACACCGTCTGCACTTTTAGTGTTGGGCGGAAAAGACGATGGCCCACAGTCCTATTGAAGGAGGCTTAAGTGAGTCAGGCTGCTCAGTTCATTACTCTGTCGCTGCGGACTACGTCAGGGAGGATGCGAGGCCTCGTCAAACGTAGCAGTCTCTGGATGGAACTGCGGCCGCAGGTGTTAAAAGTATGGAATCGCTGCGAAGCCGACACGGCCTTCCTTGGTCTCGGTTGCTCAGCATTGATCACGCGACATATAGAGAGTCAACTATTCTCGTGCTACAGATAAGGAGAAGCTGAGGAGCGCTGTGTTACTGGATTGCTACCATCTCCGTGGACCGGAAATAGTCTCTCTTCGCGCTCTGCAGATGGGAATCTAAAACCCCAATCACAATCCTTGCTGATGACGTCGAACCTGGAGGACGTCGGATAGCCGGCTAGGTGCGTAGACGACTCAGACGCGCGGTTGTCAGTGAGAGAAACAAGTCCACTTCATGTCTAAGGAGCAGCTCAGGTGCAGAATCATGATCCCAGCTCCTCTCGGACACAGCGTTTGGATCATTGATGCGCCAGCCGCCGCTGATGTCGCTTCGCATATTTCCAAGGCATTTTCAATTGCTTGTTGGAAGCTTAGCAGCGGAAGGCGCTGGATGATCCCTGGCTAAGGCGGCCAACGGGCGCCAGCTGGGATCGGTGACCGAGCAGTGTCGCGCCTGCTTCGTCAGGGCTTTGCCAGAATGTTTCGCTGGGGCATGGCTCTTCACTTCCGGGGGTTGTTGATATCCTCTTCTTTCCCCGGAGCTTTAGCAACTCAAGCATCTCCATCATCACGCAGCTGTTGATCTTATTGCTTATCGCTGAGCTCTAGTTAAGACTATTGATACTGGACATTCACAACCGCGCAATATCTGTCTGCAGCGAAGCTAGCGAAAGCTCCCAGCAAGACTCACACCGTTACACCTAAAAGGCCGCCGCTCCACCCTACCTCGCCTCACCCCTCATCCTCATCCTCATCCTCCTCCGCCAACAACAACCACACCGCCGCCAGCATGGCCGTCATCTGGGGCCTCGACCTCCACGAAATCCGCTGGTCCAAATTCGCAAACTCTAATATGTGGTCCCGGCGGTACCACCTCCGCCGCACCAAATTCATCGTCTACCAGCTCGCCATGATCCTCTGCGTCGTGTCGGAATCCCTCGGCACGGCCGCGCTCTCCGACTACGTCTCGCAGCAGCGCTTCATCGAGCGGCACGACGGGCGCGCTGCGGTGCACAACGACGATTTCGTTGGCGCGGCGAGCTACAACATCTTCGTTGGGATATACGTCGCGACGATTTTCGGGGCCGGCTTCTTCTTCGATCTGATCTGGCCGGAGCGGCGGGAGTCGAGGGCGGTAAGGTGGGCGTGGAGGGTGTGTTCGGTGCTGGCGTGTTTGTTTGCGCTGAGTAGTGCGATTGCTGTTACGGTAAGTGACCAAACGAATTCTACACACCTGCGACGAACATCAAGCGACTGACACCATCGTCCAGGTCATCACCGCATCCTCCCGCGCCCGCATCACAGGCGTCGACGCCGCCACCGCTCGTGCCGACCTCAAAGCCTCCGGCGACTACCCGCTCGAGTACTCTTCCAACGCGCACGCCATCGCCTCAGTCGTCTTCGAGTGGGCTGGCTTGCTGGCGACCATTGCTGCTACCATCGTTCTGTGGATGAGCTATCGGCACAACGAGAGATTCGGTCCCTTGAGCGCGCATGTGAGGGCGGAGGAAGGGGTAAAGGAGAAAAACCCGGGGGTCGAGGAGAATGCGAATGCGTTTGATGCTGCACCGGTCACAGGTGGCACGTCGCAGACTGAACCGCCAAGACACGAAGCGGTATAAGCGATAGGGTGGTACAACAGGCTTTTACTGTTCTGTCTTTATCCAGTCGTCGGGGGATATTCTTTGAGGCACTGGCACCGGGGAGCGCATGGAGCGGGTTTCGTTACTTCATTGAGTGCAGCGTTCCGGCTGGATACCTAGTCTCTCTGGATTGTAAGGGCAGCAGTAATATAACGCGTGCTACCAGCACGATTGCGGAAACGTCCTGTGTCTTGCGCTTTGGCTCATAAAAGGCCATGGATTGTCTATTCTGTTGCTGCGATGCTTGCTTACACAGTTCTCCGGTCCGTCATCACCCTCACGATACTGCCTGGTCCCGCTATTTCTATCAACTGTGAGGATAAATGTCGTCAGCAAGGTTCAACGCACTGATGCAGTCGTTCTGTGCAATTGATGCGATACCCATAGAACGCGAAAGATGGGTCACGCGTGAGCACGTGATGTGGGCTCAATAGCAGTTGCGTGGGGAAAGGCGTCTGGCTGCTGGAGAGAGCTACAACATACCTTCTCATGCCAGCTCAGTAGCACGCTCATGGCTTGTCCACCGCCTTCGCCTCCGCCTCGAGAGTGAACTTGCGAGAAGCCGGTCGCTTGCGGGGTTATCGATCTCCCTTGCGACGACGAGGGTGGTCCTGACATGCCCTTGTAGCTGTGTTTGATGGCCGGCGCATCAGTCAAACTGCTTTCTGCACTCAGAAGGATGGAAAGCGAGTGAAAGTGGGGACAGAGGCTTTGGCCAATAGTGTTCTAAGAATCCCGGTCTGGGCAAAGGGAGGAGCGAGGGCTCAGGATGGATGAAAGGGAAAGCCGTGTGGGAAGCATCCAAGCACAACGTACAGGTACTTCATCAGGACATCCAGCACCTCGGTCCCGCCTTCTGACTGGTACATTCGGCCGAGTATGGGCGATATTTCTGCTTGCCGTATCGATTGGAGAATCTCGATCACTGTGGCGGTATGGACTTCCTGTGGGATGGGTGATCCGCGTCAGCACTTCCGCCAGATCTTGGTGTGATGCCCAAAAGCTTTGCATGTTTCCGAGACACGTCTCATAGACTGGACCGGAGCAAGGTATGGAGACCCCTCAACCAGCTCTAGTGTCTGAGAGCCACCGGTTTGGTACGAAGGGAGCTTCGAGATGCCAACCCACCTTCCCCCTCTCATCGGCACCATACGGCGCATTCTCCAATGCTCCTCTCAGCGCGCCCTCACTGTCCCCCCCACGGAGCAGTTGCCGTATCTGACCCGCCAAACTCTGCACGTCCGCCGTCGAGACGGGCACGACCGCGGGCGTGAGCGTGCCAAGGTCGAAGTTGGCGGCTGAATCAGGATCGTAGGCGTCGATGTTTATGGTGCGCCAGTTTGTGACAGACATGGTGGCTGGATTGGTGGCTTGAATTCGTGGTTGGATTGCGACGTGGCTGCGGTAAGGGACGTCGGAGTTTCGGCCGGTTGGTTCTGTGGTGAGATGGGTGGATGTGGGTGTGGGTGCGGTTGTGGTTGTGGGACTGCCCAGGTGATGCTTCCGCGTTCGACGTGGGTGGAAACTTGGCGGACAGTGTGGTTGAAGTTGGACCGAGAAAAGACAGATCGCGTATACGCTCCAAGTGTGACAGTGGTTCAATCGCAGCAGTTTCGAGTAGTACTGATCGAAGTTGCTAGTTGTGTAGTCGGGCCTACTGCCCAGGTAGATTTGTGACAATGGTGGCCGACATGCATGTCTCCCGCATCACCGCCTGGCGGAAAGATCAAGGTGCAGCTACGGGATCACATCCGCGCTCCAGTGTGTAACCGCGGTGCAGAACTAAACGCAGAGGCAAACACATTCGGATGATGTAAGACTGAAGTCCGATGTGATTACAATGGTATTCTGCCGCTTCAATAGCATCTAAAGATACACAGGCTCAGGCAAAGCCCAACAGCTCTCACGACAGGATCAGATCTGCAAATGCAGAATGTGATCCTCCAGTAGCAAAGCACGCTACAATTTGCGCGCCGTGCAAACCTGAGCACCGTCCCAGCCGAGCCGTTGTACCACTATCCCAAGCCCTGTATGAGTGTGCAGAATGAACTGCGAAACGATGCCATCTATCCGATGTTGTCCTGCAAAAAAGAAAGGTACCCATTTTGGTATCACGAGGCCTGAGCCACCCATACTCTAGTTATCATCCCAACGCCGAAAGACTTTTTGTGAGAGGTCGCCCGCTCAAAGGTGCAGAGTATGAAGGGTATAGAGCGCTGATCCGGACATAGGAAATTATTGGTACAGCGTCGATCGAATGAGGAGAATCGCTTAAGAAATCGCTAATGGGGTATTGAATATGTCGAAGCCGAAATGCAGTCGCTGTGGAATTAAAGTTCGTAGTCGATCAAGGAAGATGAAGCGGTCGGGAGGATGGCCTGTGGCTCGGGAGAAAGTTTGCTCGCTGGCTACTAAGGGGCGCGTTAGTCCGGATTTCTCGCGACGCAAGGTGTTGCTCTGTGAACCAACGAGCGCGCGACAACTCACCTAGCGAGACACCTCATCCCTCGGTGGAAGATGAAGTCGGAAAGCAGCCAGCGCAAAATCCCGACGAGTAGAAGTGGGCCGAAACGAATAAGATTGGATGGAAAGGGTGACGCGTGCACTTCGAGTATTATCGCCTCTTCGGGGGCGGCGGCGGCGGCTTTGGCGTGCCTGTGGTATCGTAGGCACCTCGTCCCATGTTGGTGGATTGAGATTCCCGGAGTATCATTGTGGAATGAGCGTCACTTTATAGCCAGTCAGTAACAGACTCCTCACATGATGAGGTGAGCTGACTGCTTCAGCGTGCGTTGCTGACTCACAGTGTAACTGTCGTAGGCAGCGAGGATGAACTCTCCGGGAAGAAGAGCAGGCGAGGTCAAGCTTGTATAGCACCCGCCTGCAGAGAAGACAGCTCTTGAATGTGTGACCGGCAGGCGCTTTTGTGGAAACCGCCTGCTATTTTTGGTGACGTGGGTCTTGCGTTCAGCTGAATGCCGGCGGACGAATATTAAGGTTCGGCGTACAACCAAGGAGACCGTGTGCGGAGACGGAAAGGCCTTTCAGGCAGACAGCCGTGTGAGTGTGTGAGATAGCGGAAGAGAGGATGAGTGAGCAAGCTAAAACATGGCGTGGGGAGCTGAAGGGTTGATATATGGGGGCCCCTTTCTGCGCAAAAGAATCGTACCTAGCTTGGCAGCAAAGCGAGACAAATGAAATTTGAGAGTCTCTGAGCGAACATGACGTGCCTGCCGACGGGTTTGCGGGCTGTTTCAGCGGCCAGCTTGTCAGAAAGGAACAGTAATTTCTGTGGCCTAGCAAGGGTGATGGATCGCCCTGACTTTCTGGGAAGCTGTTCCTGCAGTAGACTGAGATCCGTCTCAAGCCACTGCGGGCCCGTGTTCCGGCCGCCGGCCTGTCCATCAATCGACCGTCTCAACGTCGCTGCAGCAGCAGCCACAGTTGCCTGCGATTGTCCCTTCGCAAACAAGGCCCGCCATGTCTGGAGTGCGCCGTCGCCTCCAGCGCAGTGACTGTGCGACGAGTGCGAACGCTCGCATCGCAGCATGACACAGTCACGTCTGACAATCGGTAGCGTTCAATCTCGGACAGGCTGCCGGGCTTCGTAACCTGCTCTAGCTTGGCTGCGATGACTCGTTCGCAGCGCTAGAATTGAACTAGAAACAGCCTCAGCTTCCCGGCTGCTGCTCCCCGACGACCACTTCCACATCCCGCCCTCCGACTGTTTCCCCCAATCGCCCGCCATCTCCCGGGGCACCGGTAGTCCACGTTCGATCCAGCTCTGTGGATACGAAGCTGCCCTGTGTGTGGTGTGTTGTTGAGGAGCGGCTCGAATGCTATCCAAGCCATCGCAACCTTGTTGATTCCTGTGGTAAATCCCCAGCCGCGCCATTCAGCGCCGTCGGCGCGCAAGCGGGAGCTCTGTGAGTCGATTCTGGAGCTGGCTGCCCACGTACCTGCTGAGGGCCTGCCACCTCCCGTCTCATCTCTCAGAGACTTCTATCTCGTTTGCGGCTCTGCTCCGTGATACGAACGCAATCGTGTCTCGAGTAGCACGAGACATGCGATGCCCTCCCACGGCTCGCCCAACCGCCAAGCAGCTCGGTTAGGAGGAAGTTCTCTGTCCGTAGAACCTGAGAGGCCCAGCTCGTCTCTTAGTGCTAGCGCGTTTGATCGACCGCCTGCAACGGTGACAGCCGTTTCTCGGAGCAAAGAGGACGGATGCGTAAATACTCCCACAAACGCGCGACTGATGCGAACCATATGTAGCGGCAATCTTGGACACCGCAAACGCACATTGCCGTCTTATCAAAGATAGTGGCTGGCTGGCTGTACCACGTTGCTATTGCTTTTGGCAATTGAGGCTGCGGCGACCGTAAGGTGCATCTCAAACATGTTGCGTTCACATACAAATCCGGCAGCCGCTCTGGTTTTCCTTCTCTTGCAGAACTTGTTGCCGATGAAATCATCGTACTTCAGTGTTCGGCGGCTTTCCCGCAAGGATCAACACCCCAGCCTAGTCAAATCAAGCGGATCGTCACACATGGAAGAAACCCCGTTCAATCAGGAGTAACCGAGGCGGTAAGAACGAGTCGCAAAGCGATTGATACAGCAGCGGTTGCGCGGAATCGTGATATCGGGGGGATGAACCTAGGGAGACCCGGTTCTGTTCCACCGACGCAGCACAGCTTGCGATAATTGACCCTATCGGATACACATCCTCTAGAGGCCACTTGACGCACGACTCGACAAAGACTCGCAGAGTAAACCTTATCCAGGGCGACAGTCCCTCGTTGGCGCAGGGCCTGCAGCGACAGAACCTTACTGACCCTTCATCCTGCGCAATTTCGTGTCCCCATTGAGGTAACCTAGCAACTCGACACCCTGTAGGTTCTTGCATTTGACGTGCCGTGTCAGCTCTGTCTGCCGACAGATCGCATTTTCGCAAGGCTGAGTTCGATCCTTTGGGCTGCAGTTCGCACCTGCGGGGAGACCGGGACCTTGGACCTTGGGCGATATGCTTCGAACGGCTTCCTTAGCTGCAGAAAAAGGTGCATCGGGGATCCGGAATGGTGGAAGCGAAGCGCAAGGACCACACGGGATCAGTGTTCCTTAGAGAGCCATCCCAGCTCCACACGTGGCGGTGGCGCCCCCTTATGCACCCGGAGGAAGCTAGGGATAGGCAATCGCAGAACAAATAGGCTATGCTACACGTACAACGTTACGCGTCCTTCAATGTCGAGCCACACCAGTGGTTTCAAGGTTTAAGGTTGATAGAATCAGTATCTGCCGGCCGCATTTGGACTAAAACCCGGCTCACTCACAAGCCTTCCACGGCTGCGGAACCATAAGACAGAAAATAAGACCCAGAGTTGACGCCCAAGCGGATGCAGATAATAATAGCGGCTCGAGTGTCCGACGATCACCAAGACGTTGGTGATCGTTGTTCCATCACGTTGGTTCGTCTGTTGCTCTCCACGGCAGTTTTGAGAGCGCCCCTGTCGATCCTGGCGATCAGCACTCACGTCACACCGAAGAGCTGGCTTTTGGACCCTCTAACCCAGACGACAAACATCGTCAAACTCCACGATGGTCGGACTTTGCCATAGTTACTCACCATGTCTACCAAGGTCCTTGCCATCACTTCTCTATCTGTCACCGAATTTGCGGCACGCTCGCAAAGTCACGAGCGTCTCCTTTCGCCTACGCTCTTGATAATGCTGTACTATCGTATCTGATGCTGCAGCTTCCGACAGATCTTGATACACCGGCATAGCACTATAGTAGGTAGCGACACTCCACCACAGTCAATGACGCAATGCTGTGAACTCGCGCTCGGTGAAAGAGTTTGTTTGACCGCTGGCTTCTCATCAGTCTTTTCCGCATTATCTGTACGCAAAAGTTCGTATTTTCAATTCTTCTTGGGCAACAAACAGTCACGAGCTCATTGTCCGTCACTTTGAATATAAGTTGATACGGAACTCAGCCCGTTGTCTCTGTAATACTACTCTATCAAAAACATAGTGCCAAGAAACTCGTTGCTGGAATCACATAGGTCAATCCCAGAAGTGCCAACCGCCGCAATGACAATCCTATCATACGTGTGTCGGGGGCTACAGCCTCAACTTGTTAGCCTCGCACGTTCAGCGTCAACTCCATAGAGGGCTGTCCGCTCCTTCTTCTCCTCCCCCCGTTCTTATGGTTGACAGCCTCAGCGAGAGATCCGGTATCTCTGAAGGTCTCCTCCGTGGCGATATTCCTTAGCGTCCTGGCCTTTGTTGTGTTGTCGGTGATTCTACCCCCGGCGCCGGCGAGCTTTAGAAGAAGTACGAGCCTCGCTGCAGAGCCGG